GATGGTGTGTAAAGGTTTGCTTTATGCTAAAAGTTTTATAAATGCCATCTGGTGTTTCTGTAAATGAATTGTTTGTTACACAGTGTAGTAAACAGGTTAGTACATCAAAACCAAGATAAAAACTACTTTGTTCAATAATGTGCCAAATTATGCTCCTACCTTGAAATATTTGCTCAAGAAAAGCTTATGATGATATGCATGAAACATTAAATATAGTACTGCATCATCTGACAAAATCCATGTGTTTTTCAATTCCAGGTGATTAAAAATTCACATAAGATGCATTGGTTGCAATAAAGTTGAAATGTGGAAGAAGCAAAAATTGATGGCAAAGAACTTTTTATGTCTTTTGAAGAATTACGATATCATTTAAAAGAATAAGAGTAGCAATCTAGTAAAAGAAGTGACATCTGTCTTCAACATGAGACTTTTCCAATTATGTATAGTTTCTTTGCACAAAATACTATTTTAGATAAACTTGATTTTTAAGTCATTCACTGATATTTTTACCAAAAGATGAAAAGAAAAATTCAAAGGCATAATGTAAAATTCAAAAGTTTGTCAAGTTGTTTGAACCTAGAAAAAATTAGTATAGGTAATAGTAATTTGTAAGGACACAAGAGAAAAGTAGTGCAAGAAGGTTAGCATTTTTGAGAATTAATAAGTTCTTCTTGACAAACATTACACAAGGCCATAATATTATAAATAATGGCTGTACAATAACAATTATACAACATGCTAAATATCTTCACCTACATTTTAATTATTTAAACAGATTTGCCTTCATGCAGCAATAAGAAAAGTGTTAGGTCAGAGAAACCAATGCACTTTAATTTAAGAAATAGTATTTTCAATGGGAAATTAATGTAGTTCTGTTCAGTAGTAGATCCATGGCTGTCAATGACAATCCAGTTTCTAATATCTTGGCTCAAAACAGAACCAGCAACATGATTATAGAATTTCTGAATTTCGTTCCTTTGCTCTCCTAGTTCAAGATGTTTTATTTATAAGTTCTCAGCAGATTTATCAGAATATCATAATACCTTATAAGACACCCAGAATCAATCCTACAAAAAAAACTCAAAAAAATACATACCTACTTATAATATATTTCCAGTCGACTTAAGTCGTAGGGGTAAGCTAACTTTTCCAACTCCTTTTGGAGATTTAAACTAAGATTTACCCATCTATTTAAGAAAGACAGTTGCACCAAGCTGTTAACAAACAGTCAAAAACACAAGTAATTTATGGGATTATGCATTAAAACTTAACAACACATTGACAGTGTAAAGAATGCCGTTTCATATTTATTTCTAATATAGCTAAAGCATTACTTGACAAAATATATGTTATTTTACAGTAGATTTACCTCATTTAAATGTGTGTGTCTATTTCACAAAAGCCTGAAGCATTATTTTCAATATTTTATGCTTAAGGTATCGTGGTTGTTTTGCTGGTTGTCATTAATATAAGCAGTAAAGAGATCCGATTCGGGATGGAGCGAATGTTAAAAATTTTTCTCAAAGAGGAAGTTTTGACAACCAAAATCCGCCATTACCGCCATGTTTTGACCACGGGGTCCAGGCCCCTTTTCCTCCAGGTCTTATAGAACTCAATGATTCGTATCCGTGTTTTATCCCAACCTTCCACATGCATGAAAATGATATGATCACACTCAATAATGAAGTGTGTTCGTCTAATAAAAATGTTCAAATTGTTCTAGACCAGATATGACCAAATTGAACATTTTTCAAATGACAGTACAATTTGACAATGACAGAAAATACATGCATGATCGATCGATTCAACGAATTTCGTGTCTTATTACAATATCTAAAAACAACTAAGACAATCAATTAACTTACCTTTAAAATTTTTGAAATGTAATCATTAATCAGCACATTTGCAGATAAAAATTAACTCATACACTATGGAATGGGGTGAAAATCCCAATAAGCTCCAAAAACAGTGTATTGTATTATTTGTATGCGTGTCCTTCGTGCTCGTGCTTCCTATAGACCCATTGCACTGACGTCACATTTTTTCTACGTCACCGCCGGAAGTTATGTTCTGGGGTCAATGGCATTGTAATGTATTCTATTCTGATTCCAATGATTTATTCAATCAATACTGTGTTCAATTGAGTATGCCTCTCATATTCTATGTATTCATGTATATCAAAAATTTCATTGATACTTCTATGATACCAAAAACGACTGGGAAGATTGTGTGGAATTATGGCCGAATGTTTCTTACATAAACGTGGGCATGTATTTATTGTTTTCTGTAAGCTCATACACACAGGACGAGCTTATGAACTACAAAGTCTTTCGTGCTACCAGAACTTCGCAAATGAAGTTTTGGTAAAAGAATTGATAATCGGCTGATGATTGCGAATGTATGTGTGTTCATTAATTATCTTCACTTTTATTAAGCGATATCTGCTTCTATTTCTAATAGATAAATGTGAAACGCTAAATTTATTACATTTAAAAATTAGCAATGATTTGTTCAAACACCCTCCATATTTCCAGGGGCGTAACTGTTGGTGTGGGGTGTGACACCCCAATTGCTAAAAAAAGTGTTTTTGCAGGTCATATTGCCGTAAAGTGGCAGGGCAGTGTTCAGGAAGTAGAAAAATTACCATACCATTGAAAACAACTAAATGATTACTAAGTGGAAATAACAAACCTTCATTTTTGACAATTTTGGCTTAATTCTATAGAGCAATGTGTCTGTGAGATGTGTAAGATGTGACACATTCCGCTGGATACAATGATGAACCATTGCAAAATGGTGATAGCAGGGAGGGCACATTGTATATACACTTTGTGTATACACACTTGTTTATAAATGATTTATAAAACATGTGGATACAGAAGAAAACAAACAAACTACAATGACAACAACTCATTAACCAGAACCAAAGCAACCTCGCTCCGTAAGAAAATGGTCAAATTTAAGTTTGTTTTTGCAGTTATGTTTACAAGTTTATTATGAGAAAGACCAAGATCCTGACAGTACAGATGCAGAAGCCAGAGCTCAATATCCTTGATGGTCTTCAACTGATTGATGAAACTGTTAGATCACTGGAAAGAATACGGAACACTGAATCCTAATTAAATGATCAAATGGATGTGAGTGTTAAGTTTCCGAAGACTCTAGGCTCCAATCCCGAGGAAGAGTTTGCTAGAAAAGTAACAAAAGATCAAGCAGACGTTTGGATGACAACCCTGAGACTTTGGCAATTATGTTACTAAAAACTAACTATCGAAAATGCATGATTGAGGTCCTCAATTCCCAATGCAGAGAATATAGAGATAACATAAAAAGTTGTTTGCAAAAGATAAAACCCTTAGCTGTTATCCTTCAGCCTCCACTGACTAAACCAAATTTTGAACAAGTTGAAAAGGTCACCGAACTTTTCCTCCATCAATTAGCGTAGATTGTATGTCACTGTATGCAGAACTTAAGATTTTTGTTAACTTTGTAAATGAGACAGAAGAAGAATGTAAACAGTCCACGACGCCAGAGACACTGCTTTCAAAAATAAAGAAATTTTCCCAAACGTTTATAAATGCTACAAACTTCTGTTTACTGCTCCAGTAAGTGTGGCTGATATTGAAAGATCATTCAGCAAAATGAAAATTGTCAAGAACTACTTGCGCTCAACAATGAAAGGTGAAAGGCTGGAAGAACTCATTGTCTTCTCAACCGAGAAGGATTTAACAGATAAAATTCATCTGGATGTAGTACTAAAATCTTGGGCAGCCAGAAAAAAACCGTAAATTCAGAATAAAATTTAAGTAAAAAGCAACACCTCAAGAGTACGATGAGATGATTCTCTTTTAAGACTTTTGATATGAGAACAAATATACATTGCTTTACTGTTATGTCCGAAACGGTTAAGGTTTATATTTCAAAAACAGTTTTTGTAATAATGTATGTGTTAGAAACCTAGTCTTCAATAAGGTATACTAATAAACCACGCATGCAACAATAGAAATGATTATAATTTGCCAGCCATAATGATTTAAGGGGTTTTTGTGGGCAACGCCCTTTTGCAGGGCAAATTTTCTCCACACCCCCCCATTACTTCAAGTCTAGTTACGCCCCTGGTCATCACTGGTTTTCTCAAGTTAGTGACAAGAAAGTTTTGAAGCGAGGGAAAGATGTTTTCTGTTATCACTCGACGACAGAAATTTTGAGGCACTAAGGCTTGTATAACGCAAGTTTGTCGATTTTGAACAATATGGCGAAAGATTTACTCGTCCCTGAATCTGAAGAATTAACGATGTGACAACAGTCGAGCAAGAGGACATTCGACTTGATAAACTTGCCCTCGAAGTAATGTGGTTTTAAAGGACTTTCCAAAGACATCATGCTATTAGCTTTTTTATTCAGCACCATTGAAAATGATTCAGCCCTGGCAAAGTGAAGATGCAAGCTTAAAAAATTTCTACACGAGGAAAATTAAATGTGATAACAAGGCATATTGTTTAATCATTGATGGAGGATATTTAGTCTAACTATCCCAATGAACATATTGATGAGGGAAATACGTCTGTAAACGTCCTGTGATAGGAGAAGATCCCAATGTAACCATGTGATTATCTAACTAAAAGAGAATAGTGTCGTTATTTTGTTTTTATAATTGTTTCAAACTGTTGTTTCCAATTTGCCTATAACATTTTGCTCAGCTTTAATTGATAAATTATAAAACTTTGTTTTACAATCCTTTACATTCGCAGTCAAAGCCGTAGCTCTTTGCTAAAGCTGCAGAATTTGGAGGAATTCACAAACTTGTTTTCAATTCAACCATGAAAGCGCGTCATATATGCAGTTTGGCAAAATTTAATCACTCATGACGGCGAACTTCCCACTGCATTCACTGAGGAAGAAAGCCCTACTTAACTCGTGTTTGCTTGCCTACAAGACTGCTGATGTTAAAGTTTAACACACCCAACCCACCATACAACAAGTTTACTAAAAGCCCTAACTATATAGAAAAAAGTCTTTTTTACTTCAAATTAATTATATCTATGTTGCAGCATTATCGAAGGATTTCATCCAAACATAACTGAACTAAATTCTTGTGTAACAAGAAGCTTTACAAAAGTACTTATCTACAATCTGCAATATGCAGTTAGCAAATTGGATGATGTGAAAATTAGCACTGATTTTAAGCAGAATGCTTCACAGCTGCTTCGTCATCATGCACGACAATCGTTTGTTTATAGGGGTCACAAATATGACACCTTAATATAGCGTATGACAGTTTTCGAAAAATGCAAATGAAGCTTGATTAGTTTCAAAATTTAGTAGGAACTAAATAGTCAATACGGTTTTTATAATACATCTTTCAGTATAAGTTTATATTGCCGTCTATTACTTCCATCAAAATTCAATTAAAAGAATTCATTGGCACGAAGTTTTATCAACGTACATTTTTCTACGAAAACAATCTAGACTAGCTTTAGTTCCTGCATTAAGATTTTCTCAGCTGCAACGTTCTATGCAACTTTCTTAATCTGTTATGATGTAAACATAGTTACATCAGGTGTACTTGTCATGATCAATGTTGACTTTGTGTGTTTTCAAAGTATGGATAGGAGTAAAATCTCCAACTTTGTTGAATATTCTTCGTACATAGTTCTAAAATCAGCTTCTTTCCAAACTGTTGCAAGCAAAGGTTGTGACCAGATAATCTAATAAACTCATCCTAAAGAGAATATAAAAAAGTCATTTTCCAAAAATCGGCTCCTATTTATATTTTGTTTTACTCTGCCGTGGAAGATAAAGTCGGAAGGCTCATGCAGTGAGAATGTCACTTTTCTAATTCGTAAATGTCTTATGATTCTACCGTAAATGCTTTGAATTTTTTTTGTTTCAAACAATTTATACAATAAAATAGCAAATGTATCCAATTTTATTGAGCATATTTAGCATCACAGCAAAAATATTTATTTATTTTAAAAATATATTAATATGAATACGAATTTTTTTGGTAGAGTTATAAGAAAAAAGAAAATTCTTATGGGAGAGTAATAAGTAAACTTTCTTACAAACTTTCGTAATGAATACTCTGAAAATGCGAAACTAGTTAGTTAGGACACAAGAAGCGAAAGTCCAATAAGCATTGAGAAAATTTTACTTTTAGTTTGTTGTACTCTCTTGTACAAAGCAAATGTTTTAATCTTTAAACTCACATACATTTTTAAGAAAAATATTAGTGGGATAAAAATTATTTGGATAGCATTTTCTCCCATTTTCAGTGAATTCTTCACTCACTTGACTGTAAGAAAACTTTTTCCTGGTTCTCATAGCTATGTTTTCTGTTTAAAATGTTTACAACCCTCATTCTGTTGCCATGTTTTGGTGGCAAATTATTTCACGTCATATGCTTCCATTTGTTTTTTTGATAACGCTAGAAACGTTTTTTAAAAATTAAAGCTATGATGAATTCACATGGACACCAGGTTGATAGCCAAGTAACGACTACCAAAAAAGCTCCTTTCATATTTGGATGCTATAATGTTGCTGCCTCTCCACCATTTAGTTCTCGTATAAATTATAAGATTTCTCTACATTTCACTGTTTCATTTTTCTTGTTAGAGCTACACATCAATACATTCAACATACCCTGGTATGCTCCCACTTTATGTGTCCATGAATTGTTTTACAATGCTGCATTTTAACGTCAACTCCTTCCAACCGCTGAAACACCCATGCAATGACCGTTTTTCCAAATTTCCATTTCTTTGTGTAAATAAAGAACTATATAATGCAAAAAGCAGAAAAATTGTTAACCGTCCACCCTTAGGAGTTTTCGAATCCAATATTAATTAGCCTCTTGATTGTGACACATTTGTCATCCTGGGAACAAAAATTTTATCACGACCAGCAAAGTATTCCAGCAGGTAGACAAAAGTGAAAAGAACAAACAATGAAAATACTATTTTGGCTCTGTTACCTGATTGCCTCCCAGTCCATGACATGGATACATGCCAAGTTGATGTCCAGCATTTTGTTTCCGAATGTGTCAATGCACATTCCGCTGTAGGCGTTTATCACCTGAATATTGGATAAAAGAAAAAACGAAAGTTCTCTTTAAAGTCACTGTCTTTAGAACTATACTTTTTGTGAAAATCCCTTTACAATGTTCAAATAAACAAAAATGTTCCATGATAAATTCTTTGTTCAATTAGAATTATCAACTTTGGAAGTCATTTAACATTCATACAAAATTGACTGCAAACTTATAAGAAATAACGTATCCTCTCAACTAAAAAAAGTGTACCTTACCTCCTGGGCCTTTCTTAACTATATAAGTGGGGGCGTTCGCCCCACCCCAACTCTCATTCCGCCCTCCTCACTTATGGATTTTGCCCCCATCGAGGGGCAATTCCACTATGCCTTCAATTTGTGCTTCATAACGTAGTAATGATGTTTTAACATGTCGGCAGTGCAAAAATATCTTGTATGTTGTTCCCGACACCATTTTGTTTAGCATTTTGATAATCTATAAATTTTGTGCAAAATGGCGTCGAAAAATGAAGAGCTCGTGTATAAAAAACACCACTGCAATATCAAAAATACAAATACTAATTGTTATCCTTTGCTTTTGAGAAGGAATAAAACAAATACAAAATTACAACAAACGTCATAAAACTCTTTTATTTATTAAATCTTATTTTGAGTTTGCGGCGAAGGAACGTCACCAGGTGAGCAATGGCCGACGAACCTTGTGCAATACCGCCAACACAGGGGGGGCGCTACAAGCGAAGCAGATCGGCATAGGTTGTGAACCTCTTCCCCAAGGAAACGATGGACGTGATGAGATCGTCAGAAGCGGTTGTAAAAAAATTGTTAAACACAAAGAACCATTTAAGACAGAATCTTCATAATTTTGTAACTCATCGAGCAGATTGGCGTGATGTCGGCTAAGGTTTTCTAAGAGTTGCTTTGTTGGAGAGGAAAGGAATTTTTCTAACTCACCTGAGTTGACTCATCTTTCATAAAGCTCATTCGTCTGCTCTGTTTGGTCGTTTTTCGAATTTTTAAAACTATCAATCACGAGTCTTTTGAAAGCGTCGTACAGGTATTTTAGGAATCGCATTGCGTTGTTATAATGCTTTCTTTTAAGCATTTGGTCAACGGAAGATTCACCAAGAAGATTTGCTTCGATTACGATGTCGCGAAGACCAGCATCAGCAAACCTCTTTCCGATAACAGCAAGGAATATACACATTGTATGAAACCCTCCAAGCCCCAAAACGACGAACTGCTTAAGATCTATGTATCTTGGATTCATCATAACTTCCACAACCTTAGCGTTTATCGCAATATCAAGCACCACATCTGTTTCGATTAAACCAAGTTTTTCTGCCTTCACCTTTAATTGACTGAGGAGTTCCAGAACAGTATCATGGGACGTTGGAGATTTGTTAGTCGACGGCAGGTATCCAATTTCATGGTAGCTGTTGTTGTCGTTGTCGCACAACAAATAATTAAAGCCTGTCCAACTAGGTATCTGCTGCTCGAAATTTGTCTTATTGACTTGAGCTCTGGCGATGATCCAAAGCGTATCAAAAATGTATGAGAGTTTTACTTCGTCTGTGTGCATGCGTAGCTGAATGCTAGTCGTGGCTTCTGTGTTTTTGCGCTTCACCTGAACGTACGAAGGTATCTCTGTTAAAAGAGGTTCAAACTTTTTCGTTTTTTGTTTCATACATGAATGTGGAGACACTAAGGCGTCTACAGAAGATGGCTGGGGTTCATTTATTACAACATATGATGGCTCGATGACAATGCCATTCGTACAGTGCAAACTAGGCCCTTTGAGACTTTCAGGATTGATGTTGTTGTTATCCCAAACAAAAGTGACGAATTTAGATGGCTGAATAATAGCTCGAGAAAAGGACCTGTGAACTTGGTCTTTTAAATGTTGAATTGCCAGAGTAGTTTCAAGAATAAACACATCATCATAAGACATCCCGTGGCCGAACTTTTGTATCCAGTTGATAACTATTTTGGAGCCCGTCTTTCTTTTGATGCAAAAAGGAAAGGTTGTATGCTTTGAAGTTTTTTTCCGACCATTGTTGGCGTGGTAGATCAGATCTGGTCCAATTAAGGACGCTAAACGCATCACCTTTGCGGATTTCGTTGATTTATGAATGAGGACTCCTTCCAAAAAACAGGTTTGTTAGTATTGGAATTTCTTTTTCTTCGGACAGAAGCTCTGGTGGTGGCGAACTTCTAAAAGTACTGGCAGTTTCCAATAATTCTTTACGTATTTCATGGCTAACTGCCCCTTTTCAACATTGTTATTACTCACTGCCGTACTTTGGACACCAAAACCCAACTTTTGAACCAAAAGATTTCTGAATCTTATCTTTAAGCTTTTGTACTTTAAGTGAGCTAAACTGATGTTCAGCACCAAATAAACGTTCTGCAATTTCTAAGTATTTCTTAGTTAAATCAACCATCCGCCAAACTTCACACCCAAGGATTACCTTCTCTTCGATGACTGCAGATAGCTCCTGAAAAACGGTTTCACCATTGCTTGAAGCCACTGGTTTTGTCTTGCGCTTTTTGCAGATTTCCATATAACACGATCTGTGATAAAAATACTCCTTTGCTAAAGTTGTCTGCCATTCTGAGTTCCAAACCTCTGTTTACAAATGTGGAAAATCGAATGATAGAGCAGCATCGTGCGAAGATCGTGCACCATTCTCAGTCTTGCATTTTTCCAATTGCTCATAACCACTTCCACCTTCTGCTGTTTTTCCTTCCACACACACAACACTCGTGATCTGCCAATAACGTACCTACATATATTTACATAAGTAACTTAATCAACTGTAAGTTTTAATTATAATTAGGGTCTTACTGATAAAGAGACATCAGCGAATTATACCTCTTCGATCTGTTTTTCTTGTTGAATCTCGCTGTCGCTCACGTATAGGCTTTTTGACTTTTAACTTGCCGTGAGTATATTTTTTATAACATTTTCGATGATACCCGTACTCTGGCGAGGGAAGATCTTTCCCAAAAGAATCGATTATTGCAATAACTTTCTTATCCTCACGTTTCTTTGCAGCTTTGTAGATAGATTTTTTGGACGTGTCACTGAATCTAATCATCGATTCACACGGACTCTTTTCGCTGCACTGAAGAATGCACCCGATAAATGTTTTATTTGATGTAGAGTTTTTTTGTGCTTTTGACAGTGAAATACTCACATCAACTTCAAACGGTATATTTTTTCGTTTTCCAGACATAATTTGTCAGACATTACATGCAACCAATACAACATGCCAGGCGAACATATAATTTTTATGTAGTTTATATGAAGTATGGCAATGCCGCTGATCAAAGTAGCCAAGTCTCACTTCTACCTGCAAAATTATTCAAAAATCATGGCGCTCCTCAAAACAAACCAAACGCTGTCAATAAAAGTTAATCGTCGGCCTTCTAAAGAACATTTTTTCTCGCCGACTTATTCAGATGGTTTTTAAAGGTGTTTAACTACAATTCTAGCATAAAATGAAATTGCCCCTAGGTATGGTAAGTTTTTACTCAATTTTCTTCACATATCTGCCTGACTATCAGAGGTAGCAAGCCTCCAGTTACAGAATTCTAGTCAGCTTTTTGTGTCCTATTGCATCACAACATGATTGTTGAAAGGTCTGTCTCAACATACAACATGCTGTTTTCTAACCTACGAACAGCCACTTCAGAGATGACATTAGTTGACTGATTATTAATTCACTGGAACGGTGTTACGAGCGCTCATTACGATCCACGGCTTGCTGTTTAGAAATTCATGCTCGATAAAGACAGAAGAATGAATTTTCCAACTGTCAGCACGTAAATGGAAAGGGATTTTATCAAGAAGTTTTTCAAGCAACCCTCACAACAATAAAACTTTTATTGTAAAATATTGTAAACTCGTTAGGTCTATAGAGCTTTTACAATCAAGGTTGCTTGTTTGTTTGTCTTATATGGAACAAGACAACCATGGGAATATTTAATATATTCAAAATGTTTAGTATGAATATTTCTATACATCTTATATTACTTGTATTACACTAGACCCTTTTGTCACCCAACCCCCACTGAGAAATTCTGAGAAAGGCCCTGCTTACCTCTCCTCTTCCCAATGGATTCAGATCAGGAATTTGCATTTCTGGCATGAGCATTTCAAGATACCAAGAGAAAGTCTTGCATTGTAATCTTTTTCTCAATTTTTGTCTTTCTGATAAATCGCCAGCATCCAGTTTCGCAAATGAAGGATGCTTCATGGTATATACAAATGGCTTAAATTCGTCTAGCCAGACATCTACAAAGCGCTTTATATTCTTGTCTGTTGAGTGCATGTCAGTTTTGTAAGGCATTCTATCACGAAAGACATGGCCAACTTTTGAGCAAGGTAAAATTTCTATTGTTCCACCACACATCCAAATCTATCAAAGAATTGTAATTAGCATTTATACGTTTTATGTCCTCAAAATGTGTAAACCGACTCATTACAGTTTTTTAAAGAAGTACTGTCACAAAGCAAGCCCTTTTAAAACGATACGTTTTAGCATGACAAAGAATGACTATAGCACTATACAAGAATACAACGATGACTTGTATTCTTTTAATTATAGAGAACTAGTTTGATTTCATTTTTTTGCAATTTTTCGTGCTGCAGAGTTTCAAATACTGATCAATAAAGGGAATAAAACACTTTGGATCGAATATCAATACTGGTGTTAATGATAACAGCCAATGGGATGAATTTATTTCATACTAGCCTACCCTAAACGACATCTCGAGGTTTTCACCACCCCAGTAAGTCATATTGGTGTCATATGCTCCAAGACGATAAAAGAATTTTTTTGATATTGCAAACAAGCCACCAGCCATTGTCGGAGATCTAAATGAAAGTCATGCAATTTAATTATGAGAAGTTTGGCCTTATTGTTTCAATGAGTGCATATGCGATTATAGTCCAGCGGATAGGCGTTTCATCAATATGTCATTGACTTACATAATACACACATTTTAGAGAAGGAAAGCGTTATTTCTTGCAAAGTATCACAATTTCTTCATCATTGAATCAACTCAAACTCAAGCTTACGCATTGTATATAATCTATATTTGGAGAATTTGTAGCTTTTTTATCAAACAATGAAACATAGTTAACAAAAGAAACCTCAATGGTAGTCCCCTGATCTCCCTTGATTTCTCTTCTGCATTCATCTTTCGCCATTTGAAACGCATTTCCCAATTAAATATTCCAATACTAGGTTCGTGTCTCTGTGCGTAGTGAAATGTTTTATGATCAATAACTTCAATGTCAGGTGTAACAACGTGTGTTTGATCCTCGCTAATTCTTGCTAAAAGTGGCTCAAGCCAACCTTTGTTTGCTTCGCAATGCGAATCAAGAAAAACTAAAACTTCTCCCATGGCTTGACTTGCTCCGAGCATTCTAGCTCCCACAATTCCATGGCGCTTTGGCATTCTCAACAAGCTTACTTTTTCAACAATCTTAACTTTTCATGAAGTTTTGATCCCAAATGTTCTAGTATATGAAAAATTCCATAATATTATTGGCTATTGCTTTAATAGCAAAAAATAGCTCATCTTTGGGCCCATTCACACTTAATTCGTTAGCTCATCGAATTATTTGATTCGAAATCGATTCGTTTTAAAATGAAAAAACACGGGTGTTCACAATTAAAGTTTTATCCGTATTATTTTTCGCTTGATAACATAGTATCATAAGAAACTCAAAAAGATAGATATAGAGAAGCAGGTCTTTTAGTCTACGTCTAGGGTATTGTGGGTACATACCTTAGAATGTATACTTTATGTAAAATGTATGTTTACATTTACTTCACGTGATTGACATTAAATTTTGGCGTCTTTTCTAAACCTTCATTGAATCTTTGAGAATAAAAATATTTAATAATAACGAATACAAATGGCGGAGATTACTGGAATGGGCATACTTTTGCGGGAATACCAAAAGAACGGAAAAAAGCCACAAGATCGAAGGTAATGCGAAAAAAATACTGCAATACTTCTCCGATTCGAGACGACCATTTCAAGTGGCCCGAGTTAGTTCGGATTGAATTCTTTTTTGCATCACTTACAAGTGTTCACATTAGCCCTCATACAGACTCGAATCGATTTCGAATCGATTTAAAGCGTTAGTGTGAATGGGCACTTAAATTAAATGTTCGTAAATGTAGATCGTCCAGGTTGGTATAGTCCTGAGGACTGTTCTTGTTGTTGACTGACGTTTCGACAACCTTAGCGGTAGTCATCTTCATAGTCAAATGCAAAACAGTCCTTCTCAGGACTATACCAACCTGGACGATCTACATTTACAAACATGTAAAGATACTCCCGGGTTCAAACCATTTACTTTAGCACTTAAATTAAGTTATTTAAAATTACTAAAGTTACATTAAACAATGACATTGTGATGGTAGTGTCTACAAAAAACTTTAATACTACTCTAAACAACGTTTTGATATAAAAAAGAACTGTTTTAAGTAAAAATTGAGACAAATTATATCAAATTATAGTAGTTACACGATGCATTTTGGCAGACTTCTATTGAGTGCGCGCTTCTTAGTAATGACCACCAAAAATTTACTGACATTTGTAAGAATACGAAAAATTACGTCGCATTCTAAAACAATGGTAATTTTAAACCAACGTGGTTTATGAATTTTCTTGTGGTGGATGTATTTCCAGTTACATTGGGGAGACCACCCGCCACCTTTCCACACGGATTAAAGAACACACAACCACGGATGAAAACTCACACATATTCAGACACTTACTCTCCTCACCACACTGCAAAAACAGTTACACACAATCCTGTTTCCGTATCTTGGACACCGCTCACATGCCTTTCGCCCTTAAACTCAAAGCCCTTTATATCAAGAAGCGTAAACCTAACCTCAACAAACAAATACAACATCTTAACACTATCTTTGACCTCATTCCAAAGCCATCATCAGAGAATACATATAATATATTAATCCTAACACGGTTTTTTAATATGCACATGAAAAACATGTGACTTGGACGAATTTGTCGCACTTTCGGGATACTAGTCCGCCGCTCTTTGTTGACCCACAGGATTGGAGACGAGTCAAATCTCTTAAAACTGCGTATGGACGAGAGAATCTCGCCACTATAGTAGTTTACTGAAGTGACGAGAATCTCTCGTCCATACGCAGTTTTAACAGATTTGACTAGTCTCCAATCCCTGTGGGCTTGGTAGCTCAAAAGGTAGAGCGGCGGGCTAGTATCCCGAAGGTGCGAGTACAAATCTCGTCGAAGTCACACGTTTTTCAAGTGCATATTAAAAAACCGTGTTAGGATTAATATAACTATCTTTGACCTGTTAATAGCAAATACTACTTTATCAAGTATTCATTTTCTTTGCAATTTTTTCTTTTCTTTGATAAAACCTAACACGATAATTATTCATAACTATTCGATACTTTCGCTTTATCACTATATACATATTATCATGTAAACTTCCTATATTTATTCACTTCGCACTGAAGATGGCATAAAGTATGCCGAAACATGTTTGCTATAAAGAAATTTGTCGTCTATTTTAAATGTTCAGTGTATATATTAAGAAATTTCAGCTTTTTACCCAACATTATATATGCGATCGACAAAGAAACTAAAAAAGTTATTGATGTTCAATAAGCATGTGATTTGCCAAGAAATGTAACTGCTATGAAGTTTGAGATTATTTCCTGATGAAACAAAATGAGAATGTCTCTTGCTAACTTTACTATAACATTTTTGTGTTAATCTAGTTATTACTGGCCTGTTTAATTTTGAGCACAAATAATTTTAAGGTAGGTGACCCTTGCCGACCAGACTGTAAGTTTAAAGAGAGTTAGTTAAAAAGTTTGTACAAATGTGTGTCATTTCGATTCAACTCTTCTGATTCTTAAAATCTTAAAAACTTGAAAAAAAGCTAGCAGCAATGAATACACATTAGCACGTTCAAAATTTCTAAAATGGTAAGAGAATGAATCGTTTAACTTACCGAAGCCATTAAATATTTCAGATCCATCATCAATTAGGATGATTTCTAGTAGAAGCTCATGAGGTGAGCGAGAGAGAACGCTGTATATTGTTCGAAGCAATGTCGACCATGCTTCGTTATGAAAGATAATTATCACACTCGCTAAAGGTAAAATTACTGGGTATTTTATGGTAAAACATCTGTAAAAATATAAAGTAAAAAACGATATTTTTGAGAGTCAATTAAAGTAAATACTCATAACATTTTACGCACAAGACTCCCTTACATAAATGTTGGTTGTATTGTATGTATTTTTGTCAGATTGGGGACAGATTAAAGGAAATAAACGCAGATTGAGTATAATATAGAACAAGAGAAATATGAAAGCTGTGAAAAATATGAAATTCTTACTTACTTATGTAATCTATTGTCTGGTATATTTCTGAGAAGTCCAATTTTCTCACTTTCCAACTCATTGAAACTGTATTTACTAAAAATTCTCTTCTGAACTGATGATAAGTTTTTTTCTGTAGACATTGCATTTAATAGATCATCCTTTGCTGTTACTGGCGCATAATCAACGTAACGACTTTCAAATGCTTGAATATTCTGATGAATTGCTTCATTTCTATGAGCATGGTGCTTTAACGATCCTGTGATAATTTGATCGTCTACGCTATTTGAAAAGATCTTTAGCAACAATGTTAATTCACCAATGTATATGGTTGATGCGATAATAACAGCTATTGTCAAATAAAAAGCCTTTCTTCTTTTGAGCAGCATAGCTCGCGTGTTGACTATTTTTTATTTTGCATTCTCAGTTGCTTAATACTTTACAATCTTGTTTAAAAGGAAAATTTCATCATTCATTACCTTTCAGCAAAGTAAGATTCTATTGATGTGTAAGTTGTAATAAAAGGACAAAATAAGAATATAAATAAAAAACGAAAAGGATATTATTCACCGCCACACGTTGAGACCACAGGTACCATTGTCAATAATTGACAATATTGATAATAGAATTGCTTCTCGTAAGTCATTGCCGTGACAAACATGATTGCTACTGATACATTATGTTTGACGGTCTTGTAATTTTTATAGATATAGTCATATAATTTAGTTCGTTTAACCTGTTTTTATCTTATTTGAACTCAGTTCTCTAAAGACAACCAGTTTAAGTTCTCCTGCAATTAAGGGAGATTCTTTCACGTTGGTCGGTGAAAAAGGCTAAAATTTTATCTTCCCAGATAATGGTTGTCACTTAATTTGAAGAATTTTACCAGGACGCATTAAATTTGTTCTTTAAGAGGGTTGCCACAAGAATGCATGCACTTCTTTAAACTTACGAGTTCAACAATAATAGTGTAAACTTTTGTAACGTTTGATAAATTTTTAGTTCATCGCGTGACCGAGGTGTGATGATCAAAAAGGCAAAAACATGACAAGATTTAACATGAATTCGCTGTTTTTTGCTGAGGTAGTGATAGTAAAAACATATACTTTATACATAGTTCATTTACACTATATGGCTTTAATAATTTAAGAGACTTTGCACATTATAATACGTTATAATGTGCAAAGTCTCTTAAATTATTAAAGCCATTTTTGCCAACTATATTCAGACAACATGTTAGTTTTACAATCTTTATTGCATACATCTTCAGCTGGTATTCTACTTCTTTCATGCTAGAGAATCTTTCATTTTCTGAACATTGTTGGTTCTCCGTAAGTTTTTGTAGTAGCCATGAGCCTTCTGGTTTTTGTCATGTTCTGCCAATTTCAGAGTATTATCATTATTCATTTCTCTAGGATCGATTGGTTACTGGTTAGAATACGATACGATAGAACGGAAAAACTTTACCTGTACTTTAACTATAAGAATTTAGTTAACAATAAGATTAGATGGTAACAACAAAATACACTTACAAATACATATGCACAACGCTGAAATTTTGCTATGGCTTGAAATCAGTTTATGTTATTACTCCATTAATATGTTATAATTTCCACATTCTGGCCATCACACAACTAAAATTCCAAAACAAATCTTTTCACAAATTTGTACATGAACGATTATACGAAGGGAGCCCATCTCAACTTGGTGCACTTGTGAACTCCACGCGAGACATTACACGCGAGAGAAGGGAAATATGAAGAATTAGCAAAAAAGTACCCCCAAATGTGTTTTGTCTCTTGTGTGTTTGATTACTGCCCAAAGTTTGGTAAGTTGTTTTATAATATTTTATCATAGTACTTTTCATGGCTCGTTACATTTATAAAATTCATCTTGCTTTCAAGATATTTCAACGGAATAATTAACGGTTTGGACTTAGTCATGTTGCCAAAATGCTCCCTTTGTGGTAAAGTTGTATACCCGGTAGAACAATTGAAATGTCTTGATCAGGTTCGTATGGGATACTTTCATGTTCGCTGTTACATCTGCTGCAAAATTAATCTATTTACGACGTATCTCTTTCGAGGTTATTTTTTCATTGCAAATTTAACGGTTAGGTCTGGCACAAGAAATGCTTTAAATGTGTCGTGTGTGGAATGACTTTGACAATGAAAAACTATAAAGGATATAATAAGAAGCCATACTGTGGAGCGTAAGTATAATATTTAATTACTTTACATTTAAATCAGTTTATGACATATTTTCAGTCAAGAATGTCTTTCCAATTCAAAGCATTGTTTGTCATTGATTTAAACTAATGATATCAACAAGTTGGAGCTGTGCTTATGTGTCCTATAAAATTTTGTTTTATGTCTGTCTGTTGTCTTGTCATTTTTGATTTGCAAATGATTTCATGGAATCGATCGAACAATAAAATTTAGCCGCGCAGGCTCTGGAGTCAACAATAGCAATAATGAAATATGCTTTTGTATCAGACTTCCTTCATGGCTGACATAAAAATCGACAATAGGTAACCATGGTCGATTTAAAAGTTACCTATCAATAACTGGAAATTACTACGATAAAAAAATTATTATCTATGGTATCATTTAAAGTAGTTTAGCATTCCTTATCCCTTGGTTTCAAGGGAAAAACCAAATTGTAGTTGACAAAGAAACTATGTTTGTGAACTGCGAAGTATAATATTTGCTCATACTTACGTCTGTTGTAATATCAAATTACTTTTAATTTATCGCGTGACTCTTACTGATATGACAAACAAGCTCGCTGATGAATAACTAATGAGGAAATATTTATATAGTAAAGTTAGGTTTTGAGTTTGTATTCATCATTTGCATCTTCTCCTTTTTAAATGCCATTTTTCAGAACCATTGTCAATTATTCATACTTGGATTAATTTAAGCTCAAGTATATGCATAATTGATAAGGATTATAACAAGATGACATTTAATCAAACGCGAAAAGTTCAAAATAATTCGCACTTTGAAAGCTTAGTGCTCGCGTACCCATAGGCCAAATTTCCTAAAACTTTGTTAGCCTGAGCAATATGTACCATATTTTATTCCAATGTGTTTAATTACTTTTTAGCTGTATCATTATTGTGCGCAAGCTATTTCAAAAGTGCTATTTAGCAACACAATTCTCACTCTAAAAATGGTTATTATTTTCGAAACTTTTAATGTTAGATGAGCCGTTGGAAGTCTTACTGCCTGTTTCCACAAAAGGTTCTTGCAGATCTTGCGCACTTATGACTTTTGCAATGATTTCCTAGTTGTTCAGGTTTTTTTTTGATACACCCCGTAGATAAATTATGTGCAAAACGAATGAAATGAAATAAAACGAGCATTATTGAAGAATGGTGAACGCTTGCAGCTTGTCTGCCAATATACTAAACTTTTTTTCCATGTTGGCATGTGTTTGTTACGTACACTTTTTTCAAAATTTATTGCTTAGTGAAGCCATGGAGCTTTCTGCCTCTCTAATTCTCCCCAACTCCTCGGTACTTTGAACAATAGAACAGTCGAAAGACTAGAAACTTGAAAGTACTGTGGCAGTTATTTGCATGCAGCTTTGCGCCCAAACGAGTCGAGAGTCACGAGACCTCAGAGTTTGTATGTAATACAAAGTATGCAGAAATCACTAACGAAAATCCAAAGGAAATCTAAACGATTGCAAATTGGTATTTCGCCAGACATGTTGGGACTTGGTGTTAGTGAACAATAACATTTGAATAGACTGCTCTCTCTCTCCTCTATATATATTGTAGAAAAGTGAAAGTATCTCCGGATTTTTTAAAAATTATTTTATTGAGCTTTCGACTCGGTGCTTCGAGCCTTCTTCAGAATAATATTGGAAGTTATTAACAATTGTTTTTAATTTGCAGACGTTTAGAACGTCTAATTGTATTAATTCATGGATTGAGATGATTGAATGATTTGGAATGCGTTGTTATGGGAATTTATATTCGCAACTTGGTTCAGTAAAGCCAACGACAAAACAGACATATTGACATACCCATCATATATTTACAACTAAAGAAAAGGGACAGAAGAACTACAAACAACACCAAGACTACAAAAACACACTAATAATACCAACACCAATCCTAATCATAATACACCCGAACCAAAACAACGCATTCCACACTATCCAATCATCTTAATCCTTCCCTTAATCTAATTAGACGCTCTAAACGTGTACAAATGAAAAGCAATTGTAAATAGATGATAACTTCCTATATTCTGAAGAGGGCTCGAAAAACAGAATCGAAAGCTTAATAAATCATTTATAAACAGTCCTGAGAAACTCTTATTATTGATCATAGATATGCCTGGATTACATATCTCCAAGCTTATATATTATATATACATATATATTGCAAATAATGCAAAATGTTCAAGTATAAGTATTTGTTTTTGTACAGACATTATCCTTCTACGAAGTTCACAGTTGTTTCTGATACACCCGAAAACTTACGTTTGGCTAAACAGTCAAAGCATCAAAGTCAAGTACGTACGCGTTGAAAAAATTAGCTACAAATAGCTGTATGGTCATTTTACTCAACTAACAATTCACCCACTTGGTTATTCTCATTTTCTACAACATTCCATCCAACATTTATGGCACCGAACAAAGATGATTATTACTAACATAGAGAGAACGTATATCATTAAAAGCTCTGTTTCTTTCAGTGCTTTCCTAAGTTCATTTTTTGCGGAAAGGGACCAGATGCAAGAATAAGTTTGCAGAAAATGATAAAAGAAGTGAAGTGATTGATCATGTTATGCCCTTAACGTGTCATGTATGTTAAAACAAAGGCAATGTCAGACTCCATTGACTTCAAAAACGGGAAATGGACGTTTATATTTTAACTTTTGTTGATTCAAAAAATATAATCAAAATATGAATAAGTACCTTAATTGTGCCACACTTTAAAAGTTATTGATTCTACATGTATCTAGTGTAATCACTATCAAATTGTTAGGTTGAGTATCACAAGAAGTTTACAGAAGAAAAAGGACATCACACAGCAGTTGCCGATGATCCTGAAACAGAGAGATTAAAGAAGGTTACAAAACAGGCCAGCCAGGTTCAATATACGGCAGAAACAAGGCAAACCGCAAAGGCAAAGCACATTGAAGAAGAAGGTTTGTTGTTTTGAGATTTTGAACCAAGTGTTTTGAAGAATGGATTGGATGTTGTGCAACGTGCCATGTAAACTGTCGCGAATTTTAGCATAGTGCGGCTGAAAAGTTATTTACAAAATTTAAACTCATTTTATGGTTCCAGTATTTTCCAACATGTAAGTCTTACCTAACACATATTCAAATGGTTTACTTTTAACAATGTTTATCTTCACCATTTACTTTGAGAGGATGAAATATTGAGACAAAAGAAGAGAAGAATTCTTTTCAAATGGCTAAGACCTTGAATATTTTATTTTGATTGCAGATTTCCAATCAACCACTCTGTTTTTAAGAAAGACGACTTATATTTGACATTATGTTCTTTATTGTTAGAACCATACCGAACCGAGATTTTACAAGGGAACCACTTCACATCCGATGATAATTTTGCACCAGTTAATGTTATAATACCAGTTTCGGTAGAATCCATTCCTCTACCCAAACAGGTGAGTTGTCATTTTTTTCGTAGAAGCACTATCGCTAATGCACATTTAATGTAGAACACAAATTTTTATAAAAATAGACATGTTTGGACATCTCATGATGCCATCCTCAGTTTGAGTAAATAATTACATAAATAATAATAAAAAACATTAACAAAACTAACCCTGACCTCAATGTTCAAGTTTTTAAATTCAACACAATATTTAGTTTGTAACACGCTCCCCATTTATTTGTCTCAATTCCTTATTATTGTTACAATTTTCCGTATTTATATATTTATGTTACTGTATCATATTATACTTTTATATAAACTTTGTATTATTTATGTAACTATCACTAATACTGAAGATGGCATTATGAGATGTCGAAACATGTCTATTTTTAAGAAATTTGTGGTCTACATTAAATAAGTTGTCATTATAATATTCCTAATAATAACGTTGATATCACGTGATTTACGTTTGTTTTTATTTTCTTAACTGAAGTTCATCTGTTATAAGCTGGTTTCTTGGAAATTTCTGGAACGTTTTTACCAGTTATTATATTATATTCAACATATTTATATATTATATTCGACATATCAAATCTGTGAAAACAATAAAGATCATAACAAAAATGAAAAAAAATCCATTTTTTTAAAAGTACATAATACATAAAATCATTCAGGTGAGAGTATCTGCAATCAAGATTTATAGACTAGTTTTGGTGTAGCAAATTTTTATAATGTATTTTTGAAAATATTCGGTGTTCATAAACTTTCTGCATTCTTCTTAAAGGAAATAAGATACATGGCAATTTACGACTATGATAAAGCCGAAGACGATGAGATAACTCTGTGTGAAGGTGACATGATCACAAATGGAGAAATTGTTGCGGAAGGATGGATGCTTGGTACAAACATGCGAACAGGCGAATATGGGATGTTGCCTTCAAACTACGTCGAACAAATATAACATAAAAGATGAAACAAATGATTTTATGTAGAAGTAGTTTAATAAATGGATATGCAGCTTCAATTAATTATTCAAAACAGTCTTTTTATTGTCATGGTTAATAATTTTAATCGACAGTAAATTCGTTAGACAATAAAACTCCCCGTCAAAGCAATCAATTGCCCCAATGGGATTCATGCTTGTGAAAACTATTATTAAAACATTTAAATATTTGATTTCTATCAGTTTGTTTTTTTTTTGTGCACACGAAGATAATTGCTTCTTTAACATATCACTGATGTAACAAACAAATGTCATAACCCGGGTTACGCAAATCACGTGAACCGTGTTTTGGTATCCGCGTGATATTTTCCGCCGACCACCCGTTTCTTTTTTAGATGGTCACATGACTTATATGAAAAGTTCGTATTCATTTTATATAGATCGTTATGCAAGGCATCTCCAACAACTTTTAAAATTCGGTAAAAATGAGGTTAGAAAGCGGAAAAAAGAGTGTATCTCTTTTTCGATCAGAAGAAATGACATTAGCACAGTTATTTCTACAATCTGAGGCGGCATACGCGTGTGTTAGCGCTTTGGGAGAGCTAGTAAGTCTTGGACATTGTGTTTATCTTGTGTTTCCCGGTATATAAGAATTTGTTATTTCTATCTTACTTTTAACCACTTTGTTGTATTTCCCAAATAGGGTTTGGTTCAATTTAAGGATGTAAGTAAGAAAGATGTAATTTTCTTTAGCTTTGCTTTAAATTAATATGAGTAACATTGTCAGATTTGAATACAAATGCTTAAATGTGAGTGTTATTCTATTTCAAGTATTTCTACATCTATGATCTATCTGTGTTAAACAGAATATTTGTGTTCTTAGGAAAAAACGGTTTGCCATTTCTTAAATTTTTGATTATTCTTTTGCCATTCCTGGCAATATGTAGTCCATCTATTAGAAAATATTTGCATTGACAAATTGGAAATTGAGAACAAGTATATTTATTATTCAAGTTGAATCCTGATGTGAATGCTTTTCAAAGGAAGTTTGTCAATGAAGTGCGAAGATGTGATGAAATGGAACGTAAACTAAGTCAGTGTAGCTATTATTTTGTTTATTTTGCTCAAAGAGTTACATGTTTACTGTATTTTTATTTGTACTGTATCAGTAGTTGGAAATCTTTACACTGAGCAGAGACTTTATTGACATCAGTATGTTTTTGTCACTATTAAACTTAGCTTTAAGCCCCTTACAGGCAATTAAATTTTTATGTGGAAAATTTTTTTGTTCCTCCCACATCACCTTGATACATTTGTTTGACTTCTCATGTTATCTTAAACCATACTGATAAAAAATTAGTCTTGTGGTAAATATTTCTAGGACAGTTGCATTTGCTCAGAAGCTGACATGCTAGCTTTTGAACAAATGCATTCGTTGTAAAGTTTGCCCAAGTTTCTCATACAGACGAGCAAAAAACATTAGTTACATAAAAATTAGTCATAGAAAAATTATGTTGTCTGTAAGGGGCGTTAGTTGTGGCATATTTCCCACAAATTATGCATATAAGTCTGATACACTGAACATTGGAAGTTAGTTGATGTTTATTTTGAATATAAGTGATGTCGAATGCAATCCTATTTAGTTATTTTCATATATTTCTCATAAAACTATAAAATGGCTTGTTAATTACATTTGTTGTTAATATGGACAACATGTTGTTAAGATGGAAAACATTTTCATGTTTTTAATTTTGATCAAGAATTGGATGATTTTGTTTCCATCTTTATAGGATTTCTGCAAAAGGAAATACTTAAGGCTGGCATTGACATTGGAACATCTCATGGAAGTCCTTCTGCCCCTCATCCTCGGGAAATGATTGACCTTGAGGTATTTAAATTACTACCGTACTGAGGATAAGGTTTCAAAATTTTTATTTTCAACCAGTGGTGGATCTGGGCATGTTTTAAATTTGATATATGTCACAATTGGAATCCTGTAGCATATTTTTTAGCAAAATTTTGCATGTAGAAATGATTGTGAAGTCTTTCAAATTTCAAAATTATCCATTGAAGTGTATTCTGACTTCAAAATCATTTAAAATTCTGTGTAAATTTGTAACTGTTGAGATGTCTTGATTGTTCTGTGTTTTTGTTTTTATATGACATGATTTGCTACCCAATCTTGCTCTTAGTTATTTTGTCAAAATGGCCTCCTTAACTGATTTGAAAAATTAAAACCAGTTACAGTCTTAATTATTTTTTAAGAAAGTGAAGATGTTTACAAAGGTTTTCCTCTGATAACTATGATACATTAATCATCTTTCTTTGGGAAATTCTTTTTTTTACTAATTCATCTTTTTCCTTTTTCCATTTTTATTAATGTTGTGTTTGTATCTTTAATTGAAGGCACAATTTGAACAGCTTGAAAATGAAATGAAAGATAGCAATGTGAATTTTGAAGCTATGAAGAAAGGCTTATTGGAACTTACTGAGCTCAAACATATTTTAAAAAAGACGCAAGTGTTCTTTGAAGAGGTCAGTTCATCAAGGGTATCTTTAAGATGGTCTTTCATAGTTTGCGCTTGTTGTCAAGTTATTTACACAATTTAAAACAAATCACACGTTTCAATGGATGTCTTGTATGGAGAAGAAGACACCATTTTTACATATCTCTGAGGGTTTTTGTAAATTTCTCGTGGGCAATTAGTGATTGATTACATATTCTATTGTGTGTGTGCCGCCATGTTGGCATGTAGGCTGAGCATCATCTCTATGAACCACAGCATGAAGGAAGAACTGATGACTTAGCCAACTTGCTGGATGAACATCAAGAACAGCCTGGATCTCAACTTGGGTTGGTATTGACATGTTAACCTGTCTTTATAGGGTTTAATTATGGTACATGTTGTTTAAGCCACACATACGTAGCAAGGTTTTAAGAAATTTTGATGATGCGTAAGTAAACGCTTAGCTTTCAAAATATGGATTTTGAATTTTTGTTTTTAGTGCTATCTTGGTATAATCTTGATCAATTACGTATGCGTAAATTTGAGCTTAAATTAATCCAAAGTGGATTATTGATAAACTTGTTAAGAAAATGGCAATGAAAAAAGGAAATACGCAAAATAATCCCCAATTTGGTTGCCTAGCGTTCGTGCACGGTTTGGACACGTTCAATTTCCCTGAAGTTTGTACGCTTGACAACATGTACCATATTTTAGCCGTATGTATGTTCAAATTGCTTTATACGTAGCATTGTCATTTTCGTCCGCAATCTACTTCAAAAGTGCTTCTTGTTAACACAATTCTCACTCAAAAAGAGGTTATTATTTGCAAAAATTACACTGTCAAAGGTTTTTGTAGATTTTGCGCGCTGATAATTTTAACGACGTTTTATACACCCAGGACGTATGTATAGCTATGTAGCTAATTCAACAACATACGTTACGTAAGTAAATTGCAGATACGTGTGGTGAATTTAAAATCGTAATGTTATGGCTCCTAAGCAATCGGTTTGCTAAATTTTGCTGCATACGTACGTATTTAACAAGCTTTGAGCATCAAACTTTTGCGTGTTCCCTGTCACAAACAATTCATACTAAAATGACATGAATTTCGTCCATTGTGCGTGTTTTTACGGTGCAAATTTTTTTTGGAAAATTTAGGTACTGCTTAGTATGTTTACATCGTTTCTGCTAGATACGGCTCATAACAAAAAAAGTCAGATTAAATGAAGACATTTACTGCGATAGGAGTATAATGTCACTGGTTTCAAAAGGGTTTCTAAAAGCCTAGAATTCTCATTTGAACATTTTTTTGATAAGTCATGATCAACGATAATACATACAATAACCTAAACGAACATATACACTAAATCATTGTTATAACTGTCGTTTGACACCTCAAACATTCGTTATTTTAGGAATTCATATTTATTTGTGTTAAGCTCTTTTTTCATTTTAGCTTTGTGTGTGGCGTAATTGATCGGGAACGAGTGCCTGCATTTGAACGACTGTTGTGGAGAGCCTGTCGTGGAAACGTCTTCTTTAAACAAGCTGAAATGGAGGATCCAATGGAGGATCCCGTCACTGGTTTTTTCATCCATAAATGTGTATTCATCGTTTTTTTCCAAGGAGAACAGCTAAAAAGTAGAGTGAAAAAGATCTGCGATGGGTAATAGCAATTTACGTAGTTATTAAAACCTTTGCAGTCAAAGCTACATATACATACGTAGATATATTGCTACCAAAAGTTTACTACCATGCAAGCATTACTAGTTTCTTATAAAGCTCTAAAAGATCACATCATCTCCAAAAATACCTACGTAAACACCAAAAACGTCATACTTACAACAAGTTCTTGATATGTATGAAGTGGAATATATGAAGTAATTATGAAAATACGCAGTATACTGCTAAATTTGTTGCAAAATCGAACTGCGATTTTCGGAAAAATAATTGTAGGAACCAACTATTTTCAATTAGCTAACTAATAATTTAAGAGCTAACACTATACGTTAAAACCTCTTTAACGATAATTTCAAAAGACTAAATATTTGTGAAGCTCAGATGCTAGTACGTATCAACCATTACTAACTACTGCGCTTTGTAGGGATTTTTCAGATGAGAAAAAAGGATCATTTTGACAAAATGCGCGAGCGATGAAGCATTTGTCTATTACGTTTTTCGTCTGTTAGGGAAAAATGTGTATCTTTTTTGTGGTCAAAATACATTAACACCTACATTCGTCTATCTGTTGTGTAGGTTTCGTGCAACAATGTACCCATGTCCTGATACAACTCAAGAGAGACGTGAGATGGCGCTGGGAGTAATAACGAGAATTGAGGATCTTCAAACGGTAGTTGGTGTTTTTTAGTATGATTGCGTACTTAAGATGTTGGTAATGTTCGATTTGTTATTCGACAATAGTCTTTCATCTTTTCTATATGTAAATCATGATATACATACTTATATAGCAATTAGTCAAAATGAATTTATGTCTTTAACTTTTTGTTACAGGTTCTGAATGAGACTGAAGAGCATCGTTGTCGGTTGCTCAGTACTGTTGCAAAAAGCATTAATAACTGGTTTATTAAAGTAAGTACGTGCTGACTGACCATTGATGTGTCGTTAATAACAACGCCACGCCAGCAATACCGGAAACAGAGGCAACCTTGCCCTTGCATGTATTTGAATAGGTGACCAAGTTTCTTAGAAAATCTGCTTTCAAAAATCAATGTAGATACCTTTATGTATGTCAGTAATCGGTGCTAATCATGTTCATAAATTCAGTTATATCTTCCCAGATTTCTTTACATTGGCTGATTACTTGTCATGCTGGATTAATATACTCACTGATTAAGGGAACTCACACTACACTGTTTCAACCACTTGGTTCCTACTAAAAGAAATTAACAAAACAATATGTTGTATTTTATACTTTAATTTTGAATTTACTTTCCAATGCAGTTAATTGAAATCTTATTTTATACACACAATACATACATACATACATACATACATACATACACATAGACATGTATTTGAAATGTTTTTGATTATTGACAGGTGCGCAAGATTAAAGCCATTTACCACACAATGAATATGTTTAATCTTGATGTCACTCACAAGTGTCTTATTGCTGAATGCTGGTGTCCAGTATCGGACCTCGATCAAATACAAGATGCTCTCAGACGTGGAACGGTTTGTATAGCTAACGCTTTTATATCTGTGCCATGTTGTTTTTACAATACTAAATGGTACGTTTGTAATTGTGATTAGATAAATTCTTGCTAATACGTACATCTGTTTGATGTAGATAGTCGGACTTACTTCACTAAGTTACATCATTTGATCTTAATATATTCTGATATAAATATGAAATAATTATATCTTTAGGAAGAAAGTGGTGCTTCCGTTCCTTCGATTCTTAACCGTATGACAACGAAAGAAGATCCCCCAACTTTTAATCGTAACAACAAGTTTACTGAAGGCTTTCAAAATTTGGTCGATGCTTACGGTATTGCCAACTACCAGGAAGTAAACCCAGGTATATGATGTTTGATGATTATTTATTGAAATAAAGATACCCACATTCATTGCTATGTGATGGTAGAAAATTTTACAAAGATTTTTACATCGTCATTGTCTCATTGCTGTAAATTACTTTGTCACCATGGATTTTTCCTTAGTGATTTGAACTTATGTAAAAGTACACTATTTTCTCCTCAGTGACTTGAACTTTTGTAAAAGTACACTATTTTCTCCTCAGTGATTTGCACTTATGTAAAAGTACACTATTTTCTCCTCAGTGATTTGCACTTATGTAAAAGTACACTATTTTCTCCTCAGTGATTTGCACTTATGTAAAAGTACACTATTTTCTCCTCAGTGATTTGAACTTATGTAAAAGTACACTATTTTCCAACAAAAGCACGTAGATTTTTCTATGCATCAATGAGGCTTTCTTCTTTCGAATCAAACCGGACGAATTTCACATGAACAAACTCATTCACGTCTGTTGCAACACATTTGAATGAACAAAAAGTTCGTCGAGAACGAAGAAACAACAAAAAAATCCAAGTTAGACACGTTGCGCGGTGAACTCAATGTTTATGAATTCTTCTAAAGTTTTACCACTACGCACAACAAAGTTCAAACGTTCATCTCTTTGAATTATTTTAGATTTTGAACCCATTATTGACTTTGCTCAAGCGGTCAAAAATGAGATTTTTACAATCTGGTCTCTCACGTTTCGAGATTAATTTTTCTGATTATTTTTATGTTACATGAACAAGACTATGCCAACATTCTTATACATGAAAACATTTTGGAGGAATTTTAATAAAATGAAGTTTTCCGATCATTTTAAAACTATCTAACTTTTTTGATACGTCTTTTATATTTATGTACAATGTGAATTGTGTTGTCAACGGTGGAAATAAACATTAGACGATAATTTTCGTCTCATGTTCTATTTCATTTGTTCATCCATGAAGAGATTAACGTCCTAGCTTTAGCACATATAGATATAGCCCCCAGGCCTTTTCTATTCCCCTTTGCTTATTTACATTAACTGCTAGCGGTGATGTCTTTGATTTTACAGCTCTTTTTACCATCATCACATTTCCATTTCTCTTCGCTGTCATGTTTGGTGACTGTGGTCATGGCCTGATATTATTTGTCTTCGCTTTATGGATGGTATTGAATGAAAAGAAGCTGGCTATCACTAAACCTGGCGGTGAGGTATGTAGCTATTTAGTATGTCATACATAATGTACGTATGTACCTTTTCATTAGAATTGAATACATCTAGCATTGATTCTGAATATGACTGTAGTTACGTAGGGGTGTGAGATGCATATGTCATAAGATATTGGCGTTCGAATATGTCTTACGTATCAATGACAGGAGTGTGTGTGTAGTTGGGTTGTGTATGTATGTCACGTGTGTGTGCTATTTTTCGGTGGTGAGGTATGTCTTACGTATGTATGTCACGTGTGTGTATTGCTACGTAGGTGATGAGTTATTTCTCACTTATGCATGTCCCGTGTGTGTTGTTGGAGCGTGAGGTATGTCTTACTTATGCATGTCACGTGTGTATGTTGTTGGGTGGTGAGCTATGAACTCTATTAAAGGACTGAAACGATAACCCCAATACAAAAGCCATATCATAAAATAAAGCCATTGTGGCGGCTTTAGAGTGATTTTCTGTCGGTATAAAAAACGCGTGTTATATGCGTGGATTGTCACGAATATAGAAAGCACATCCTACATGTTTTCAATGTTGTATGAGTTTTACATTTTAAAAACTTTGAATATGTCGTGTTTTTAAGCATTACGATTATTATATAAAGGAATTTTAATGATACTGCTTAAAAATAAGCCGTGACAAATGGTATACAGCAATGAGCAGTCAGTTGAAGTTGTTGACGATTATTGCTTTTAGTTGATAAAATGTTCACATGACTCGAGAACTTTAGTTTTTTGTCAAAAGGCATATATTTTCTGACATATAACATACTAAATAGATCAAAATTATTCTACAAGTCAGATATACGTAAAAAGGACATTTCATTGTTTGTTTTTTCATCAAGTTCGTCGTGGACAATGAGAAAAACAATGATTTGAAAATATTTTTCTACGGCTTTGCTTTTTCTCCGAATTTGTCTTGTTTGATTCGGAACTTTCCCATTCATCAAACAATGTCAAAAAATTACATGTTCTTAAAAAGCTGTCAGCAATATTTTCCTTCTGTTGAAACGAACAAAAGAACATAAGTTCTGTTAAAATGTTTCATTGTTTTTCATACGAAAAATTAACCAGGCCGAGCGTTTGTGTTGTATCCAGGAGCCTGGATCATACCCACAAAATCGCGTAAAGGCCTGGATCATACCTACCCAGTGAAGTATAATATCAACTGGAACGATAACTTCGCCAGCATGATGGCAGCTTCCATTAGTCAAATTTGCAGAATGTCAAAAAAATCGGCCAAAACTTATAGTATTTCTGAAAAACGTTCCAGCCAAGACAAAAATTACGAAAAGTCTGCGCGTTTTTTGTTGCTTTTTCTGCGTTTTTGAAAGTTTCAGGCATATCTAAACGCTCAAAGCACCAAAATATTGTAGTTCCATGTCAAATACACAATCCTGCCAAGTTTCGTAAAAATGGAGTAATTTAATTTGCCAAATAGAAAAATGTGTTTTTGACAGTTTTTCTCATGCCACGAAAATACACACCTGCATATATATATAGAGCTCAGTATCATAAAGAAAAGTGAAAGACCCTCGCAAAAAGATTTCAAAAAAACAACATTTTATCCATTTAAATGTGTAAAAATCAAGTTTAATATTCAAACACCTAACACCCTATTCTTGTGCTGTCCGTGTAAAGCATTTAAAGAAAGTAAAGAAATTACACACATTGCATATAACAACCGATAAGCTTGGCATAGTGTAAAATAATTGTCCACGATTCTTGCCGATCTCTCGAAATATCTTCTTGAGTCGTATTAACAAATATTTTTTCACTATTTTCGACCGCCAACAAGCTAAAACAACCGTCGGTCGCCAAGAAAACATGCATTATTATAAGGTGGCTTCAAACAATCATGGGAAAAACTATAGGATTTATCGTTCCAGTTGTTATTACAATTCACTGTACCTACAAAACCGCGTAAGGGCCTGGATCATACAGTACCGCTCGCGTATTTGTTAACATAATTTTGCGTATGATACGCGTATCATACGCGTATCGTTCTCGTATCATACGCGTATCTTTCTCGTATCATACGCGTATCATTCTCGTATCATACGCGTATCATTCTCGTATCTTACGCGTATCCTTCTCGTATCATACGCGTATCCTTCTCGTATCATACGCGTATCATTCTCGTATCATACGCGTATCGTTCTCGTATCATACGCATGTCTTTCTCGTGTCATACCCGTATTACTTTCTTAATATTCTCGTATATGGTTTTAATATAGTTTGATTTCATCTATGTACACAAATATAAGTATAAAGTTTTCGAAAACTTTGCATATCTACTTAATTATGAATGCAATGCTATGTTGTTTATGTCTTTTCGTTTGATGTTCATATCTATAACGCGGACTCCCGCTATGATGAAGAAAAACTTCAGCATCTAAAGGATTAAGTTTAGGACATGAAAGCAACAACACTATCACAAATCGAGAGACAAGTTTATATTATAGAAGAATTTATTGAAAACTTATTGGTGTGGAAAAGACCCAATTACAAAAATTATAAGTGCATTATACTAAAATAGTTTACTTACAATATTTTTTATTGAAATGTTTGTTTCTAATATAAGAATCAATCGTTTGAACACACCGAGCCCAAATTTTCGTTACTTTAACCTGAGTATCAGGATAATATTTAAATACACACTCTTTTGAGATTCATTCGAAGTTGCGTGTGCTAGAAACATAACAAACGACACACTAACAATTGCTTTGTAGCGCAAGATGACATAAAAAAGTGTCAGTATACACTTAAGATATTTTATTCACGAAATAGTTTAAAAGCACGATATAGCAAAAGAATTTTTTAATAGATGATCTTATATATACATGTATATGTAATGCATTAATAAATTTTGAGTTGCTTTTGCAACGAGCTGCGATTGTCTCACGTCGTATCTAAGTATACATATGACTCATCAATGACATAGCTGAAAGTTTGTGACACATTCTTATATAAAAACGGAAACTCATTTTGATAACTTCATCATTTTTTGACATCTCTTCATCTATGAAAGTATAATGCTCCATGGTAAGGACTCTTTTATTTCCTCCACACCGTCGGGGCGAGAAAACGTTTCTTCGTTTTTTCGAATCTCTGACAACGGCTGAAATAGTCTGTCTGCTTACAGGACAACTGCTCGATGCTAATTCGCGGCTAATTTCAGTGTATTTCTGTGTATTTCAGTGCACATCCATATAAGCATGTTATTAATAAACGTATATTCTATTCGTTTGAATCGAATCGTATTTTAATAGAAGGCACGTTTCGTCGTGATATAATAAACGCCTTAAATAAAACATTAAAGTCGATAGGAAAATATTACACAGATTTCTGAAAGTACATAAAACATTAGCTTTAAATGTTGACCAAAATTTATCCTGAAAAAATAGTGAAATAACATAGAATTCCATACCAGGTATACTACGTACGCAATATCAAAAAAAACCCAACGAAATCGTTAACAATTTGAAAGCAAAATTGCTGCTCATTACGATGAGCAAAGTTCTATCAAGTATCACAGCGTTTCATCCTCGTATCATACGTACGCTTATCGTTCACGCATTATACTCTCATCATACGCGTATCCTTCTCGTATCATACGCGTATCGTTCTCGTATCATACGCGTATCGTTCTCGTATCATACGCGTATCCTTTTCGTATCATACGCGTATCGTTCTCGTATCATACGCGTATCCTTTTCGTATGATACGCGTATCGTTCTCGTATGATACGCGTATGTTTTTCGTATGATACGCGTATCATACGCGTAGCGTATGTTAACAAATACGCGAGCGGTAGGGTACCTAAAAAGGCATCAGTGTTTGCTTCCAATATGGCGGCGAAGTTAGCCTTCCAGTTACTTATGGAGTTCACTGGTTAAGGGGTATGTCTTTATCTATGTCACATGTGAGTGTTGGTGGGTTGTGAGTTATGTCTTGCGTATGTATATCACGTGTGTGTTGGTGGGTTGTGAGTTATGTCTTGCGTATGTATATCACGTGTGTGTTGGTGGGTTGTGAGGTATGTCTTACCTATGCATATCACGTGTGTGTTGTTGGGTGGTGAGATATGTCTTACCTATGCATATCACGTGTGTGTTGTTGGGTGGTGAGGTATGCCTTGCGTATACATATCACGTGTGTGTGTTGGGTGGCGACTGGTGAGATTTGTCTTATGCATGTCATGCACTATTCTCACGTTCTTGGATCGAGCCATCCAAACACGGGAACCATTTAGTAATTGTTTATTCATGTTGTGCTCTTAGCGGGTGGCATTCGTACTCCATTGGTATTATCTCATTGTGCTCATTGTATTGTCAATTACTTTAATACGTTTATATTTTAGATATTTGAAACCGTGTTCTCTGGTCGCTATATTTTGCTGTTGATGGGTGCATTTGCCATTTATACGGGATTAATTTACAACGATTGTTTCTCCAAATCCTTCGACATTTTTGGCAGCGCGTGGCATATTGACAAATCACACGTGTAAGCATATGCCCATTTGCTGCGCAGTATGTTTGTTCGTACTTTATCAGTTGATAAATTTTATTTTACAACAACACCTTGAGAGCGCGCAAATGACTCGTAAATGATCATATTCCACGGGTTTTATCTCCTATATATCCATGACTAAACATTGTTTAAAAGATCCATTGTGTAAAAGAACAGAAAAATTTTATTTCTGTCCATTAACATAGTATGGAAAACCTGCAAACTAAAACGACGTCGATAATCATTGTAAGGGCCGTATAAAGATTGATATTTGGGGAGGGGGGTGGGTTGGCGAGGTTGCATTTAATGTTTGTTTGAAAGATAAAGCATAAACTTGTACATGTCCTGATTTTAATTACAAGCTAACTATTTCTTTTTCTAGTTTCAATCCAACATATCCCATGCTGCCCCCCAATTACACCGACTATTACCGTGGAGTCCCATATTACTTTGGAATTGACCCGGTATGTCTTTAATTTCTACTACGATTTGGCGTCCCTTGCCGTATTGGCTTTTTTGAAGTGGGTAAATGTGTTTTGCTGAGGTTTGCCTTGATCCAACTTTCCTAGGCATATAGATTTATTGTTAGTTGTTTATTGACGTATCTGCACCTGCTTCTGTAAATAGCAGGCATTGAACTTGTTCATTTGACTTAACACTACTTTACTTTGAACCTTCCACATGTTTGCTTCCAATAATTGTGTTATTGTAAGATTGTGTCTCACAAGGTAAATTAGTTAATTATTGGATTTTTGTTACCTGTTTTACTTTATCTTAAGATATGGCAAGTTGCTGAAAACAAAATAAGTTTTACGAACTCGTTGAAGATGAAGATGTCCGTAATTCTAGGCGTCTCACACATGTTGTTTGGAATCTGTCTTAGTTGTGCCAACTACAAGTATGTGGATTAGTGGAATAGGCTGCACTTCTTACTAATGAAAATTAATTTGCACGTCAGTTGTACGTAGTATTCAAGGAACTGTCTTCTGTTGTTACTTTAGTGGGAATTTGTGCAAGTAAAATTTTATTGTTTTGTTTTGAAAAATATTTGCTCGGCCCACTTAATTTAATGGCATTTTTGCATCTCGCTCTTTTAAAATTGACTCTAATATCGAATATGAACAAGAATTCTCAGTGAGGCCAACTGTACATACGTATACTATTATTATACACGATGTTAAAGGCTGGTGTTCATATTTTCTACAGGCATTTTCAGCAAAGAATCAATGTTTACGCTCTCTTCATTCCTCAGGTAAGCATGTCTCTATGACTGCCATTACAAAGATAAATTTACGTGATTATATTTGTTTCCTATAGGAAGTATTCTTTTAAAATACATTTCCCTTCATTACTTAGCTGTATATGATATCTGTTCTCATTTTGTACCAGGTTCTTTTCCTGCTCAGCGTATTTGGTTATCTGATATTTCTTATATTTTACAAGTGGATATTTTTCAACTCTGGATCTAAGAATGTGAGTACGTCTTTTGAATGAAATTCGATTGGTAAATTTCACCCCATTACTATAATCCTGGTAATGATTGCGGTATATTGTCAATATGTACCATTTTAATTTGTCGCTCATAAGACCACACATGACCTGACAAATATCAGGAGAAGCATTTTGGTTGCACGGAAGATGAACACCTTAATTAAGTTTCATTTGTTCGGAGGGAGGACACTTAATTTTGTTGTTCAATATTTAGTTTATTTCGATCTTGTTTTTTGTTCTCTTTCTTTTGATATTGTAAAACTTTCTAGGGTTCGTGCAATATATCGCAGTCGTTAGTTATAATTAACTCTTCCATTCTTCACAACACATGGTACATGTATTGTTGACTTCAAAAATGCTTCTATACATTCTTTAGGCCCCTAGTTTACTGATAATTTTAATCAACATGTTCCTAAAAATAAGCAGTCCAACTGCACCTGAAGATCGGCTGTTTGCTGCCCAGGTATGTTGATGGATTATATATTGTTAACTCATTAAGGTCAGCATACGCGTTTAAAGTTATTGTCCTTTTCCAGTACTTAATCAGTAGTTAAAATAATTTACCTGTTTTTACGTAAACATTTTGTCTACAGACCGTTGCTTTATTACATAGTGTGTTATAGCACTTTGTTACATAGTGTGTATTATCAATTTGTTATTGCTTTAGTTACACAGTATGTTACACCACTTTGTTACATCATCATCATCATCATCATCATCAGCCGTTCACGCCACTGCTGGCAGATGGCCTCCACAACTTCTTCCACTCGATTCGGTCTTTAGCTCTCCTCATCCAGGTCTTTCCAGTTTCCTCTTCTTTCCAGTTTCCTATTATAAATTGCTTATTGCTATAGTTACACAGTATGTTACACCACTTTGTTACATAGTGTGTAAATTATCAATTGCTTATTGCTTTAGTTACACAGTATGTTACACCACTTTGTTACATAGTGTGTAAATTATCAATTGATTATTGCTTTAGTTACACAGTATGTTACACCACTTTGTTACATAGTGTGTAAATTATCAATTGATTGTTGCTTTAACTTATGAATTTCTAGAATTTATTCTTTTATTATTTGCTCATTTTTACAGCCAGTAGTCGAAAAATTGTGCGCAATCATTGCTATTTTGTGTATTCCTTGGATGTTGTTGTCAAAGCCACTTTACCTGTGGTTCACACGTCACAATATTCGTCGTCAGGTATTTAAGTCGCACATTTGTTTATTACTTATGTTTTGCCGCGAGCTCATATTTAAAGTTGTAGTTTTTTTCAAGATTTCCTTTTAACCTTGTTTCTGATATTTTGTCTGTTTGTATTTATCCACAAGTAAGCGATAAAAATCGAGCCAAGTTTAAAAATAGAATTAATTTCTTTATAACTCAAAAGGTAAATTAAACATATAAGAGTTTTTGTAAATGTTGCTATTAATTCAATCACAAATTTAATCTTTTTAAAGAGTTATGTTCACAATTATTCAGAGAGATCCATATCTTTTCAATTATTAAATATATTCATTCCAAAATATAATTCAATATAGTCATGTCGATGCATATATTAGGAATATGAAGAACTTACCGTAATTCTTTTCATTTGCTAATTTAATGTTATTCTTAACTTAAATAATATGTAAAAGCTAAATTCAAAATAGTTGCATGTCTTATGAATTTGAGACGACTTTATTAGAGTTTAATGTATAGACCTTTTCAAGGTTATCGCAGCCATATTGCAGGGGGTGCAAAAACATTGGGCCGAGCACGCGGTCACCCATGGCGTCCATATAAATTACTAATAAATACGCAAAATTACCCTTATACATATTGGCCATTTCTTTCAAAAATATTTCTCAAACTTGTCGATTATAATAGCCGAATTATTATTTGCGATTTTTTATACATTTGAGTCCAATTTTCTAGTAATAGAAAAGCAGAAAGTTAAAGAAAACATTAGTTTTCTTTGAACAACTTGACCGTCGTTTGAGCGATGTTCTTGAGTTCGCAAATGTACGGAACTCATAAGCCAAGTCAACTTCTTCTGGCTGTTTAGTCGCCATACATTATAATAAACATACCAATGTTACTTTAGAAATAAATGGAAATACTAATAAGAGTTTACCGTAGAATAGTTCCTCGTGATACTTGTTGTAAACATGTGCGTGTGTCGCTCGGCCCAATGTTATTGCACCCCCTGCAATATGGCTGCGATAACCTTGAAAAGGTCTATACATGAAACGTTATTGTGGTGAAATTTTGACATGTGCACTAAAGATGCATGAATTAAATTATTGATAACATCATATGATCGCAGTACGAATTAAAAATTAAAATAGTTTTTGTTATGAAAATTTTAACACGCCATGATTTTTTTGAGAATGTCAAACACCAATTTTGGCATTAGAACGTCATCTTTCTCTAAGTATTATTGAAATCAAGGTATCATTGCTAAGCAGTTTCAAGATATACGCATCTTCTGAGGAAATTTACAAATTTGATATTTTTGACATCTGGTTACGCATGCGCTGTGCGTCATCGTTAAGCAAGCCTACGTGTTAAAGAATAATTTGCAAATTAAAAGCAGTAGCTTTTTCCTCCGTGTGTATCTCGTCGATCCGCCATAACTGTTTAAAAAAGGCAGATTTTAAACTCTGCATTTTGGTGTCTTGGTTTCTACATGAATATTTACGTAGGTATTTTTGAAAAGTGAAAACCGTCAGCAACTCTCTCCAGTTGATTTACATGACGGCACATATCTTTATAATTCCCATGATGGATTATCTTTCTGCGTGTATTTGAAATTCACAAGTAGTTATCTTACATCATTCTGATTCCCGGAACAAATGTATCAGATTTGTCTGAGATTGATCACAACATGATTAGCAAATCTCATTATCATTTACACACTAAACTTCACAAGTCCGTGTAGACGTGCAAGTAATATTAAAAGCCATCCATCAAGATAATGAAATTGATTGGAAAAAGGCGAGTATAAAATATATATCAACAGTTGAATTCTACCTTCTTGCTGTGTTTGATTTAACATAACCTTAGTTTAACAGAGTTTACGATTATCACATTTAGCAATGCGTCAGTTGACGCCAACAACTAGGTGCAAACATTTCGTTTTATGTCAAAAATATTTACTTTTGTGATAATTTTCACTAATGAGTAGCTAATTTTTTTGTTACGTAGTTGAGTTTTCGAATACGACTCACTCTTATAACAACCGAGCAACTCAAGTTTATATATTAATAAATAATTTACTTGTATTCAATTGTTAATTTATACTTGTTCAAATATGATTTACTGTTTGTTGTTTACGATATATAATATTAATGTGACATAAGTCACATCATTTTTTTTGTGAGGAGGTTACATGTTTGCTGATCTTCTGAAAAGTAGCGTTCTTTAAACCTGAATATGATACGACTGTACCATGACTATACCCAATAGATACCTATCTTATACTTCGTGCATATAGATAACTTAGAGAGTTTTAGTTTGGCGTTTAAGGCAAACAGCCAACCGCAAAAAGTCACGTGATCTTAGCTTTGCCGTTTGTGTTCGCAGTTCAGGTTTTAACGGCAAGAGGCCCTTCTTGCGGTAGGTGATGTTTATAATGCTTAGGCAAGCTTATACTTTTAATACAACCAAGTGACGTTTTTGGCGAAATTTTATATTTTTATGTGAGTATACAACATGCCTTTTTCATCATCAAACGTTTTACAAAACATGAAGTTTAGCTTAGGACAATGCAAATTGTAAAATACAACTGCAAAACGCCAAACTTTGATTCAATTTTTTTCCAAACGGCAAACCTTAACGGCAAGAGGGTTTTCGAAGTTTGCCGTTTTCTTTAAACGCCAAACTGGAACTCTTTTTTTCCATTGAATAACTACGAATTAACCATGCATACATCTTCACGTAGTGAAATAGTTTTAGTTGCTCTTACTGCAAGAAGGTCGAATTCTGTTCACATACTTTCACGGTTCAGTTTTTCTCTTACACATGTAGGGTTTTGTACAGGTTCCTCAAAATGACGAATCAGAAAGCGACGAGAACCAATTGGTGCAAGGTGACAGCCGTGGTGTTGCAATTAGTCACGATTCATTTCATAATGATGGAGATGGACATGTTGTTGAACATGAAGATGAAGAGGTAGCTACAATTGTCTTAACCACATCAGTCGGTTGCCATGCACACTATTGTAGACCTCCTCCTTGTCGGCTAGCTACTGCGATGCACAAATTTCTGTTGTTGAAAAATTGGACGAATTTATTTCGGTGTAATTTTTTCCATGTTATATGAGAGTTTTCGTGCAGAGAATTTTTCATCATAAGAACTTGGTTAATATGTTGCTAAATTTTAGCGCAAATTAAGAAGTTCATCCCCTCAAATACAACTCTTAAATTTTTGTCTTTTTATAGTTTGAGTTCGGCGAAATTTTCATTCACCAAGTGATCGAGACAATTGAATTTTGCCTCGGGTGTATTTCAAACACTGCTTCATATCTTCGTCTGTGGGCGTTGAGTCTTGCTCATGCAGGTATGTAGCGATATAATATTCGGGATTACCAGTTTTTTTCGAATCAAATAAGCATGATTAATTGCAACTGAAAGTCTGATTTTGTCGTAATGCCATTTGATTGTTAGTGCGTATTATTTGTCTTATTTGACCTGGAACGAAGCTTTCTTTTTTTTTCCTTCTGCTGTTTTCTAAAGGTTGGCTTTCATTCCTCTAATTTTCGGCAATGAAAAATAAGTCGTTTGAAATTTGTCGTCTGAATAATGAAACTCACTTTTCTTTCTACTCATTTTCGTACATCGTTTTTCGTTTCGTTTTTTATTGGTTTTCAAAACTTTTGCTGCTTGCTTAACGAAATTTGTTATAAAAAATGTTTCTGAGCCAATTAAAGCACGCTATTTTACCAAGTGATGCTTGCCATTTGTTAATTGTCTTTAACGGTGTAATCGGTCCAGTATTGTCGGTTTTTCTACTTTGCAGGTTGTAAATTTCATTTTTCATTGTAGAATTATCTGAGGTATTGTGGAACATGGTGTTGAGAGTTGCTTTGAAGTTCAGTGAAGTTTATGGTTTTATTATCATATTTGCTGTTTTTGCAATGTGGGCAGGTCAGTCGTAACATTTGGAATGATTTTTAAAAAGTTTAAATAGTTGGAGCAAAGTCCGTTTTTCAAGAAAGTTAAGACTCGTTTCGTATCACCGAGTTTAAAAACGCGTCATTTTGCTCTACATTCGTCAGATTGCACAAATAACGCTTGAGTGTCTCTAATGGAACGTAAATTGTAACATGATTATCATAATGTATTGCCACATGTGAGATTGTATTGTCGTGAATTTCGTTGTTCTATATTCGGTAACTATTATAATATGCAAACATAACCAAACACTTTTCTTGAGTAAAACGAGTGAACGTCTTCTATGCATCTTGTTTTACTATTGACATTTGCAATCAATACTATTAAATTCTCTCTGTAGCTATTTGAGAAGTTATAGTGGGCGCTTATTTTTGTTTTGTCTTTTTTAGCACTCACGATTGCAATTCTCCTTGTAATGGAGGGATTATCTGCCTTTCTGCATGCTCTACGTCTGCATTGGTATATTGACTATTCACGTTATGCATAGAGCAGGAAAAGTTATTTTTAGAGTAGTAGTAGTTAGTCATGAAGTATGACCTTAAATGAATGTCAATTCTTTGACCTTTTACAGCACAACGTAGCATTAAAGCGAACCAACAACAGATAATTGTAGCGGAGCTTGTTTTGCAATTTTGTTTTTCTTAGCAGTATACCAACATAACAAACAGTTTAATTTATTAGCTATAACAACTACGTACGTCGCTGTTATAGACGATTATTTGTCCGAAAAGAAAACGCGGTCTAGTTGATCACTGATTTAAGAAATAGTTTCAAACCTATAAACCGCTGTTTCAAAAAAAGAACGCATATTTTGTAATGATTACACAGTCGAACATATTATAGCAGAGACCGCTCACAGGAGGTGTCTGTAACATGAGATTTGACTGTAAATTTCGTACAAAATCTGATCTTTTTATATCAGTGGAAAATGAGCTTCAATGAATGTCGCATGAAGTTAATTTTTCATTTGTTTCAACTTTTCCCTTTTTTACTTAAAGTCATTGATGTAATGAGAGAGGAGGTCGTTTCGAATATTTTGTTGATAGAAAAAAAGGGGGGTACGATCACTACGATGATTACCAACTTTAGGCTATATTGCTATGAAACAAAGCTAATGATTATTTTCTATTATTTCAGGGTGGAATTTATGAATAAGTTTTACGATGGAAAGGGTTATCTGTTCGTTCCTTTTTCTTTCAAGTCTATCGAAATGATGGAGGATGACGAAGTGCATTAATCAGTATTTATCACATTATAATAAAATGATGTAACGATTCAGTTGAGATTTCATTCTTATTATAGTACAAAAATATACATTAAATTTTTTTTCCAATTATCGTTATTTCTAATTAAACTCAATAGGCACCACATGTTGAGTGTTTATTGTGTATTGCCATTATCGAATGATTGGTAAATTTTGTCGTAAATGTCATGCCAATGAACAAACGGCTAGTACGAAACTTGAAAAAAATGGTCTCACATTTTGCTCTGACTTTCATTTGAGAATAAAAAACTTAGTTGTGTTGAATACAACTATCAACATGTTGAGTTTTTAATATGTGACCACCTTAAAATGAACATTTGAGCCCAGTTTATTGCAAGAATATGAATTGCCATTAAAGCTAAATTATTGCAATTGCCGTTGAAATTAAATTATTATTTTCAACAAAAGCAATTCATATTCTTGCAATAAGCTGGGCTCTAATGTTCGTTATAAGGTTACGTTTCCCGCCTTGAAAATCTATCGCCACTGTCGCAAATGTGAGTATCAATTTAGCGTTATGTAAACCATATAAAATAATGACGAAATTTATGTAAAAAATTAAACTGGTCTGATTTCCATTGCAGTGGATTTCAGAGAGTAATAAAAGCCTGACCAATGGTACCAAATGATGCAATCAGTGTAAGATGAATGTCCTTCAAGTTTGTAGATCCCATTTAAGTTGGAAAAATGACCATGTTGAAATGCAACGGCACAATTACTCAGATTCTCATCATTATCTGAGTCTTTCGTTGTGCGAGGTCCAAGAGAATCATCAGCATTCCTTATATACATATGCATAAATATACAAAGTGTGTATACAATGTGCCCTCCCGGCTATCACCATGGTAAAATGGTGACTCCTGCACTTGGGACACAGGACGTACGGTTATATATACACATAAATATATATACATAAACTTATCATTTTTCGTTCGTTTTGGGTTTTTTTTTGCTTTATAAAATCTGTTACAAAACAAGTGGCGGCTCATCTCTGCGTTAATAGACTGTACTATGATTGATATTATGTCATTTGATATTTTCATTTGACATGATAACATCAACATAGGAACTAGGAACGTTTTGAATAAAGAAAGTGCAAAAACCATGGGTAATATTTGGATATTGAGATGCTCGATTAATGGTTGGAAATAGGCAGTTTGTTGGCCTTATCTTTTTTTGTGGCCTTCCTCACCTATACGGTACGTATCGTGTATCAAGGTATGATTTTTGCCGTGCAAAGAACTGTTTGGTGATAACAAACATTTCGGGCATTTATCTGTGACTTTATTTCAGTATTGTAACACTTGCTGAGTTGTTGACCGTTTTTACTCAAGAAACGACCGAGATAACTAAACAACCTTCTACTGGACGTCCTTAAATTCTTGTGTAAAAATAAAAGGTAACGATTTTAGCTAATGCATGTCGTCTGAAAAACGTCTTTATAATGTTCATCATATGTTTTGGTAATAAAGTATGAAATAGTGTATCAGAAGCTCTTTGTCATGTTATTATACACTAATGAAACTAATTGTGAAAGATTGGTGTGTAGCTAGAAAAGTATTGCATACCTCAAAAAAAGGCATCGCAAAAAACAGAATAGATCTGGTTAAAATCCATTTTTGTGATAGCAGTATAAGGGCGTTTCGTTTTCATACAGAATTGTAAAGAATAGACGTCTTTGCCGTCTTCTAATGCAAAAAAGACTTCGTCTTCATGCTCGTCTTCTTCGTCTTCGTCTTCTTCGTCTTCGTCTTCTTCGTCTTCTAATGCAAATTGACTCCAAAAACGTTTGAAAAGAACTGGTCCCTCTAAGATCAATATTGTTAGAGGCATGGCCTCCGACGCGCTATAGTTAGTTCGAATGGCTCATATTAATAAGTAACAACACATGAAAAGGATTTTCAACTTCATTGTTTACACATTCTTAGAGATCAATTATTCCTAAATCATGCAACTTCTAGACTTCGGCTTAGTTTAAAGATGAGCAGTTCTTGAGATACCACAATTTCCGATGTTTCCCAACGTGAAAGGACTTGAATTTAGTTCATACATAAATTAGAAATTTAGGTGGAACAAGTTTCTACTTTGAGTGATTTTGGCTGAAATGAATAGACCTAGTAATTAAAAGCAGTGCTTTTTCTTTTTATTTCATCTTTACATTTTGTTCTTTTATACTTAAGTATCTGAAGCAGATTAATGCATCATCAAACTAAGACTACTTTTTCAGCATAAGAATACGTTTTCTTAGAATTATTATGAAGGAACTATTTATCGTTAAAGTAATATAACAAACATTAAATTATAATTCCAGCAGGTGTCATTTCTATTGTTGTGGATTTCATAAAATAAGAATGACCTTTCCAATGATACCAATTAATACCATCAGCGTATGAAGTATGCTGCCCAAGTTTGTAGAGCCATTTAAATTGGAAAAATGACATTTTTTATACCACCATATTCCCTTGAAAGCTTGTGCACAATGAAACGAAGCTTTATCGTTATCAGTGTCTTTTGTCGAAAATTCCATTCAATTGTGATGTTCAAGAGAATCTCTACCAGGCCCTGTGAATGTTTTGTAAATTTAATATTGCTATTCATAAGTTTATTTTATGGGTTTGTCAAGTATGATACATAGCCAGAGACAGTCCAAAGGTGTATAAAAATGAAGATATATATTCAAACATTTAAGTTACCGTGAAAACAAAGTAATTAAGAATATTTTCTGCTTGAATATTTTCTAAGTTTACCCCTTTTAAATAACCCTAGATTGCCTGCGTCATGTCCATTGCTGCATTGTTGCACTATAAGTCAGGAAATATTAACATATGTTATATATATAAGGATTGTTCATATTGTCACAATGAAGGAAACTCTGTCCTTGTGAAGTAAAGCATCGGCAAATATACCTAATAATTTTAGTTCTCCTTATGAAATGTGACGTCACAAGTTAGATAAATGGTTACAAACAAGAAACTCAATATCTCAATAATTAAAAGTGATTTGCTTAAACTGGTTGAGAATGTTAATTGTCGTTTTAAAATATCTCTTCAATAAAAGTATTATTCAGATAGTAAAATTTTCGTTTCATAGGCACTTTAATGATTCTTCATACGCTCGGGATGTTAGATTTTGCACAAATGAAAGAGATTCTTGGCTAAATATCTGCAAAAAGGTGAAAACTATTGTAATTTGGATAACTAAATTACGTCCTCCAATGAGTTAGGTCTTTACCTTTATGTATATAGATTACCTTTATGTATATAGATAGCAACTTATCAGCTGAATTGTTTTTATGCATCTGAACTTTGGGGATAGGGCGTTTTTCGCATTATTTTATTCAGACTTTCCTGCAAAATAATGAATATTTTGAGTTTTGGATAATGAGGAATGTTGATGAAGGCTGTATAATGCTTCTATTTGCAAAATCATAGTGTTTTTGTAAAATCAAAACATAAAAATAATAGAGGCATGTTGTGTGGTAACCTTATTAGGTTCGTAAATAAATTAACACACATTTATCAAAGCTTATATATTGAACATTACAAATTACAAAAGCCCGTACTTATAAAGTCAGCGTTAACTCTGACTATAGAAGACTTATTTGAAAAACAAACCTTCACCTGGATATATAAATAAAATTTTCCTGGGCAGTTCCAAAGCAGACTAACTCTATGCTTGGACAAAATTTAGACCGAAGCAAAACCAAACCTAAAGTCAAGTCTTGAGTCTCAAAATATACCACTTTAGAGAGTTAATATTAGTTTATTTCAAAATTTTTACTATTGTATTTATAAAAAACAGGTATTTTAATAACTTTATTCTGGTACTGACACTATGTAAAGCTAATTACAATTACAATGACTGTAATTTATACTTTATAGTATATGCCTTGATTATATAGTTTGTTACTCTAAATTTATTGTGAATCATGAATACATGTACTCATGTGTCTATTGAGATTTATTAGGCATAATATAGATTTTTATAAATGTTCATTAAACGTGCACTCTTTTTCAGTTGTGACCAACGATTAGTGATTTCTTCAAAATCAGTCATGTCTGAAAGACTGGGTTTTCAAGCAAAAATTAAGAGCTCGCTAAGGCGATCTTGGTTTATTGCTAAACGCATAAGAGTTTTCTCTAATTTGATGCTCATGTTAGATGCCCATGTTACGGGATTGTAAACAATAAAGAAAAAATCGACAGGCAATGAAAAAATTTTCTATACAGTTTGTATTCATATAAGCAAAAGCATCGTTGACCACAAATGATCAAATTTGTGATCTCTTACTAGGTGACAAAAAAAATTTCACTGTTCTGTCTCCAATACATCAATATCTTGTCACATATGGAACCAGAAACATATTGCTGAACTGTTCCAATTTAATATTTACTGGGTTAATTAATTTTGTTCAGTTAAAACAAGGTCACAGCGGAAAATAGCTCGTTTCAAATGTTTTTACGACGTCCATATTGCCATTTAATAAGCTTTTTTGTGCATCAAGCCTGCTATAAATTCCTTTCTCTTAAAGATCACCAGACTCATATAAGCCGCAGTTTCTGAGTGATCGTCATTTTCATTTACGGCAAGTTCTTCCATTCCTAGAAATGCTGCTTGCACTCTTCATGGGGTTCAAGTTCAAATCAACGAGTTTCTGAAAGATTTCGATTTCATCAATGTCGAGACCTGCTTTATTTTCCCGCTGTGTGTAGGACATCCCTTATAGAGAGCAAAACTAGAACGCTAATAGGGGAGGGGATGAATATTCATATACTCAGCTCTGTTCGACTGATTTTGTTTGTAAACGATTTTAATGTCAAAAGAGATCAACAGTGCAGAGCTGAATATATGAATACTCACTCCCTCACTTCCCTCGCAATTAGCCTTCTAGTTTCGCACCTGGTTTCTGAACTATAACAGCACAACCTCTTAATTACGCTCCTTTTCCTTTACAACAATGACAAGCAGACTCTTAAGTTATTAGAATAGTTCGTATCAATGTATAATAAGAGATTTGATATGAAATATAGTCTGTTTTTTTCGTATAATGTTTACCATAGGTATATGTGGATTATGCTAACTAAACTTCATTTTTTTCAACAAATTCTGATACATCAACCAGATTGATTCTTTGAATCTTTTCTATTTCTGGAGTTCTTCGAGATTTCTTTACAGCAAAATCATTAATTAGGGATAACATGTCAATGTTACAAAGAATAAAATTTTTGATTTTCGGCAAAGCAATGCCATTAGCCAGTTGTTCCTGTTTCTTGTTTATTCAAATATGCCTTCATTTATAATTATTATATAGCAACATCACTTCCAAAAAATAACGCTCTTTTATTGGCTCAGAAACATTTTTGCCGGTCTATTATTTTTCCGTAATCGACCACAGTCCAAAACCGTGAGAGAGAGAGAGAGAGAGAGAGAGAGAGAGAGAGAGAGAGAGAGAGAGAGAGAGAGAGAGAGAGAGAGAGAGAGAGAGAGAGAGAGAGAGAGAGAGAGAGAGAGAGAGAGAGAGAGAGAGAGAGAGAGTAAGGGAATCGTGTCAGTTGTTAAACTTAGCTATATATGTGATCGAGAGAGAGTAAATTTGTACAGTGCTGTTACGAACGACGTATAAATTGTTATTTTTGTGAAATTTGATTGTCCATATATTTTATTTTCCTGTGATTTTGCTGGGCTTACTTTGATCTATTGCGACTTTGGAGGCATATAATTCTCGACAAAGAAAAACTTCTTGCAATAGAGTGTAATTTGTACATAAAATTGTCAGTAGACAGTGATACACAGCTAAATGTAAGCTCTAATTTAGCAATAGTGAGTTAAAGTTTTATGGCCACGTAATTGACAGACAATGTCATGTAATATCTGCAACTTTAATTATTAATTTACACAAATTGTGTACACGTCTCTGGCATCGGTATTTAAATTTTGTATGTACTATGCCATAACCCAACAGATATATTTTGTATCACATATATTAATGGTACCTTAAAACATGTTTCACAGTTTCAGTAATACTGGTGGTGTTGGGGGTTCTCTTTTTTTGGTTTGACGCACTTTTGTCAACCGTCATTTTTTTTACCGTTTCATTGTTTTTTTTGTTAAAAAATTAAGCACGGGACCTGTTGCTAATGCCATTTCTGCCATTTTGTCGATCCAGTCCTGAGTTGTGGATTGTGCATCATGCATGATATCATTCATCCCCTTTACGCTTTATATGGTTCCTAAAAATTGTAAAGAGGCTTTGTCGGTAAAAATTAAATGAGTTGGAAAATTAATTGTAAACGGATCCCTAATATATGGATGTTCTTGTTAAGCCTCTAGCTAATATTGATGTTGCAGGTGCATTAACACTTGTATGTAGTTTTTTAAAACAAAAAAAATATCCACTAAAGCTTGAACCGTAAAGCAGGTACCACTTTCAGATTTTTCTTAAACGCTTACATCTCAAACTAGAAATAAGTGATTAACATATAAGTGATTCTTTTAAAAAAAGATTAAGTTGACATATCAATGACATTGCTTCTAAAATGCATGGAATAAATTGTGCATTGCTACTTTATGTAGTTAGCAACTTATTGGTACACAGCGTGTGCAATAATGTCACCAATAAAAGAGCGCTCGCCGCAGTAGACAACTACGTAAATCTTGGTGCTGTTGGTACATTTACAGTTGGTTTTACTCAAACAATTACCGCATTTTTGCTTGAAGAGTATATGAGCCAGACCAGTTACACCCTAACAATCAAGATCTTCAACAATATGAAAGGACGTTCAATGGTCAATCCTGTGATGTATCTAGCAAACGGAAAGACAGTTAAACCTCCAATGTTATTTATTCATCATAAAGAAACTGAAGAAGGCGATGTAGAAAATACAGAAATTGCAAAAATAGTTGGAGATAAAAATGAGATCAAAGGATTCCTATGCTATCAAATCAATGCAAGTAGGACAGCTGTAGAAAGGAAAAGCATGTGTATTGGTTTTGATGTTACAAAAAGCGACAACAAGTTCCTTGCCTTTACTACAGCGATTTCAAATACTATAGAAATGATTTACGAAAACCTGAGGCTCGAAAGGACAATGGCATCTGCTAGGCAAAAAGGAAAAAGCATTTTACAAAGCAGCAACACATTGAAAATAGCAGTATCAATCCAGATGACGACCAGTAAAAATGCACTGATTTATGCTAGAATGGATAATTCAAACGATATCGATATCTTTCAGAGTGCTCTTGCCAAACGCGAGCTAGTGATACTTGGATCAGTTGTTTTGGGAGCTGTTACTGGCATAACAGGAACCTTGGCACAAGCGGCTTATAGATATCTTAAAACTGACGATGGCACTGTTCTTGATATCGATAATTTATCTAAGGACTCGGATCCATTTGTTCTATACGATCCGGAATGGTAAGATTAGAAAATTAAAAGGAAAGAATTTGCATCTAATTGTCAAAACCGATGATAAAGTTAACTATACTTCATAGCGTCTTAAATGCAGCTATCTAATTTACATTTCCATGAATGATATCAAACTATGTCGCGGAAACTTTGACAAATATGAATATGGTTTCAATTATCGGAGTACGTGATATGGCGATTATATTCATTGATTATTTTACCTCTGTTTAAATGAGTCCTTAATTGGCATAGAAACTTTTTTTGACGGTCTATTTCTTTACCTTTAAGGACTCTCGTATTATCAACGCAATTTTACAAAAATATTCATCAAATTTTCTGATGAAACATTATAACGTAAGGTAAAATTATGTGTGAATCCGAGTAGGATAAAAAACTCAGTAAAGTTTGCTAGTTCTACTATTCAGAAAACACTTAATCTTTTACGGACACATTCCAGAGGAGTGAGAGTCGATCAGTTGAAATTACTATTATAGTAGGTGAAAAAATCTTGAGACTTAATACTAGCTAGCAGTGAGCAACTGCAAAGCACTTTTACCTGCTGAACCCTAAAAGGATTGTTTCCGAAGCTGCATTGCGATCATCATTGAGAAAATGACGTCATTAAAATAAAGATGATGTCAATAAAATAACGACAGCATAGAAATACATATATTTTTTAACGAAAAACATCGAATTTGGATCCACTAACTATCACTGGCCATTATTTCTTGCCCTTTCCCCTAAAGTTAGAACATTGCGGTGAGGTCAATGGGTGCGGTAGACACCTTTTACGTTAACAGTAGCCTGTACTTAAAAATCACTTTTCAATTTTCAATTTTGAATGCCATACATGCATGTTGGTTCAAAATATTTACCATATAGTTATGCATGACATATTGGCTAGATAGAAATCAGACGATCGATCAATTTGCGTATTGTGCAACACAAAATTTAGTATACCAAATAGAAAAAACATGATGAAGCATTTAATTTTATATACCATTAAAAATTTTCAATAAACTTATTAAACAGTGTCAAAATAGTGAAAAAACTTGACCTACGAAACAATTTTGGATTAAACAATGAACAATGATGTATTTCATCATACAAAATTTAGTTGCCGAAAATAGTTTCAGCCAATACATAAGTTTTCATATAGTACTTCATAGCATTCATTGAATTGTAAATGCAGTTACAAAATATTTCTTGAAAACATACAATCTTATAACTCAATCAGTTTATTAGAACCACTCGTGGTTGGCAATAACTGTTACAGACATAAACTATTGTTACTTGTTACTGACAGTAAACAAAAACAATGTAAACCATTAGCCTATGATTGTATTTTCGTTGAAATTTCTGTTAAATTTATGTCGATATTATATTTAACCTGATGGCGTAAGGTCAGACTTAAAAAGGAAAACAAATTTTATTCTTTTCTATGACTAAAGAATATAAATTTCTTTTCTCGTTACTAATTGTTCTAGGTACGCTGATGAAGACATTAATGTTGAGACCATTATTCCATCACAAGTGAAACAAGGCCAATCTTTGCAAATTACTTTAACTTCCTCAAAAACAATTGTGGCTACATCTGTCTTTGTGATATCTTTCAAAGTAAAACGTGAATATTGGCAGAAAGCTAAACGTTTGGTTCTTGCATTCTGGTGGCTCCCTGTTACGATGAGAACACAGCAAAAACGGTAAGCAATCATGCTGCATTAGTAAGCACTACCCACGCTAATTTACTACTAATATGCAATCCTTTTATGCACAGGCGTAAGGGTCTCATCTCAATTTGGGGGGAGGAACAGGGCTGAGAGAAATTAATTTAACAGGTACAAGGCACCAGATCAAATTTTACACAATCCCAGTTTAGTCTTTTCCTTCACCTATCTTCACTCCAGAAACCCCACGTATTACCATGCAGATTGGTCATTATCTTATAAATCCATAAAGTATATATATATGTTTGTGTTCTTTATATGTTGGGTTGTTTGACGTAAATATATGAATTTTGACGAGATTTTACTGCACATCCATAGCTTTAGCCAAAAAATGAAAATGATTTGACAATTAGCCTGGATATCCAAACATATGATAATAATGATATAAGCAACTTATGCATGAAAACATGAGTATATTTATAATTTGTAAAAATAGCTTAAAGCCTAGGCCACACTATCGTCAATACTCACGAAAACGAAACGAAAACTCGTGCACGAAACACGTGCCAGACACGACGAAAAATTGCAAGCATGTTTGCCAAGCCAAAACTTTTTTGGTCAATAGGTAACCGGCATTTTTGACGGATTGGCAAAAATGGCGATCTCTAAAAGAAAAAGATTACAAGAAAGAGTTGCTGCTTTTAAAGTTGAAAACAAGCAAGAACAAACGCCGATACTTCACCCACCCAATTAATAAACGACCAGATTGACTTGAGTTATTTATTAATTTAATAAAAGAGTTACGAAAGCCAAACAATGAAAATAGACACAAACTTGCGAATGACGACGACAAATTTTAACTACATTTTGGATTCAATCAGACCTCAGATAACTAAAGTTGACACCCATATCAGAAACTCTATTAGCCCTGATTTATTTCTTCCCTTATAATCAGGTTGACTTGTATCATATAAAATCGGTCTTTCTTTAATCAGATTTATCAAAACCTCTTGCCACTGCGCCATGTTTGTGTACAAAGTCTTAGATTATTAGCCAATAGTATGCGTTTCCGTTAAACAAAAAGGTCAAAAGTTCAACTCTTCTAATGTGCACGAAAACGAAATTTCCGTCGTGTTTTCGTTTAAAATTATAGTTGCAGCAGTTTTCGTTGTAATTTTCGTTAATATAGAGTCTATATTATAGACGATAGTGTGGCCTGGGCTTAATGCTTAAAAAAGTTGTTGCTCCATTCAAATATGAAGCATCAAGTTTCTTTGCTATTTGAATGGATTATCCAGTAGCGTAACCAGATATGAACTTTTGGATTGTATGCTTTTGAACGTCGAAGGGCAAGTTTTCTAGGGGGTCAAATGTGATGCTTCTACGAAATTTCAAATCTAGAGTCCCTCAATAGCGATATCTAGTGTTTCTGGCGTATGATTTGTGCGTGAATGTTATTTACTACAAGAAAAACATGTGTTCTAATGTTTACTTAAAGATAGCTACTGCTAAAATGCTTGAATTCTATTTCAAAAATTTTTTTGTGAGAAATGTTAACTTACTTTAATGAGGAAGACTTTCAAAGTAATAAAATAATTATACCACAATATAGGGACAGGTCAACATAATGCTCAACCGGTTTTCGATGTGTATAACCCTTCCATTATTTCACATTTGACTGACTGAAACAAGACTTTGTAGCTATTCTTGGTTCATAAGCGAGTGTAGTACTTTTTTCAATGAGAATATTTTCATTGACACTCGAAACCACGTTTACCCTTTCTGTGGCAGTGTAGCAAGTCTGCAACAAATTCGGCACCTAAAGTGTTAGTTTGATACAACACGATGTTGTACGTGTTATGTACGTGTAAAAATCCTTGTCAAACTAATGCACTTCAACGCACAACAAGTGCGACATGAGATACATAACAAAATTCTCTGGTGAGGGTTGCAGTCCACAGCAGCTATAGACGAGTTTTGGTTAATTGACCCCTTCTGTGGCAGTGTCGTAGATCTACAACAATTACTAAAGGAAATTAATGGCAAGCAAATTTTAAAAAAATTCACCAACTTAAGTGTTAATAGGCAAAGAAATGTAACGCTTCTCGCCATAAAATTAAAAAACCTCTGTGTTTAATACATATTAATCAAAAGCAGCGACACATTTTATTTATAACAACAGAATGTTTTCTACGAATATGTTCAACCTCGTTTGTTTTAAAAAACTGAAATATTGCATAGTGACAATTGTCTGCTCAGTGATAAAATGATAAAAATATTGCACATCTATATAATATCTTGTTCTTGAAAAAGAAATGAACTTTTACCGAATGTTTTGTGAAGTTCTGCTAATTGTGTGCCTGTTTTATATTTCCACTTTGTGGTTGGATAAACATTGCCACAAACTGATTGGATGAATGTTTTTAAATTCATTGAAGTCAATTATACATACTAATCATTTGTATAAATTAACTGTGTAGTGTTTTTCAAAAGGTATTCTGTTTCAATGATGGCATCCCGTAATGCTGAAGAAAGTGTTATGCAATTGTTAGAACAATATGCAGAGGTTATCAAAAAATTTCCAAAAGATATGGAGGGAGCAAATATGAATAATCCCAGGGCGAAAGATTATTTACATTTTGGTGATCCGAGATATAAGAGATCCATTCGCTATGTGACTGTTGGAAAGCACCAGACTTATAAGTTTTGGAAACTTCCTATAGATTGTAGAGGTGAATACAGAGGAGGTAAGAGCCTAAATATGAAAAAATAGTTGAAATTTACCTGTGTCTTCATTTGGTTGAAACAACAATATTGAGCTGGCTTCAAGCGTGACTTTGTTTACTCTTCATAAACATAATCTCTGCTATATTTCTTCAGCCAATGTTTTCTTTCATACACCAATGAGTGTCACTGGTTATTGGAGTTTATTCTGCTTTTTCTTGTCTTTATATACAGGAAGCATCGTCAATTACTGTTTTTTTTCATTTTAACTCATTCCATTAATCATTTTATATTATCCTCGTTGAATGCAAACATTCTTCATTCCATTTTCATGAAAATCAATCAATATTTCCAACACTTCCTGAGTATTTTATTTTGACCTAATCAGTTTTAGCTGTCATTTCTTCTTTTGTACATCGTCTTTTCCATGTTTTTACCATGCACGCGGACATTTGGAATTCCCCCCCAAAAAAATGCTTTTGCTTACTATTGCTTCTCCAGGTAAGAGAGCCAGTGAGGTTTTTTTACTGCAATTTAATTTTTATGCGTTAGTTAGTACATGCCCCATGAAATAGAAGTAGGTATCTAAACCATAACCAGCACCAGTGTATTCATAATAATGGTCTTTAAACCACAGCCTCATATACACAATTCCTATAGTTGGTTTGATATGGTCATTGGCAGTGACTAAGCATTCACATACCAATTTCTTCTATAGCCATCACCTTTCTTTTAAAACTATTACAAGAGTCTGTTCCAAAGTCTTTTCCACAAAGGCAATAAATTAAGGTAAGGTTAAGTGCTAGCTCAATGGCCGAAATTTGATAATGGGGCTTATTTTGCCTTTAGACTATATTGCTTTGTAAACACACTAAGATTCTGGAATTACTCATCTGATCGGGAATAGCCGAATAGGACATTGTGTCAGTCAGAAATTGTTTCTATAAAATCAATATATATAGAATACTCATACCTAAAAAAAGAGTGTTGTAAAAATAGAGCAAATGTGGTGAACGTCTGGGACACACAATTAGAGTGTTCTCGAACTGCGCACGTGAATGAACGTAATATATACCGTGCAAAACAATGTGTCGTCCAGGCATCATTATTGTCGAACGATGTTTCTTGCACTTGTTACACAGGATGTGTACTTATATACATATTTAGTATACAATGATGGCGCAATTTTGATTGTGATTTATAGGACATTGAAAATTATCGGTAGGTGACAACTGAAAACACAAAAAATATAATCTCTGAATCTTTCTTGATGTTTCCATGCGTTTCATAAACTTATCTAGTCCATCCCATTTTTAAAATAGATTTGCACCTTAGACAGTCAGTGAGGAGAGTTTTCATCAAGTATTTGCGAGAAAAAGACTAAAGCAAACCGCATAATTATTTTATTTTGAAGCACGGAAAACTTTATGGTTTCTGTAAAAATTAGTTTGAAAGCTTCTGAATTTGTCATTGATAATAAAAAAATTATTATTTCGTGTCTTGCATAAAATCAATAATTTTTCTTGGACTTTAGATTTGCAACACCCAAATAACACGGACACTAATCTAAATGATTCTTGACTTTATTTTCAACTTCATTCAATAATTGTTAAATATACATGCAAACATTTTAATTTAATATATTCCTGCATCCACAGAAGAAAAAGTGGATATAATAAAGAAAAACAATCACAGAAGATTTATTGCAGAATAACTTCGGTCAGCAAATTCAAAAAATAAGTATTTTTAAGTTCACAGTTTCTTAAAATCATTGGGAAAGTGCTTTCAAGGCTAAGGTGACTCGAAACTTCCAAGTCCTTGTCTGTACTTTCCAGATTGTACATTTTGTATACAAAATTGCATTCCAATCTCAAGTCCTCGATGTCTGTTTCGGAAAAGGCGTACTTTGTGATACTTTGCTTTAGCATCTTAGAGGTCACTGGCAACTTCCTTTTCACGGGACATTGTCTCGAGCGTTTAATGCCTTGGACTAAATTTCGACACAATGAGCTATAAACTTGAGATTAGTACCGTAACTTGGCTTACAAGAATGTACCCACTCAATGCGCAGGGTGCATGTGCCATTACCAAGCTAGGACAGTTCGACTTGAGGAAACAGTTGTGAAGATATATTACCACTGTAGGAATACTCAAAGGAAATTGTGTCACCACGTCTTGCCCACCATTTCTGAAATTGAACAATCTATGCTGAGTACTTCTTCGTGGTTGAGTCGGATCGGGAACAGATTAGTAACTTTGACAAGTTAAATTTTTCTGACATACAACTAGCCGTTTTTGGGAAGTTTCTCCGTGGCTTTCCCCGTGGCTTCGCACCCTTGGCATTTATTTAGGCCTGTGGCCCTCTTAAACATGCTGGACCCGTGCCAAATTTAATCTATTTGGGCCAGTGCTCTGTATTCTCAGGTATATCCATTTGACTAAATAAATGGAAGGCTACGTCGTCGATACTTTGAAGCCAGTAGAGCCGAGTCTTTCCACCTATTTGTAAGCACACGGCCGATAGACAGAAGCGTTAAGTTACTTGTACAAGCTATGAAGCTTCAGAAAGAAAACACAAATTCTTTTCTGTCTTGATCTGGCAAACAAAACTCACAAACGATACTTAATACCAAGTATACACAACATTTTGACAATTACGTTTTGAAAAGGAAACCATAACCAAGCATAACTAGAAGGAATTTTGCTGTTGTTGTTTGTTTTGGTATGTCTGCGAATGTGCCAAAAACTAAAGCGTTTTTGTTTCAAAGTAGCATGAAAATCCTCATAAGATTCTAAGCAAGCATCAGTTTTGTACATGAATTTTTACCCAAAACAATTACTATTAATGTTTTTCCTTGAACGTACAAATTTACAGAAAAACATAATTTTTAGTCAAACTTACACGAGATTTAGTTGTAAATATGTACAAATATTTCATGGAGAAGCATGTATGTTATTGAATACATCAAGTTGAATCCTTTCAAAATAAACAAGTAGTTGCTGAAATGTTTCCGATTTGTCTAAAATGAACGATCAACGATGACTTTGTTTTTCACAGTTTCCCCACTTTGATATTTTCTATTTCGAAATAGGTATTCAATAGGAAGCATCATAATTGGCTGAATAAAGATTAGGCCCATCTTCATTGCCACAATACTTTTCTGCGCTTATTATTTGAATGAAATCAGAAAAAGGCTTGGGTAAAAACATGTTTTTTTAACAAATCTCGCGGAACATGTTTGTAAATGTAGATCGTCCAGGTTGGTATAGTCCTGAGAAGGACTGTTTTTGTTGTTGTTGACTGACGTTTCGACAATCTTAGCGGTAGTCATCTTCACAGTCAAAAAATGTTTTTTTTTACTATAGAGTTGCTTGATCCAGCCAAATTTAGAGATCAGTGTTTGCTACAGAACTAATTTATCAGGGAAAAATAAATGGTATATTTACGCGTGGAACAACAAAGAAATATGAGTGTGATTAGATTCAAGGAATCCACGCATATCTCGAAAAAGTTGACTACCTTCTAAAGCTTTGAAACGCTCTGCGTCAATAATGCAAGACTTTGAAGATTTTCGTTTGTTCTAGGCTGCTTTTTTGGCTTTCTTGAGACGCTTCTTGTCTGATGAATCTGTTACTAGATCATCTGACTCATATTCATCAACCACGGCCCAGACTTCATTATTCTGATCTGCAATACCAATCAATTTCTACCTCTTCTTCATCACGCGTTTGCCTTCCTTGGCTATCTTAATAACTCGATAAGGGCTTGACGATGTCGGTGATTTTTCGAATGTATCTTCGACTCGAGAGATGAAGTCGATTTGTTTTTAATTACTTTTGTATTTCAGACTTGTAGCTTCTTTGTTAGGAAGTAAAATACATCTTGTAGCTTTAATTTGAAGTAAAATATCCTTTGAAGAATATAAATATTGGTTGAAAAGGTCGGTATTGTGCACTTTGAGTTATAATGCTGTGGGAATAACCAAGGAGGGGATCTGGCTGTTGCAGCTTTGGATTCATTGGTGTTTAAGTTGTGGTACCATGTAGCGTTGTATAGATAATCTTGGCGTGCAAGCTGTGACATAGCAGCCATTTTGGATGATTTTAATAAAGGATTTTCATTATTTACAATGCAAATGTCATCCAGAACGGCTGAAATTCCATTGCTATCTCATTCCCAGTGGAGGTGCTGCACACCATCTATAGCGAGAGAGGACACTACGCAAGCGCAGTGTATAAGGGTGTTTACATGAACGCGGCAAACCGGGATTCAGTGACGCGTGATGTGATTTTGAGGCATTGAAAGGAGGCAAAACGTAACAATTACAACTGTTTGTTAAGCGCCACAAATCGTTCCTGTTGAAATTAATAAATTAGGCCAAATTGGTAATGGGAATTTCAAATGTTTTGCGTAGTTATTAAATCAGAAGATTGGGAAATTGCTCGGGAAGATTTATTTGATGACGAGTACTGAATCATTTTCATTCGCCAAAATCATTTAGCACTTGGCTGAATCCTGGCTACCCGAGCTCATGTGTTTAGCCCCTTATTTTTTAGAGCTAACACGGACAACTAAGTCCCTCAGGGACTATCTGCATTGCATACTGTAATGACACCTTTCTGAGGCCCTGTTTACATTATACCGGATTGCTATCGTAGCAAGTTGAATATTCTTTGTATTAAAAGGCAATGAAATTTTTTAACGTCAGAAACACAATCAAATAGACCAAAACTATTAGCTTAATAAGCTTTTACTTCGAACAGTTAACCCTTTAAAGCAAATGAAGATGTTGTGATGAGCGAATCCGGTATAGTGTAAACGCAGCCTGAATTAACTAGTTTAGCAATGGAAGGAAAATACATCTGTTCAATGTTTTCTCATTGTAGAAAGTAAACAAGACAATTCATATCAACATTTGTACTATTATTACGATTCTTGGCTTTTTTTGTAGGAGGTCCAGTCAAAGTCAGAAACCTTAAACTATTGACAGCAATTGGAACAGGAAATAAGAATATGATGATCATGAAAGTATTTGGATCTTCGCGGACAGCAGCTGCATATGGTCCAAACGATTGCTTAATGCCTGAACCAGTTGATTACCAATTTACTCCTGACCAGACACCTCTTCAATAAACAATTGGTTGTGCAAAATTGTTCCCGAGAGGATTGACAAATTTTCCCACCATTACTATTATTAGGAAAAATTATTTAGCCGGTGATCGTTAAGAGCTGATTTGAATCAAAAATGCTGTTTTGGAAGTCTACATATTTTTTAATGTTTTAATTTCACATGAATTTTTAGCCCTTTTACGTGGTATAGCGTTAAGTACGTGGTATAGCGTTAAGCATTCACTTTGAATATTTCTATCATCAGGTTTGCTGCCTGTACTATAACAATATCAGATTTTAGTATTGCCAACATCTTCTTTAAGCACCTACAACGGCACAATTTTTCAAAGTTACTTTATTGACCTAATTGCAATTTTTCTAGACAAGTATGATTGATGTACTTTTTAGATTAAATTTTTAATCTATAAGTTTGACATTTGAAATGTTGCTAGAAATCCTTGTGCAAACAATATATCAGAGAATAACTACCATGACTCGACCTATCAGCTTTCAGCATTTGCCAGTTCTATATGTTATTGTGTCGGAAATTCATCTAGAATGAGGGCTTTAAAGCGTAAAGGAAATGCAGGGTTAACAAAATAATAATGAAAGGAGGCATAGAAACCACATGGTTTTTTCTTCTACGCTTCTTTGTCAGCCTCTTCTTCATTGCTTATTGGTGATGCTGCGGTCGCAAGGAATCTATCAATATGATACCTTCTACAAAATTACGTTGCTTGCACATTTTTAACATCCAAACAGCCATGCATCCGTGTCTCGTCATCGTTATTGTTGTTTGCCTCTCAAACAAACCACTTTTGTACAATTGAGTGGCACATGTTACTTTTCCCGATGATTATATGTCATGTTTATTCGACGTCATCTTTTATTTTGCTTAAGTATCCCATCTTCTTTCCTCATACTTTATAGCAATTTGCTCACTTTGTCAGGGGTGCATGGCATACTTCAAATCAAGTGTAACATGGATACTTTCCTTTACAACTTCAGTATCACAATTGCAATAATTTATTGCTACTCTGTGTAACCATCGACAGGACAAAACCAGATGGCGGCCAATGGACCTATTTCCGCTGAAATGACAGCTTTGCAGAAAAAATATTCTCGTCCTCCCCCTAGTGTCTACAGTCATGTAGAATTTATTACAAACAAATACGATAATTTTTGGCATTTCTTTTATAATGCCAATACTTCAATTGTTCAATTGTTGGATGTCGTAGTTTCCACAAAAAAGAGCATCTCACTTCTCACAGGTGAGATATTTGCTTGCTTTGTTTGCTCATCAAAGATTGAAAAGCAGTTATACACATGAAAAGCCATAAAATCAGTAAGGTCGTATTTTTTAAGGCTGACGTGAACGTCAAATATACTGATGTTTTCCTGTTTTTTTACAACACTCAGTATACTTTTCTGTTATTTGTTAATGTATGAAATCTTAAATTTACCAATCTATTTGCGAAATAGTTTCCCTGACGCCAAAAAGACCCTGTACATTGACTCAGTGGGTAGGTAGCCAAAAGAAACGATCAACATAAATAGTACAAATGATTTGGAGCAGAGCTTGTTATGTTCTATTTGCTAACACCTTGCAGGAAGATCAGGTAGCAAAGATGACTGGAAGATGTTATTGACGAGGATGAGTCATACGGAAAAACGATAAGGCTGAAAAGACAAATAATTTATTGTCTTACCTATCCAGAATTATTCAATTTGATCTTGGTCAAATTCTATGGATGGAGACAATGGATTAAATGACGATGCTTTGAATGCTTTAAAATTAAAGTTCAAGAACCAAAGAAAGATGGCAAGAAGGTTGTGTGGGTTCTGATTCTTGATGAAAGGTTAATTCACAAACATGTAAAATGTGAACGTTTGTGTTTATGTGAATATTGTGTACTTAGATTGATGATGACTCACTATAGATGTATAACTTCAAACTATAAAATCCATTGAGTGCTATATTGCTTAAATTGTTAGTCATGTCATATCTTTATCATAAATCTTATAGTAGAGTATTGTTTGAATGTTACTAATAGTTAATGCATGCTACAATGAAGCATTAAAGTATCAGGGATGTAACCTTTAAAGTTACAGTGCTATTTATTTCTTCTAAATTTCCTTTTTTGCTTTACAAAAAATTATTGAGCTAATTTGCCTATTAGAGTACAAAAATGATATTTTCATTCGCATTATTTGCTGTTTATTGTAAACAAAACTTTCTTGACTTTTCAAAGTTTTTCTTCCTGATAACTTTATAATTTCTAGAAAGCTTTTGAGCTTCTAGCATAAAAGTACACAAAATGTGTTTCATTCATTTGGATTTATGGCCTTAGTGTAACACATCACATGCACTCAATTATGATTGTATGAACACAACACCAGATGTGGATACTCAGAGAGAAAAATCCACCAGCAACTTCTTTGCAGGCAGCACCATTGCAGGCAGAAGTGTTTTGATGATTATTTGCATTTTCCCTAATTCATAAATCAATACAACAAAATCAAAATGTGCTACAACTTTACAAGTATTCAATGCAGTTCCACTTCAGAACACCACAAATCTCAGCGGCAATGGAACAAATCCGCCATTTTTTCGACAGCCTCCGAAATCTAAAGCCGCGCTTGAGATAGCCGCTCCAGTTATTATGGAACTCAATGGACAAAACCAACTAGTAAAAAAGCTGTGCAATGCATATATTTAACATACAATAGGAACAATAGCTTTGGGAATAGTCATGCAATGTGTGATAACTAGTCAAAGTGCTATTTTTGTCTAGCAAATGCTCAAATTCAGAAGAGAAATTTTGTTAAACTTTATTTGTAGCTTAAGCTTTGTTTTACTTTAAGCAATAATTCAAAGTCTTTGTTGCTATAATCGTACAACTAAGCCTCTTAATATAACTTGAAACTTTTAAGAAAAAAATTTTGCTACAAAATCTCTTTGTTTGAATGTTTCAAGACATGGACTTGCACTCCGTCTTTCTTTCTTACTGAAAAATGATACAACGGCTTTCCTTGGGTCATATAAAGCAGTTGCGACACCATTCCAGGCAATAATATTCTATCATTTAACGTTTTCTGGTTGTTTGCTGTCCTCAGCTTTGAGTACAGAAAATTATATGTTGAAACACTTCTTTCAACTGTCATGCTATCAGGACACCCCTATTGCAGAGAGCAAATCTATAACCAAGCCAGTTCTATGTCTAAAAATACAAAATACAAAATACAAAAAGACAAATATTATATTTCTCAATTCTTAAAGTTACTTAGGTTTTTAGCAACACACATTAGCATATGTAATATTTTGACTGTGAAATCGTTTTCCGAAACGTATGAGGTTCAGATCGTCAAATATCTCGATAACAGTGTCAGTGAATTCTTTCATATCATCACCAACCATACCTACGCATCCCATTAGAGGGTCTTGAGCAACAACAAACTTATTTATTGACTTTGCACCACAGATTTCAACAATGTTTTTCATTACGCCTTCCTGCTTATTGTCCAACCTTTGCTCAAGAAAGTTGATTGCTGCATTAATAATTTCAGTTCGTATGGTAGCAAATGGGGTCGTTCCCGTTGATAGCCATGAATTAAGATTGGGGTTTTCTTTGCTTGCCTCGTCAGACTCGGTGTACGCGTGTGGTGAGCTGTCAGAACATGCGTAATTCCATATTTCATAATTATATTCAATCAATTTTCCCCCAAAATTGTATGAAGGCAAAGACATTTTTCATTTATCTAATGATGACATCACCAGAAATTAGATAAATAGTTTGCGACTGCGCTCGCACTCAGCGGTTTCTATTTTAAGTAACTAATATTCAATAAGCGTGGGAGTTTCACAGAGTTTTATAAGGCTCTTGAAAGTATTTTCTTCTTGTTAAATCAATCTTTGGAGGAACTTATAAAAACAAAAATAAACATAAAGAGCACGAACGTAGGTTTTGTCTTGGATAATTACGATGTTTGACATGCTTGAGAAAAAATATGAAAATGTTTGGAGTCTCATAGCAACACATTCAAAAGCTACATGTTTGTAAATGTAGATCGTCCAGGTTGGTATAGTCCTGAGAAGGACTGTTTTTGTTGTTGTTGACTGACGTTTCGACAACCTTAGCGGTAGTAATCTTCAGAGTCAAAGACTTGACTCTGAAGATGACTACCGCTAAGTTTGACTCTGAAGATGACTACCGCTAAGGTTGTCGAAACGTCAGTCAACGACAACAAAAACAGTCCTTTTCAGGACTATACCAACCTGGACGATCGACATTTACAAACATGTAATGATACTCCCGGGTTCAAACCATTTACTTTATTACATTCAAAAGCGACAACCTTATTCATTATTCTACCGAAGCAAATTTGTCGAAAGTTTAAAATATTTTGGAAGTATTCTATCGTGACTAAATCAACTATTTAACAAACAATTTCAGTAAAGGAAACATTGGAATTTAGTTTAAGAGTGTGGCTTTAGGGATATGAGGACTAGGTGATGCATTATTTGCTCGAGCTCGTCAACCATTTTTAGCACACTCATATAAACATTAGCTGCAAATCAACGTTCTCGTCACACATCGGGGGAAGTATGTACACTTCGTTTTCTTTCATCATTTTTAGGTAATTTATAAAGTTTGTCAGCTTTACCACATTTATCGAGTGTGGCACCTTGGTAATATGCTTTATTATCATGTGTAATTTTGAATTTAAAATTTCCACCACTCCTTTACTAATAAAAAACAGACGCCATTTTGAAAAAAATAGCTTTCTTATCCGCCATTATGTCCCACATTTCCTGTAATGAAGAGATATTGCTCTTCGCACTTTTACTACGAAGAAGACAAAGATGTTTAAATGATTGTTTAGACTACAGGTTGTTCAGAGCTAGAAGAACCACTAAAAATGTCTTTGCTTTCTTATCAGCAAAATGGTGAATTTTTTGCAGACCGATTAGAACTTTCTAAACAACAGTTGAAAGCATCATCAAGGCTTTTTTTCTTCACAAATAATAAAGGTTGACAGAGAGTGCAAACTACATTCCCCAAGAATTTCCAGATTTCAAAGACATTAGCGGCAACATTATTGATGGTGATTGGAGAAGTGTTGTTGAGACAGATGACAATGCCTTGCAAGGTATGGCGAAATGCAGGAGTAACAAGTGTACCCATAATGCAAAAAAGGTGTGATTACAACTATACCCATAAAAGGTCCTAGTAACAGCTATATCTAATTGAAGTAGATTAGTTTAAATCATAAGAAGGATAAGCTCCCTGGAAGCTAATGCATGTTCGTAGTTGTGGCACAAACAGCACACACTAGAAAAGAACAATGTAAATTTGAAAGACTTTTAGAACTGTTTTTGTTGCACATGTTACTTTTTCGATTAAAGAATTTCATTGGTTGGCAAACATTACTGATCTCTTTTTGTTGTTGTCACCTCCTTATCCCCTGTTCATACAATGTCTATCGAAATATGCCAATCCTTGTCATAAATTTAGCAATGTTAGTAAATTACAACTTGAAATAACTTGAAATTACAAATTGACCATAGAGCATATAATTTGAAGAAGAAGCCTGTTATTTTTTGGTGGGGTAGGGTACATATGTTTTTGTTCAACTCCACACTCTTCTTCGTAAAATATCATTTCAATGCTAAGTATTACCAGTAACTTGCATCGAATATTTAATGCTGTCATTCTAGAAGCTAGACTTAAGCAATAAAATTTCTCCTCATCTTTTTCACTGGTTCTGCAAAAGCTTTGTTGATTTCATCAATACTCTTTGACAGATTTGACAGACAATGTTGTCGTTAAAATACAATTCACACATCTGAACTGTTCTTATCCTCTTCAACAATAATTTGAGACTCTTCAGAGATTGGTTTTTCTGTGCAGCAGGACAAGTTTTTACTTTCTTCTCCACCATTGCTTCTTTTATCAGCAGGTAAATTCTTTTCTGCTATTACTGAGTCATTGATATTGAGATCTGTAACTGTCTCCATATTTTGATATAGGGTGGTAAGCCAGCGTAAATATTCAAAATCAGGTTTGATCAGGTTTGATCCCCGCCCCCCCCAAAAAAAGAGGGCTAGCTCCGCCCCTGTAAATCGCGTGCACTTTATAAGAGCGGCTAAAAAGTTCTATGGATAATTAGACTTTCAAGAAAAGGATTTTTAATTCCATACAACTCTTACTGATCACCGACTAAACACATTTTTAATTTAATAGTTGGAATATTTTTTGAACCATCACGGTAGCAATTTGCACAGCAATTGCTTATTAAGGAGGTAACTTGTGTTTTGTATATTCGTAATTTTCAGGGAAAGGCATAAAGCAATCATTTTTAGCTGCTTTCTGTGAAGATTTAAATACTTTCGCGACCATCATATTCTTTTGCCCATTTCCAATTGCTGTCAATAGTTTCAAGTTTCGTGTGATTTCAGTGACTGTGACTGGACCTTCTACAAAATAGTCAACCATGGTAGTATTAGAACATAGAAATGATCGACAACTATTAAACCAGGTTGAGCATGATATTAAAGTGATTTAGTAAACGTTCCATTTATATGTTGACGAATACAACGTGAAAACATACAATATATGATGACGTCTTATCGACGACGGCTGAAGCAAACTCAATTTTTGGGCAGAACTAAGGATATTTTATCTTTGATATTTGCATCTTAGAAGATTATAAAGGCCTACATATATTTGTTTAAGTAAAAGCAAATTTTTTGTTTCTTAAAGCGTAACAAAAAACAACTAAATAAACATCGTGGTGCCTACTCTGATTTCGGAGGTTTCCTCGGAGTGAAAGTAATTTTAGTCAAAAAGCTGTATGTCGAAGATTTCGCTTTTATTTATGTATTTTTATAAAATCTATGTACTGCAGTATACTTTTGATATCAAAAAATTAATTTAAAATGATTAAAAAAACCATACAGCAGGAAAATGCCGAAATGGATGAAGTCCGCCTTTGTTGACCAAAAAACCAACATGGCGGACTATTTTATCCTTAGATATAATTTCGTAAAAGCACTATTGCTATAATGTGCATTTAATAGAGATGAAGAGACACGCGCTGTGTGTGCCGAGCTATCGTTTTACGGTTCTGTCAATAAAGTGTATTCGGAAGAAGTTCCGTAAAAGAGTGGATCTGATGTTTTTTATGTCTCGTTGAAAGCCATTGCTCGTATGGTTAAGTTTGTATGCTCTGTCGATGAGTGTGCGTTAAGCCCGCCGCACACATGAGCTATTGGCTGAGCTAACAGCCACGCGTGAAATTTGCTTAGCTGTTTACTCGTGTGTGCGCATAGTTTTTCCAGCGTATTTTGACACGCGTGGCCAAGAGAAAAAAATTTGTCATGTTTGATAATTTTTAACATTCGTGCCAAGAAACGCAATGTTTGCGGCTGCTGTGAGTTAAGAGCTTAGCTGATAGCCAATGTAAGCCAATAAAATCACTTACTTTGTTCACGTGATTTTACAATTATGTATGTATGTACTTACAGCATGGAGGCAAATGAAATGATAGACGAGGTTGTTTCCAGATTATCCATGCCTCTATAATGTTCGTTCATCTGAATTTAAAGACAGAGTGATGAGGCAGAAGGCTCTGGACGAAATTGCGAAAGCAGTCAATAAAAACGGTATTTTATGCAATTTCTTGTAGACTTGTTTTGCTGTGAATTGTGAGATGTGATATTACATGAAAAACTTCTACACTCAATGCTCGACATTGCTTTGTTTAATTTTAACAGTGGAATGGGTAAAGAACAAACTGCGAACTTTAAGGAATTGCTATACGAAGGCAAAAAAGGCACCTCCTTCGGGAACTGCACGGCGGAACCTTTCTAAGAGAACTTCTTGGGTTTTGGATAAACTACAATTCCTTGAAGAGCATGTTGCCATCCGAGCAACAGCGTCTAACATGGATGATGTAAGTTTTTAGTCAATCATCAAAATAGTCATAGTTAACACATGTTCTCTTGCCATGGTACAGAACCTGCATCTGACACAAAATACTCAGTCAAATGCATACGTTGTTTCTTTGCACTATTTGCATTTCTTGATGTACTGGGTTGTAACCCTAATAGTTGATAGTTCTCTCTCCATTGGCCTTGTATAAGTACCTGGTTTTCAGTGTCTTCATGATCCCGAAAATTGACATTATCATTCTTGTTCTTCTCTATCCTAAAGTTATGCAAGCAGCAAGGTAATGTCAACAACTTTTTCTGGGTCAAGTTTGATAGTTGTCAGAAATACTCTAAACCTGTTGGCTAAAATGCCAAAGGCATTTTCAACTACACGTCTTGCTCGTGAGAGTCTGTAGTTAAAAATTTGTTTTGGTTTATCCAGATTTCGATGAGGATAAAGGCTGAAACACACTAGGCAGTCGCTTTAGTCGCGCGTCTAAAACTACCGCTTTGCGTGGTTACTAAGCTAGTAGCGTAGTCGCGTCAGCTAGTCGCTTTGAAAGTTCAACATGTTGAACTTTTGACTTTGGTCGCTTCAGTCGCTTTGCACTGATTGGCCAATAGATACGTTTTAACTTCCTAAATGCATATCATATTTCCTGTCATAAGCATCATACGAAATTTATAGATTATACCTTGGAAAACGAAGGCAATATATAGTGAATTCACACTGGAATCTCTCAGTTTTTTATATGACTTATCAAATAGGGACAATAGGAGCTACAAACTGGAACCCTAATGCACAACCTAAATGCACAGAATAGGATTATCCACGATATACGCGTAATGTGCTATGATCATATTGGCGTGTTTTAACTGGCTTGTTCTCTTTTCTCCACATAGTAGTTTGTACTGAGTAAATATTCATATATTAGTAGCTATAATAAAGGCCAAAATAAAAAGTTTAAGTGATATCTGTGTCTGTAACAAACTAAAATCACCGCCATGTTCAATAGACGCCACGGTAAATGTCGCGATGGTCGCTGCAGGTGTGTTTCTAGCGTTCAAGCGACTGACGCGTGCGCATCAATTCGCTTTGGACGCGCGACTGAAGCGACTGCCCAGTGTGTTTCAGCCTTAAGGTTTCATGATATCTGTTCTCAATGGGAATGCATCATCACCAATGATATTATAACAGATCTTTGTTTGGATTCCTTCAATTGCTTGTGCTTGTGGTAGTTGAAGGCAATTATCATCTAAAGCTTTCTTTAATAATGAATTTTTAAACACACCGGCATCCCCAGCTCGCCCTGTATCCCCAACATCCACAAATAAGAATTTATAGTTTGCATCCACAAGGGCAAGAAGCAAGACACTAAAATAGTGTTTGTAATTAAAATACTCAGAGCCACTGTGTGGTGGTTGTTGTATGGCTATATGCTTTCCATCTATTGCTCCCACACAGCATGGATAGTTCCATTGTTTGTGAAAACCATCAGCAACTTTACGCCAGTCATTATCTGTCAACGGTATCTAAACATAAATAAAAAATTGATATTTCTCTTCAAAATTTACAATCTAATTAGGTTGTGTTGAGTATGAAATATTCTCCAGGCTATAGTTATAATACTTATAGTGATCATTTTCCTTTTTTACAGACAAACTCTTTGGTGGCACGTGATAACAGTGATAATGAGAATGGTTCCATGCTTCAACATGCCATAGATTCTGATGAAGATTTAAACACGCTAGATCTTACTGACAATAACCAACAGGTTATCAAGTCAACCAAACTACCAACAAAGCCAAGGGGAAAGTCATTGAAGAGAAAGTTGGAGGAAGAAGAATTAAGTGTTATGAGAAGCCTGACTTCTGCAATTGTTAATGATAGCAAAAAAGCACAAGAGGATAAAGAGCCAGGGGAATGTGAATCATTTGGAAAATTTTTAGTGGAGTCACTGAAAAAAATGGATCAACAATCTAGACATTATGCTCAGTATCAAATCAGTAATGTGTTATTTCAAGCACAAATAGGCATGTTAAATCCAGTTCAAAACAATTCAAATACACCACAGCAAGATAGATGCACTTTGCAGTATTCTGCACCACATTATATCCACTTTGGAAACAATCATGGAGTTTGATAAAGGAGTCTGAGTTGTTACATTTTATTGGAACTGTGACTTTTCATATAGCTATTTTAGCTGAGCCTGGTTGACTTTCTTTTGTTTTGATTAGCTTCTATACTTACTGTAAGAAATTTTTGTTTCATTGATTTGTACAACGCCTGGCATGTTTCAAGTACAATATTAGATATCGTTCGTTCTCCCATACGATACTGGAAAGAGAGACTTCTGAACGATTCTCCTTCAAAAAAATAAATGATGAATAAACTTTCTGTTTTTTAATTCACATACTTGTTCACTTCGTGCCAAAACTCACCGGTTGCCAAATAGCGTAAAGTAACTGCGAGCCGCTCATGTGGACTAATGGTTGCTCTCATCCATGTCTCCTTTTTCTGAATTAATGGTCTAACCATGTTCAAAATAAAGTTAAATGAGTTGATATCTAATCGGTGATATTGCCGAAAAGATTCGGGATCTTCGCCCTTCAGTTCTTGGAGGAGATTTGCGTAAACACCACGGCCCTGGCGTTTAAGAATCCATGACTTGCTCCACGTTGTTCGCAAATTAGTCTTGCGGCGACGGCGTCGCCGTAGAAATATTAAAAGGACTGCCACTCGATGAAGATTTAAATGAGCCGCCATGTTTGAATTTCCCGCGAAAAGTATCGGCTGAGCGAATGTCGCGGCTGTTTGCGGCAAACACGTAATGTGAGCAAATTTCACGCGTGGCTGTTAGCTCTGCCAATAGCTCATGTGTGCGGCGGGTTTAAAAGTCATGTCTTGTATGAAAGTAGTGTGAAACTAAAATAGTTTATCAATGTTCAAGTTTTTAGATTCAACACAATATTTAGTTTATAACACGCTCCCCATTATCTCATTTCATTATTATTGTTATAATTTATCAATATTTATAAATTTATCTTATTGTTACTGTAACACATTTCTTTTAGAAACTCTGTATCATTTATGTATTTATTTATTCATACTGAAGATGGCATCATGAGATGTCGAAACATGTCTATTCTCAAAAGACTCGTTGTCCACAATCCATATACTATTCATATACTATTAAAAACTCAAGAACTATTACGCTTTCGATGCAAGATATGCTTTAGCGTTTTATAAAACACACACGCAACTATATGAAGAAAATCTACGGTAAACAAATTTCAACTATGGTAAAATAACAATTTAGATTAAAAATAACAGTATAGACGGATTTCCTTATTGGGACCGCGTAAATATAAAATATCTTAAAGTTCATATATAAACTTCGCTCTCTGTATATGTATTCGTAAAGAGCTTGACAAAAATATCTTTATCAATTAGATATACAAGTGTTAGAAAGTATTCACACAAAGACAAGAGAAAACCCCCGACGTCTAGTTAAATCTTGATTCTTGACAACAGTCAACAGACAAAGTTTTAAGTATGGCCTATGGGTATCGATAAATTTTGGGTTAATTTATCATATTGGCTTATTATGTCTATTAACATATTCTAGCAGTTCTACAGAGAACATGTTAAGAAAATATTTTGAACTTGGTGAGCTACAAATAGAACATAATAAGCTCGATAGCTCAATAAAATCATTGTGTCAAAGACATGGATAAACATTGTTGAGTGGTTGATGAAATGGGATTTCAGATTTCCATTGCTTTTACATAAAACTTAATCATTAAAAAGTAAAGAAAAATATTAATATTTATTTCAAAGATATAAAAATAAATTCTGTTAATTACACATTTGTCATAACATAAAGTGAATTGTAGACAACATTTTCAAATTGCCTTTTCAAATGAAATTGCAGCTCTGTAGCACTATGCTTTATTCCTATACAAATATAAAAAGTGTCGTTAATTTATAGATACGAAACTAACTCAAGATATGTTTAGCATTTGTAATTTCTCTTCCCAATGCCTCTAAGACTTCAACATGAATGAAGCAGTCACTCAAATGATGTAGTATGTGGTGCATTCAAGTATTTCGAAATAAATTCATCCCATATAATGCAGATCTTTTTATGTTTTACTTATCATAAGAATTGCCTAGCTGTGCCATAAGTATGCTAAAAACTGCAAAACAATGGCGCACAAAATGTAAAGTAAAATACCAGTACACAGTGTGAATACGATATAGAGCGAAGCTTTGTGTTTACTCCTTCGCATTTTTTGCATTCCGATGCAAATGGTCAAAAGAATTATAAACAAGAATTAACCCTTAGTTATTATTATATATTGCCTGACCCATATTCACAAAATGAATGTTCATGGAATCAAGAAATACAACTACTGCCAGAAATCACATGGGCAGATGTCTACAACTATTTGATAAACACGGCGAGTGAATTTACCAAAGAAAAACTAATGGCAAATAAGTCCTTGGAGGCGTATAACTTTTTTGTAAGTGGACATATACAAAATGTTTTTCTGAGTGCTATTTCCAAGGAATGAAAACTCCGGGAGTTCGCTTTGAACCTGAATTATTAGCAAAACAATATTCTCTTGCAATACAACTTCATGTTTATTTTGTGAAAGTGTCTTACTAGAGTCAAGAGAAAGTCACGCATGTGCAATGGGAAAATGCGCCACAACGTTGGCTGAGTGGACATTCTGTTACGTTTCTATTCTGTGGTTTTACTTACTGAGAGACATGAGGACATACCAATAAACTTATTTATAGAAATTTCCTGCACTAGGGACACAGGATGTACGGTTATACTTTGTATGGATTGTTTTGTGGAGTCACCAGAGTGCTCAAACCTATAAAGGATAGAGCTTTGCATAGCGCGAAAGCGGGAACATCTACACAATCCGAGAGTGCTTAAGCTGTGCGTGCGCAGTTTGAATACGACAAGTTCTTTTAAAATATACATGTTTCAACATTTCATGATGCCATCTTCATTATATAAGAAAGAGTATTATGTATGTGATATATATATAAACACTATATTCAGCCTGTAAATACACTCATCTGATCATTAATTCTAACCACTATTTCATTGTAATCTACTCATAATTGTATAAATCGTATCACTGTATCATATTACTCTTGTATATATTATCACATACATAAAACTCTTTCTTATATACTGAAGATGGTATCATGAGATTTTGAAACATGTTTATTTTAAAAAAACTTGTATTTATTAAATGCCTTTTATTGACAGTGCGGTAATATATATATATACATCCTGTGTCCCAAGTGCAGGAATCACCATTTTACTATGATGATAGCCGGAAGGGAGCCTTGTAATACACTTTGTATATTTATATATATATATAGGAAGTTTATATGTGATGATTCTCCGTATAAAACAATGCTCGATGTATAAAAGATTCTCCAGATTGTATAAAATGATTTTATTGAGCTTTCGACCTTGCAGTTTTTAGCATACTTATGGCACAGCTAGGCAATTCTTATGATAAGTAAAACATAAAAAGATCTGCATTATATGGGATGAATTTATTTCGAAATACTTGAATGCACCACATACTGCATCATTTGAGTGACTGCTTCACTCATGTTGAAGTCTTAGAGACATTGGGAAGAGAAATTACAAATGCTAAACATATCTTGAGTTAGTTTCGTATTTATAAATTAACGACACTTTTTATATTTGTATAGGAACAAAGCATAGTTCTAAAGAGCTGCAATTTCATTTAAAAAGGCAACTTGAAAATGTTGTTTACAATTCACTTTATGTTATGACAAATGTGTAATTAACAGAATTTATTTTTATATCTTTGAAATAAATATTAATATTTTTCTTGAATTTTTAATGATTAAGTTTTATGTGAAAGCAATGGAAATCTGAAATCCCATTTCATCAACCACTCAACAATGTTTATCCATGTCTTTGACACTAATAGCTGAAAGCAAATTACAAATATTTTTTCGTAAACAGTGCTTCTAGTCATCGAGAATTAGGCAGAAAAATTGTTAAGAAAAACAATTTTGAAAACCAACATATGTTTTGAGTGTAACCATCATAAAGCTATAAATGGCAACAAAGAAATAATTAAAGTTTGAAGGTGGGACAAGAACACACCGTTCAGTGGTAAACTGTTCTAAAAGCAAGCTAACAAGATCAGATTTGAGTGTTTTTTTTTTGTTTTTTTAAAACACCGAACAAAATAACTTGTAACTTTTGGGAACATGATATATATATCACGACAAATAATGGGGAACGACAACTGAAGCTTGTTTCTCACAAATCCAGCATTGTTTTAGAACAAAAGAATGGGTAAAAAATTGCATTGTCAATGCCTAGACTATTTGATCCCTGGTTACTTACTCTAAATGTGATCATTCATGTTTGTTATAAAATATGATCCTCCCACAATTTTACCTTCTCATTTACCAGAAGATTGAATATAGATTCAAAAGATAACTTTTTGATTGCATATTGCAGCAAGTAGGAATTACAATAATCCAACTGAAGCTGTATACAATGTGCAAACTTTATCAGTTTTGCCACTTGACAACTGAGTACGAATTGTGAGCTCAAATAACATACAAGACAATGCTGTTGGTTTTGTTGCTGGCTACTTGCTCAAAAATTTATTTAAGATGAAGGAATAATTGTTGTTAGCTTGAATAACTAAATTTCTATTTGGCGAACATCATTTAAAAAATGTTGGTAAAATATTCTCAAGAAACTCCTAGGGATTCCAGTTCTGTTTTACTCGTGTCCACAGTGTCCCATGGCCTATCGAAATGCTTGTAAAAAGTGCATTAACCACATCTTGCTAATCGTGAATACTTTCCATCAACAAATCGTCACGCCATTAAGTTTCAGTGAAACATATGTAATAATGTGTACAATAATAAAATCTAACCGGTAGTTAATCAAGAAGTATTCGTAATAGAAATTAATTTTTGTTGTTTTTTTTATATTCGTTCCATCCTCTGTCGTGTCCTGAGAAATTTCAGTAAGAACTTCAGACTTCAAAGAATTTTTTAAGGAAAATACACTTCTCGTGCAATAAATCTAATTCATTCAATTTTCTGAATTGTACTTTCTGCCGAACATAATTTTACCGCAAAATTTTCACGATAAATTCGATTTACTCCATAAAACTGATATATTTGTAAAATTCATATTATTTCTATGGCAATCTTGCTAAAGTATCTTGCTGGAAGGCGTGCGGTGCGGCCGAATTTGGATTCAGAAAAGTGGGGGACACGAACATCAAAGGTTCCGACGCGAGTGGGCCTTCTGTTAAAGTGTTTATATTCCGAATTTTAGCCCCCCTTTTTTATTAGCTAAATTGAAAGACCTTGTTTCAGTGATTTTAAATCTGCAATTATAATTGAAATTGGATTGGTGAAAGTGATTTTACGGACGTTCAAAATCACGATTTTCAGCATTTTTTTGCGAACTTTTTGATCGGTATGCTAATGACTTGTGACGGAGAAAGTTGAACACATATATCAACATGGCGTATTCGACTAGTAATCTTAATAAGAAACGCGGAGGAAAACGCTGTGTTGCTGGCGGACCTAATCAAATTAGTTGCGCCAATGATTCAAAAACCGAAGGAATGTCGATGCATCTGTTTCCTAAAAAAGAAACAGAGCCGCAAAGACATAGAAAATGGGTAAATTTTGTGCGTAAACATAGACCGGGTTTTGAGGCTTCCTCTACCTCGTGTCTGTGTTCTGCGCATTTTGAAGATTCTTGTTTTGACCTTAATTTGAGCGTGCAAGTCAAGCTCAAAAGAAGGTTGAAGAAAGACGCTATCCCAACCATTGACGTGGTTGGGATTCCTGAACCATTACAGGACGAAATAACCCATCGAAAGAGAAGACAAATAAGTTTACGCTTGTTTATGTTAATTTTTCTTTTGTCATATGTAAATTCGATATAAGTTTTGTAGATTATTCGACATACTCTCCATAAGCCATCGCTGAAGGAAACATGTTCTCTCGATGAGGAATTACCATCTACTAGTGATGGAGCTGAGCATGTTGAAGTATGCACTGGGGAAGCAAACGATTCGCCATTTGAACGGCTTACTATTTTCCATTTTTATATTTATGCTATGATTTAATTCCATGTATTTTTTCTTTTGTCTTTTTTCCCAGACTGACATTGAAGAAAAGATTTTCTTTCATTTAATTCTTTCAGCTTAACCTCTCAGTAGTTGCACCAATCTGTTTTTATTGTTTACTCTTGTTTCAAACCATTAAACTGCATGTCAACTTATATAGTGCATCCATGTATCTCCTATTTGGTTTTAATCTTGGCATATTTCCTGACCATTCCAAACTCAGCAAAGAAGGTCAACAGTCTACAGTGCACAAGTTAAAAGACTATTCCATCATCGCCCTCTGATGGTATGTAACCTTTTGTGTTACCACTTGGATATGCTTTCCGAATAAAGTGGTAAACACAAGCAGGTAAAGGCCGAGTATTCTCCCATCCCATAGACACACAAAACCATCGCATCAACCATCTGTATGCCACAGCTCTCAAGTACCTGAAGTAAATAAAAAGGTTGGACTAATTATTGTTGATGAAACAATGTTGATGATAACATTGTTTCTCATACAATTTACAATCTTACATATTTAATGATTGTGATGCTTGGCAGCGATAAGCACGTCCATTCCTATCTCTCAATAGTGGCCCGACGTTTTCAAGGACAGCCTCATGAACTAAAGGCCCAAATTTGTCATGCTGTGTTATGCATGATATTTTCTCAATGCTGCCATCGAATGTCATTTTCTGCAAAGCTGGTCCTATTTCCTTACAGCATCTGTACTCTAATGCGCCTTCTAACAAATCGGTATGACAGCATTGACAATTACACCTGAAACGTGGGAGCATTGTGGTTTATAAAGTAACTTTATGTATATTACAAACAGGAGAAAACAACAACTTACCATTCACCGAGTGGAATTACGCCATCACTTCGTTGTTCTAATGTCGCAGGGAGAATTCCATCGGGATCATCTGGAGTATGCACTTCATCACCATCTCCTGCGAGCGGTTCATCGTCATATGCGAAGTCGTTTAAATGCTCGACATAACAAACGGATTCCGAGCTCGAATCAGATACGCATTCAGACATCGAATTCAAATTATCTGAGCACTGATTTGAGGCCATACTTTCCGGAAAACTTGTTTTTAATATTTTATTGAAAATACTGTCATTATTTGTTTTTAAGACAAGAAAAACGACAACAAATCACCTCCTATAATATAATATTATATTGACGGAAACAGACATGCTCAACTATCTACGTCACAAGTATCAATATGGCGTCGTAAAAAATTCGCAAATAGTACCCGACTTTGGAGGCAAAATTAAGGAACTTATATTTATCTGTTTAAGTCCAGCGACATGTCATAGTTCTTCAAATAATCCAAATTTTCAATTAAGCTCATAAAAAAGGGGGGGCTAAAATTCGTAATATAAGCACTTTAAGTTATCTATTCTGTGGTAATTGGCGTTAATTGGCGGTAAGGAAAGACTCGTATATTCAGTTGGGCCAGACTGATATAATTGAAATGAAATATCTTTTGAAAAAATAATCAGTTGGGCACAACTGAATATGTGAATAAACATCCCACCATCCAAATTAACGTTATAGTTACGGCTTTAACAATTAGTTTATTGCTAGCCTATAACGCAATGTCGATTTTTTATGTAGGTGTAAAGCAATATTTTAAAAAACAAACTAGCCCTGTTTGTTTTTGCTAGCCCGTCTTTTTTAATTTTATCTGAAAAAAGATTTGCACAAAAAGCGTATTGTCACATACGCGAAGTAAGTCAGCCACCTTGTCTGGGACCTTAGCCCTCAGTTGGGGATTTGCCAGCGCAACCCCTGGTTTGAAGAAAGTAATTTAACTCTTAAACTAAGTTATTTCTTTTAAGGCACATTAACTATCTTTGAACCACTCAACCATTTAAAGAAAAGGTAGTAGTATTGTTTTTACTCATTTTTATTATATTTAAGATTTTACCTGCCGCCATTTTTTTCTCACAATCTAGAGGAAGTTTCCAGAAAACATACCCCTGATAATAAGACCCTCCATCAGATATATAGTAAATAGCTTGATTTTGCTGGCCACCAAAATTTAAATAATTTTTGGAGTCTATTGTGATAGGAAGTTTTGAGCTTGCTTTTTCGTCATCTGTTGGATATTTTTTGATCGCGTTTGCATAGTCCTCTAACAATGGCATAACGCTCATTTTGGGATTAATGGAATCCATCATTGAAACAGCGTACCTTTTGAAAGAAAATTTTACAGTTAATTATACAATTAAGTGGTTGGTATATATTTGACTTCAGTAAATTTAAAAACATGTATTTGATTAGTTAGCTGCAGATCGAAATTTATGAGTATCTGTTTGACTTTAAGAATGGTTATCAAACCTTGAAATATCTAATGTAAAACAGGCAAACAAGATGACTTCATGCACAAAACATTTGATACGCAGTTTGTTTATTCAAGAACGCCATGTTTATTACATAGATTGCATACAAATGTGCAAAAACTCAATAATTTTATCATTATATTACTGCATAGACAAACTATAGAATAACTAAAAAGTCAGTTTTTTAAAACAAAATAAGTATAGATATTTGCGAAAGACATTTGTGTGGTTGTAATTAAAAGACGTCGCACCTATGAGTTAAATTATTCTAAGAAAAGACTTGAAAGACCATCTTTTTTAGAACATGGGCATTCTACACTCAGTTGAACGCTCTAAAGTTGGGCAGAAAAATTTGTTGAAACGGTCAAAAAACCCAATTACTTGTTTATACTTCGTTACTAACAGCCGTTGTAAACTCGACATATAGACGTCTCAAAATCATAGAAAATCACATTTCAATGTCTAAATCTTAGAAGATTGCGAAGTAGGGCTGTATGGGTGCGTGAAAATCCGCAGATGTGCATGCTCGTGATTATATGAAAAACAGTTATTGTTCTCCGACTTGTTACATATAAATTAAATAGACTTTATAGGTAAGGGCAGGTATAAAAATTTTTATACAACAGTAAAGATTTCAACGTTGAAAAAATATATTCAGCCAAAGCACTTGGCTGTTCCATCTACAATCAGTGCTCACAGTGGGATCAAAGCATGCCTATAGCATTTACATTATATCTTTTTGAATTGATATCAAGTTACCAAATATTAATCCGTCGATATTAGGAGATATAAAAAAAGTGCTATCAAAGGCTGAAAGCAGGCTTGCAGCTCCTTTTTGATCAGTGGCGAAGCTAGCGGTCATGCTGGTCATGCTCAGCATGACTTAAAATTTTCACAAAAATTATTTCATTCTTATTAGAGTCATTATAGATTCTGGTGACTGATTGTTTCTTAGCGTTTTGTTATTTACATATAACTATTTGGGACGAAGGTCAAATAATGAGTTAGTGTAGGTAATTTTGATCTCTTTTTGCACATGTATCAAAAATAAAGTTTGGTCAGAAATGGCTGACAATGCATAATGTAAATTTTTTGAATGCAAAATGTCTCAAGTTTCACACAATCACAAATGAGTAGATTTTGACCTAACCAAATAAAAATATGCTCAAATTATGCTCTATATTATGATGTATTTTAAAACATTAACAAGAGAAGTTTGTTTAGAGATTATTGTTTAATTTGGACATTTTAAAGACACAAAACTATATAATCGTTTTATATTAGAGAAATGATTATAAAGTATATAATCATCTCATTCTCCCTTTCACTTGTCTTACAAGTTGCACCGATAAGGTAGGGGGCAAGGGGAACAGCCGTCCAACAACATATGTAATTCCAAGGTCTTTCTATATTTTATCTATCTTAAAAACGGCAGTAATATCAAACAGTGCGTAAAATGTGTTAGTGACATTTTGGTGGTATTTTCCCTCTCCCACCCTACCAAAATAAAATCAAGAGAGTTCAACTAGAATATTGTTCTGAAATAAGTTAATAAGGTCAATCATGTTAAAATACGACAAAAGTTGATTACGAAAATGCTCTTGGCAAAATTATAACTACACAAGTTACAATTAAATCGACATACATTGTTGATGTACACGAAAGTCTTCAAATCAAGACATGGAAATACACAATGCATTTTGCTTGAATTTTAAAGAACGTGTCTCGATGAGCACTAAGCATATAGCAGCGAAGTAAAAATGGTATATTCTTCCGACTTTATTTTTCCTAACTGAACAGAGATATTTTGCTTTAAGATTAACTTGTATGATACGTACACTGTCTGTGTGCTACTAGCGATATTCCAGATCTTGATACTAATGATGTACTTAGACTTCTTTGGTAAGTTTTCTTTTTTCTAAGGCGATTATGTCAGGGAACCTTGTTTTGAAATTGCCTTGTACTGAAACAATGGTGTTATAGTGTTAGGGGATCGCAAATTCTAAGAGATGACACAGAAACAAAAATCTGTCTTCCTTAGAGCTTATTCTCAACCCAGTATAGTAACTAATAATTTGCCTTGAAGCGAGCATCAAAGCTGATATTACATTATCATAGATACAAGAGCATTTAAATGGCAGCTAGAACGATACATGCAATCTATTACAGTCTTTAAATGTGACACGAGAGCATAGTAACTTGATGTTGTTGTTTTTTAATTTGTTGTATTTTCTGCAGAAACTTTATCTGAAATCTCGAAGAAGTGATTAATAAATGTCTAAACACTGGGCTAAAATTGACCATATAATCACACAAAATTTCAGCCCGGGCTGAAACTGCTCCATGTAATCAGCCCTTAAGATAATAAACTTTAGACAGCAAACTGGTTGATCTCTGGCCTGATTACCCATGCCTTTATGGCGTTCGATCAGCAGATTTATATGGGCGACAAATGAGAGTTTGCTTTTGAGGAAATAAAATCGTTCATGTTTTACAACAAGAAGCTGGTAAATGTCTGTGTCTACGGTGAATTAGCAACAGGCATACAACTACTACTTCGTCTTCTTCATAATCATAAAATGACACAGAATTTAACTCGTGTTCAGTTGAGCAAGCCGCCTTTTTGGTTTCATATGAAGTTTATTGAGCATGCGCTGTGATAGAAACACAAAAGCAATTTGCTACAAGAAGTAGCACACAGAAAATTCGACAAAGCATTTCGCCACGCCTGACAAAAATATCAAACTTGTCAGATATTTGCTAGTCCTTCCTGGAATGGCAAAGTCGTCGGAAACAGCATGCACACACGAGAGCAACTTGCTTGCGCCACTTGCCACGAATGACATTTTGCTAAGTACATAGCTCTCGTGTGCGCCGGGCTTAAAGCTCTGTTTTGGGGCTTTGTAATGACTGAAAAATAAGATGGGTTTCAAGTTGTATTGAGATTTGAAAGTTGAAGGCTACGAGGACAATGCCAGTTGTGCAGGACATTTTTAGAAGTCGAATACTTAAATTGCAACAAAGTGCTAACAAAGGTATTCATATCTTTAATATATTCATCAATATTGAAGTTGCTCATGAAGGAGCTGTTTTCAAACTTTGCGTCGCTTAACCTTAAAATCGGCGAGAAATGGCCTAAAATTAAGCTTAGGAGAATTTAGCTTTCATAAAGTTTACAAAACTACCCTCTGGTTGTTACTTTAAAAATATTTACTAAAAGGTTTCAAGTGTTCAAAACGTAAACTTGTCAAGCTCATTGGTCTTTTGGGAGAGAAAGATTATGACTTTTCATTATGTTCTGAAATGATCCAAAATTTACATGAACATAACCACTTCAACAAACACTTATGTCAAATCATTCAAATCACTGAAATAGCATGCTTTTGAATTTTGTATTCAAATCACTGAAAATAGCATGCTTTTGAATTTATGTTTAGTTTTTTTATTCGAAAGTACAGTATCAGTAATTAATATATTAATTAAAAATAAAATATTTGCTGAAGTAGCTGTCTAAAATACAGTACTGGTAACGATATTATGCAAGCTGGTTTGCCCAGCGTTACTTCAAAATAAAAACTTGAGTCAATGTGACACGTTTAACATAGGAGTATGACTCAATCGTGAATATAGATACAAAATTTTAAAATGTAAAATATACTCCTAAGTATTTTCATATTGCACTGGGTAAAGGTATTATGCAAATGATTTAGATTTGCATATGCAGGTAAACGAAGAGGTTGAAAAGCAATTTTGGGAAGGAATACTGAAAAAAATGGGTAGAAGTCTTTCTGTAAGTGAAAATGAGAAAGCAAAAATCGTGAAATTGTTAGCTGCAAAAGTTGAAACTGTGCACATTGCAAAAAGGTTAGAACGAGACCACAGAGCTATAAAATAATTTGTTCATAATATTAATTCACAAAGGAAGAGGGGGTTAGATGAGTGGAAACGATAGATAACTTCAAGGGTAATGAGGAAACTTAAATTTTCACCAAGTAAGAATCAGTTGGCATCCAGTAAAACAATCTTCGAAGAAGCTGGCATCGATCGTCCATGCAGGAAAACCTGCTGTAATATCCTTAATGACATTGCTAGAGTTACAAAACCAGTTACAGGCCTCCCACTATCTGAACAAAACAAGGCAAAACGCATGAAATGGGCCACAGATTACTTAAAAAGTGATTTTTCAAAAGTAATCTTCACCGCCGAATGCCCCGCAACACTGGATAGTCCAGATGGATTTAGCAGAGGATGGATTTGTCATGGTTTTGAGAATCCATTTAGGCTAAGAATACAGCAAGGAGGAGGAGGAATAATGTTTTGGGAAGGCATCTGTAGAGAAACATTAATTAGACCATTTATGGTTGAGGAAGGGTCAAGATGAATAGTGAAGAATATGCCGACTACCTTGCACAACATTTCTTTAACGAGAACAAGTATCAACCACGTTCTTCCAAGCTAAAATTTATCTATATACATGATAATGCCCAGTCATCTGCTTCATAGTACACAAGAAATTTTTTGGCTTCAAAAGGCATCAAAGGGGCTAAGCTTACGATAAGCACTATCATCCCCTGATCTCAACCCAATTGGAAACCTCTGGTCTATAGTCAAGCGCAGATTGTATGAAACTGGCACACAATATCAAAGCACACATGAACTTAAGGAGGGTGTAAAGCAGTGTTGTAAGACTATTACACCAGAAACAATAAAGAAATTAATAACCTCCATGGATGAGAGGCTTGTAAAGATCCTTGAAAGCCAAGGAGGATATATTAATAGGTAACTCTTGTTATAAAGAAAAGTTGTGCGTTTTGTTGATGTTAAAATGTATATTTGATGTCTTTGTATGCTATTTACGTTTTGAACCATTGTTTTTGTTGTTTTATATTACCGTTACACGTACTGTATTTTGGTAATTGAATATTATCGTTACACGCAATGTACATTGCTTGCAATGAAACATACATTGCCTTCAGTACATCAAACAAGAGCATGTTCAATTACTTATCGATAACTAATCAATATTTTAATAAATGTTTTCCTACCAGTCCATTGATATCTGGACTTCCTGTTAAGAACATCCAACTCAAAATTTCGATTGTTAATTTGAGTGCGAGTAAATTATTATTAAGTAACTAATGAAAACAATTATCCTTCACCATTTCCAGAATATACGTAAGTATACAGTTCCCATACGTAAAACATCTAGCAGTAGATTACGATTAGTTTCAAAGCACGAAACGGAAATAGTATTAATACAGCGAATGAATCTCAAATCCATAAAATTAAGTTTGGAGTTCATTAGTTATTCACAAAAAACGCCAATGCTTGATTTGTGTTCCGATATATTTAAATATTTCAACTAAACAAATGGGTATTGCTTCTTTTTGGCATATTTAACCTAATTCAAATAGTTTCATTATTAGTTTCACTTGCAAGTAGAAACGAAATGGCGACTCCGCGTTCGCCGCAGAGCCGTTGTGCCAGCTCTCTCAAATAAGGGACTCTGCTATCGATGTGTGTCGTAGTCAAGTGAAATACAAAGAGGAAAGAAATTGTTCTTACCCGTCAATATGATTAAATGCCAATTCAATTTCACGGAAAACAAACGAAAATATCTTTATGAAATTTTTTTTTGACAAACACCGATTTCTTGTTGATTTTCTCTTCTTGCTTTCCGAGAGTATCTCGAAACATTAAACACGTTTGTCTGTGATAAAATCTCGCGTATCTGGGATAAAATCACGACTTCATTTCTTTGCATCAGTAGCGTTCCATGTAGGCCGTCAGATGAGCATCCAAAAGATGCTATGAAAACAGAATCCATTGCACCCCTCTCGAAGCTACGTAATTTTTATATGAGTAGACAGATAATAATCTCTGTAACTAGAATTCGTTGCTCCCCAAGGGAAACAGGTGCACAATCGAGAGAAATTTTCCTCCGTAATTACATTTTTAAGTGCTCATGTCACGGCCTAAGTTATTTTGGTTCAATGATCCAAACACAAAAATCGTTCAGTAATCGTCAATTCCAGACTCTTTTTACCCACCACGTCGTATAGAACCATATTGAACTTGAAGCATTCCACATATAAAAGGATTGCATATTGCTTGTAGTTAACAATGCACCATGATTGCTTACCGTTTTTTCCTTCCTCCTAGCATTTTCGGGAGCCACCAGATTGCAAGCACCAAACGCTTAGTTCGCTCTAAATCTTCACTTCTAACTTTGAAAGATATCACAAAGACAGATGTTTCCAAAAATGTTGTTTGTGAAGTCAAAGTAACTTGCATAGATTGACCTTGTTTCACTTGTGATGGAATAATAGTTTCAACATTTATGCCTTCGTGAGCGTACCTAAGACATTAATAATGGGTGAAGAGATTTATATTGGTCATAAATAAGACAAAGATCTGTGCTTCTTTTTATGTCTGACTTTACTCTAAGAAGCGAAATGTAATATAATCTTTGGAATATCATCTCAGCCTAAATTTTAATGTTTTCCGAATCATATTTTTCTTAAAAAGCAAACAAACAAAGATCAACTTGCAAAAAAAACTCATTGCTAAACCAAAGCAAAATTTTTTTGCCATGTGAACTTTTTATGAATTTCAAAATTTAATGTTTCATCCTCTTCTTTGTATTACTGGACTCTCGAATTCTGTGTTGCACAATACGCAAATTAAATCGTTCACCCGATCTCTAACCACCAAGCCATAACTATATATTGTAAGTATTTTTAAGCAACATGCATGCGTGGCATTTAAAACTGAAAATTGAAAAGTGACATTGGAAAACGGTCAGTGATATTCATATCGTTAGAAAAATATCTATCTCTCTGCTGTTGTTATTTTATTGACATCGTGTTTAATGACCTCCTTTTCAGACTGAAGACCACATTATCAGCTTTGGTAACATGCATTTTTGTGTTCAGTGAGTCACAGCTGCTCGCTACCAACTTTTACAATGAAACATAACAAGATTTTTCATTTGACATATTAGAAATGTCGACTAGTCAACTTTCACTCCTCTGGAATGCGTTAGTAAAAGATAAATATTTTGTTGCGATCGATGAACCAGGTGGGAATCGTAATAGAAATAACATGATGGGATTTAATATTTATAATTCGATCAAAATCTTGTATTGTGTTTTCTGAATAGTACAATTCATTTTTCCTTTGTTCTTTCACGAGGATTTATATATAATTTTGTTTGTGCACTTCAGAAATTTGTTTTCTTTTTTTGTAAATAAACTTATCTGAAAGTACAGCTAAGGATAGCAATGAAGTGCTAAAAGTATCTCAGCCAATTAGAACGAATTATATTACTAGAAGGGCCGCTTCCTATGTAATTAGCTAACGAATATAATTGCAATTTTGGACATCTCTGATTATTGAAATCATTGGCTAAAGATGCAAATCAATTTGCTGCATGCAATGACCTAAAAAGTATAGTTGAGTTGATTATCGGCTTTTAGAATGTTATGCTAACTATTTGCTTTTAAGTTAGTGAGCTTACCATTCTGGATCGTATAGAACAAATGGATTCGGGTCCTTGGATAAATTTTCGATAGCAAGAACAGTGGCCTGAACAGTTTTAAAATATCTATAAGCAGCTTGGGCCAAGGTTCCTGCTATACCAGTGACAGCTCCCAGAGCAACTGATCCAAGTAGTGTTAGCTCGCGTTTGGCAAGAGCGCTCTGATAGGTTTTGATATCACTTGAATCATCCACTCTTACATAAATGCGTGCGTCGTTACCGGTAGTCATCTGGTAGCTAACTAACATTTTCAGTTCCTTATCGCGTGCTAGAATGCTTTTTCCTTTTTGTCTTGCCGAAATCCATAGCAAGTAATCCAATTCATTACGTAAACGTAAATCCTTTTTAAAATCCAGATTAAAGACGTAAAACTGGTTGTCTTTTTCTTTAACTTTAAAACCAATACAAAATTTTCTTTCTTCAATAGTTGTTGCACTTGTATTGACGTTGTAGCATAAGAATCCTTTAATCTTGTTTTCCTCTCCAGCTATTTTTGCAATTTCTGTCTGTTTTAAAAATTGTGCATCGTTTTGATCATTTTCAATAGGATTGATAAATAACATCGGAGGGCTAACTGTTCTTCCGCTTTCTAGGTATATTGTAGGATTGACAAATGATCGTACTTTCATATTGTTTAAGACCTTGATTGTTAAAGAGTAACACTCCTTGTTCATATATTCTTCAAGCAAAAAACTGGTGACTGTTTGAGTAAATCCAACTGAAAATGTACCAACAGTTCCAAGGTTTACGTAGCTGTCAATAGCGGCGAGCGCCGCTTTTTTGGTGATGTTACCGCACACGTAGGTTACCAATAAGTTGCTAACCACAAAAAGCAGCAATGCACAATTTACTCCACTCATTTTGAATCAAAGTGATTGGTATGTTAAGTTAGTATTTTTTTTAGAAAAATCACTTATATGTTAATCACTTGAAAATCTAAAAAATTTTACCTGCTTTACGGTTCAAGCTTTAGTGGATTCTTTTTGTTTAATAAAAAAACTACATACAAGTGTTAGGGTACCTACCTGCAGCAGCAATCGTATTGCCAGAGTTTTAATAAGGCTTAACACATTCAGATTAGGGATTGTTTTCTTTTATACTTTGCCTGGTTTGTTTGTGAAAGCGTAATTTCACATAAGAATTGTTTTGCTTAAATTAAAAAACTCAAATGTGAAGAACGAAATGTTAATTGTGAAACTGACTTTTCATATGTGACATTTAAGTTTCACATGTAAAAATTGATTTCATATGTGAAACTTTTTTTTTTATATATGAAAATGTCTATTTCATATATGAAATCGGAATTTCGTATAAAGCATTCTTACAATTTTTGGAAATTGCTAATATGCAAATTTTAGGACTGAACGTAAAAGACTGATATCACCAAGCAGAAGTGAATACACGAAAATACATTTTTGTTGTCTTATAAATTTAAAAATTTCCGAGGGCCTTTTTTCAAATAACCGAACTATTTAGACTTTGGAGTTTTCACTAACCTGACCATACACCAGTTTTGTACGATATGACTATTTTGAGCAATGTTGACGCATCTTGCTATAAGTCAAACGCGCAAAAATACTTAATACATTTGATGAAATTTATATTGCCCTGTGGCTACATTACATTATGTTTAAGAAAGTCAAACGATAAAGTAAAGCTTATGCAATAGTTTACTTTTTACTGCAGTAGTTTTATCATTCACTTTAACTAACTATTGGTTTACCATCTTCACTAATTTTTTTTATCAGATGGTTATTTTGTCAGATTGATTTTTTGTCAGATGGTTATTATTCTTTTTTATTGTTTTCTGCATCATTTTGTTTCAAGCTTTCTTGTTTCGTATTTAGAAACTGTGACAAACATCGCTGTTGGTTGATTTTTTTCAAAACCGTTTTTTAATGGCGCCCATAATATTAGAAACTAATATTCACAGATATGACGTCATAACTACAGATATATAGCGTTTTCTATTCAATATGTAAGCAATGTCACTTTTAATTGGTCGGCTATTCCCAAATAATTCTCGATATCTGCAACTATGACGTCATATTTACAAATAACAAACAATTATTTGATGGCACTGAGCATTATATTCATAATTATTCAGACGAGGTCAATGTTATCTTCCGAAGCGTAGCTGACGTTGTAAGTGAAAAGATAATTGTAAAATTTTATTTTTAAAAACAAACTACGCACACACACGATGTATGAAAACACCGAACTGCGAATAAATTGTTGCTAAAGTCATTAGTGCGTAAGATTTTAAAACAAAACTTTGTGGAAATAGTTAGACTTCGAATGCTTCAATTGGCAGTAAAACTGACCAAAGAAAATGATTTTTTTTGTAACGAAAACTGTGTTGACGGTAGCACTTTTGAAATATATAAAGGGTTAAGAGCTAAAAATCATGGCACATATTGCTAAAGCCAACAAAGTTTTACAAAATTGGGATTTTGCGTCCACGAGCTCAGTTGTCGTTTCGCTGCTTATTTTGAAATTTTTGGTTTTATATGTCAAGGATGCTCCGTAGCTTACTAAAAAAGTTTTATTATGTTGCGAGAGTCAATATGTGTAATGTTTTTTCAAAGCAGCTAAAAAGTGTGAAGTACCCGTGAACTTAATTGCGTCCCAAATATTTTTGTTTAATATATAATTTTTGATTAGATTTGAGACAATTTATAAAAATATTTGTGATGATGATTTACAGATTCAAGGGTCTTTATTTGGTAGAAGAAAGCGATAAAGCAAATTCCTCAAATTAATGCTTGAAGAATTTTATGTTGAATTTATTTTTATATAGTTATGCAGTCGGCAACGGTCTTTCACAAATGTTTTGAATAAATTTTAAGAAAAATATTACCTGCAAAATTTTCGATGTATTTGCAAGGTAAAACGACGTATGTGGAAACTGTATAAGACTGCATTCATAAAAAATTCTTTAAATTTTTTCTCTCTCCAAAGAATGCATTATTCTTAACAGAATCAGATTATCAGAATCAGATTAACAGGATCAGAATCAGAATCGTAGTTATACCATGCATGTCTCTCCGTTGGAATCAAAATGTTTGTAAACCTATAATTAAACTTATATAAATTTATTTGTTTGCTGTTGTTTAACACTAAAGCAACATTACAAATTTCCTCGCGTATGTACTTGCACCCCTCAAACTTTGTACTTGTAGTCGCACTTGCTTGCTGTTTCCATAAGTGACACACAACGTCATCTCAGAATTTAATTTAGTCGCTTTCAAAGTTTCTTACCATTCGAACACCTTATGATTCTAAAATTTCTCATTAATATTTCATATATGAAGTCTTTATTTGAAATTGAAACTCACATACGAACACATTTATCATATGAAATTCCTTACGTATATGCAAATTTATACCTGTGCTAAAAGTTCCTATGGATAATTCACCACTAAGTTATGTGTATACTGGGATTTTCAAATTTAAATGCACAAAAATTTGGGATAAACGCAATCACAAAGCTGCTATAGGTATACAAAAATAACAATACAATCTATAAAAAATAAACATAAACAGATATAGCTACATTTAAAAAAGCACAACGAATTAACAAAAATGGGGTACAAGTAGTTGTGGTGTATGTTCTATGTACATGACTAGTACGTTCATATCTCTCAAAAATACTATTGTTAATAATGACGAAACTATTTATTTATGAACTTAATTTTATCAAAAACTACAGTAATTAGATGGCAAACAAAGACAAGTTTCAAAGGTATTTACGAACAAAGGTATTTACAGACACTCAGACTACTTGCAACCAATACACAATTTTCTTAGCATATCTAATATGAGATCAACTTATGTTGGATAAAGCAAAAAGCTATATTTTTTCCAAGCCATAGATTATTTTTGAAGCATATGCCGAGTAAGCATATCGGATAATAGGGTCTTCTTTAACTTGAAATAACTTTTTGTTCTGTCCACTTCTTTCAACCCATTTGGTGTTAACATCGACTGATGAAAAAACAATACAACTTCATTTTTTAAGGCTTTCAATACGCTTTTGAAATATTTTCTCATGATGTTGAACCTATATGTAGTGACTTCATCGTTTGTAATGCATAATATATATGATAATTTTTATTCAAGCACATCTAATGATATTTCCTGTAAAGTACTTATTTACAAGGTGAACTTATAAGTACAAAATTTGATTTAAGAGCCTAAGTTTTGAGACCTCGTGAAAATAGTTTTCACTAACCTTTCAGCAAGAAATACAATTTTTACAATAGCATGAAGAAATTCATTGTCTAATTAGCGTGTGAGGCATAATGATGCGGTCTAAGTTCAAGTGAACACCAAACATCAAATTTTCCAATATTTATTGTTCAAGAAATTATCAAAATCTTATTTTTTATGGACACTGTATTTTCTAACGCGAATAAAGTGTGATATGATTATTATGAAAAATGGAAGGTTTCATTATAATTTATGCTTTTCTGATTCTTGAACATGAACATTCTTACTGCAATTAGATGTCGCTTATTCATTGTCAATTATCAAATTTATAATGGAGAGTGTACTTTTTTAACCATAAACATATGTCAATAAAATGCCGTCATTTTTTTTACGATAACATTACTTGATGTTGAAGGCTGTGGTAAGCAAGTAAATCTTGTGTTACATTGCCACGTCTATGATTTAAGTGACCGGTGAGCTCATTTATATAGTATTTAGCTTCAGGTTTACAATCGACAAGCCAGCTTAAAAAAGATGGGTTTTCTCGTTTCCAAAAAGCACTGTCTGCAAACATTTTATTTTCATGTTTGCTTGCGCCCAATTACGAGGTGGAATGTTGTCTCCCTGAGCACAAATGCACCTTTAAATTCTCCATACCACCTTAAAATTTCGCCCCTGGTTGTCTGTTGATTTTTGTCCGATTTATTAGTTTGAGCATCACGTTATGGATTTTGGACAAGGTGCAGTTTACAAAATAAACTGCTTCGACTGCAACGCCTCCTCTGTCGCGGAGACACGCAGGAAATTAAACACAAGACTCTGAGTACAAATGCGCTACAAAGAAACAACGTTAGAACGGCTTACATTAGAAAGTTGGTATACCAACTTAGAACAAAGCCCCCTGAACAGATCACATCAATTACAGGCTCTTTACAAACGACTTATTCACAATACAAACAAACGAGAAACTAAACACATTACTTTAGATTAACCACTATAACTATATATAATTGACACCCACACATTTCCTGTACACACAATACAATGACATAAGAACCGGATGACTACCCATAAGGTTTCCGAAACGTCAGTCAACATCAACAGTCCTTCTCGGGACTCTACTAGCCTGGACGATCTACATCTACAAACATGTAACAACTGTATTTTGTTGAAACTATTTTCCTAGATAACCCCTTGCAATACTCACTATATGTGTATTGTTTTACGTATTAAATACCGCGACAGATAATGGCTGGAATCGTATTTTTATTTGTTTTCATTCAAAGCTTAACAGATGAGGAATATATTTGAGTACGAATCAAACTTTCACCGGAAATTCAATGCGTATTTATCTCAATGAAAATTTTGATTCCTTTCTCATGCTGCAGTTTGTGGCATACTGTAAATTTTCTCCAAATGATTCTCAATCAATTCATGCTTTTGAACTGAGTGCGCTATCCTCTATTATGTCACTGAAACAAAATGGCAAATCCAAATCTATAAGAGGTTGGCACGAAGTCTTGGGCAACTGCAATGTTAATGATATTCTTAGTCAAGAAGTGTTATGGATGGTATAAAAATGTTGAGGCATGTGTGGAATAAAAAATCACGAAACAAAATGGAGATAGGTGTGCGGATTGAATTTTACAATTAGTGCATTGTGATTTAGCAGGCCTCCATAAGCCCCAAAGCTATAGACAGCTTTCGTTATGTTTTATATTAAGTATAGATATAAGTATATTCAGGTATAATAATGATCTACTTATCGAAAAGCACGTGTGACTGCCTTGAGGAAAAGGAAAAAAAATGTCATCTATATGGTATGAGTGTAACGTCTTACGAGTGATAATGGAAAGGAGTTTACATCACAAGCTTTCAGTAATATTTTAGTGAAGTTTTGTATAAAGAATGGCATGTGTTCCCCTTATTCACAACACCAAAATGGAACAGTTGAAAGAAACTGCAGATCCCATTACGACATAACTAGATGCTTACTCATTCAATCAAATTTGCCTAAAACATTGAGGACTTACGCATTAAAGATATCTACATGCATGCATTTAAAATCGCTACATAAAAAATACGAAAACACCTTTTCATGTATTTACAAATCAAGAACCAAATATAGAGAATCTGCGTGATTTGGCACCTGGATTGAAGAAAAATGGCAGAAAGTGGAATAATGTACTTCACTCGTATTTAATTAATGAAGCTTTTATTCAATCCAAATCTGAAAATTGTTTTTATGTTAAAGCAGCCGACAAAATCAATGAAATTTTAAATAATTTAGGTAGATGATATAATCTTAGTGTCGTGTGCGTTGTTTAAAAAGTTTAAGAAAAGTTTAGCGCAATCTTAGTTAGTGATATCAGTTGTAAGAAAGAGAAAATTAAAATGAGTCAGAACAATTATATTAAAAAGATATTGAACAAGTTAAAGATGGAAATTTTGGTAATCAAGGTCGTCGTCATGAGGAATCTCAGCCTGTATAGCAAGGTAGGCAGAAAAATAGTTGGAAACATAATATATCCATGCGATGACATCTACAGGACCTGATTTGAGTAAAGTGTTACAAAGCTCTCACATTACCTATTACCTCCAACAGCAGTTTACCTGAATACTGCTAAGCATTTACTGCAATATCTCAAGGGTATTCTGATACACATCTTGTTTTTAAAAGAAAAACACATTTAATTTGTTTTTGTGTTGCAAATTGGGGTGATTCGAAATGTATGCATCACTGTATATGGTGTTTAACTTAGTAAAGATGGTGCTCTCATTGTATGGAAGGGTACAAAGCAGCTCAATGTAGCACCATTAACTTTCGATGTACATTTAGTACATGTTATTGAGTTTAGCAGTCCAAGAGGCAAATTTCGTTCTCAACTTTTGAATGATTTTTTTTTTATTCAAATGCTGCAATACTGTGATGCTTAAAGTGCTATAACATTAACCAACAATCCTATGAACTATCAACGATCGAAGCACATTGACATAAAATATATTTGTATTAGAGAAGAAGTTAAAAACGGTTTTGATTTACTGTCAAAAATCTTTGTACTGGTGATAATATGTCTTATAGGTTTACTAAAGACTGTCTAGACAAAGACTTAAAATGTTCGCTTCTGATGTATTTGAACTTTTCATTTGTAAATATTTTATAAATTTATGTTAGTTGATTAATGTTTCGGTAGGGGTGTTGAAATAAATATTGATTTATAATGATTTTACAATGATTGGTCAACTTTGTGACATGCCATTAACACCTTACCATAGCACAAGTATCTTCTAGGTATCAAGTTAATAGTTGTTTTTCAAAATGTGATTGCGAACAGAGATTATTTAAATCTATTCTGTTTAATTAACGTATAGTTTGCATTATTCTTGCGTACTTCTGCCGTTATGAGTTCAACAAATGGTTTGATGATGCATAAAAGATGCATACGCAGTTTAAAGTTGTACAAAAGCTTCCTTTTGATGATTCACGATTCTCATTTTTGCAGCTACATATACGTCCTAGAAAAAATAAGCTTACTTACCTCAACCATTACTTCCAAAAAAGGAGGCTTGGATGCCCCTAGCAATTGCATGGTAAGAACATGGAGCAGTCATCAAAAATCGGAATGCTCAAAATCTTATTGGTCGTGTTTGCAATTATATATAATTGGGTTTTTTAATATTAATTTAGCAGCGGTCAATAAGCTACATTCAGTGTAGCAAAAAGCACTTTCAAAACTTGCACCCCCAACCTCCTGCGAATATTTTTACTGGCTAAAAATACCGCCCCTTATAAGTTTTTCACGGTAAGAAGCCAGTTCACACTTGCTGTTTGCACAAAGTGCACGGTTAAAGCTAAACCATGTACATTATTAAGAGAGGCTGAAGAGTTTTATGAAAACAGCAAAAAATGCAGACTTTCTTAATTCAATTTAGTTCTTTATGATCACCGATTAAATAATTTTTTAAAATAATAATGGTAAGAGTATTTTGTGAATCACCACGGGAACATTTTGCACCGCAAATTGCTTATTGAAGAGGTGTCTGGTCGTCCGTATATTCATAATCTACAGGTTCAGGTATGAAGCAATCGTTGGGACCATATGCAGCTGCTGTCTGCGAAGTTCCAAATACTTTCACGGCCATCATATTCTTATTTCCATTTCCAATTGCTGTCAATAGTTTAAGGGTTCTTACTTTGACTTGACCTCCTGCAAAAAAGCCAACCATGGTAGTAATAATATGAACAAATGTTCAACAAGTACTGAATGAGATTGAGCATGATATCAAGAATTGTACATTGCTTTGGTCACAAAACTAATGCAGGATATAAATGCTTTCGAAGTTTTGGTATCTTGCAAAAACCGAATTCAATAATTGCTTTACTATTATTTATAATTTTAGAAGCTTTTAAAATATTTTGTACAGAAGCAACAAATTTTCCGTGCTTAAACAGAAAATGACCTTGACAAGCAGAAATCTCCGACTGAACATAAGTAGTGCAGTACGCTTTCGTCTTTTCCACTTAAATACTTGATGAAAACTCTCCTGGACCTACCTGTTCCTAGGTGACAGTAAAAGGCACAATTCTATTTTGAAATAGAGTGGACTGTGGACTAAATATTTTAGTATGTAATAGTAGTTTTCCTTAAGTGAAATAAATGATTTTAGAACAAAATGGGGAGAAGACATTTTCTCTCACCCCCCCCCCCAGCATTTCTGCCTATGCTGACTATGTAACCCTTTATGTGTTTCTTTGCGAGTTTAATCTCAATGATTCGAGCTAAAATTTTATTAAAACGCTTGAAAATCTCAAGGAAGATTCCAACACTTTACTATTTGTATTTTCAGTTGTCACGTGCATATTTAGATTTCTATAGTTGGCGAAACATTGAGAATTAAATGTTATGTCTTATCTAATAACAATCAAGATTGCACCATTATTGTTTAAAAAATGTGTATGTACGTATACATCCTATTTTCCAAGGGTAGGAAGTATTTTTGGACAATGGTGAATAGGTGATAGTATAGAGGGGAAATTTTTATACGTGCTTTATATTACACTCACTGCGCATGGTTAGTTTGAGCATTGTTTAGAGAGAGAGTCTCCTAATGAGACACTCACCACTGACTGAGTAAAGGAAGTTGTCATTGAAATGGAGAATATCATAAAATGATTAATGAAATGCATTGAAAAGAATTTTGAAGAAAAAAAGCAACAATTAACGATGATTCACATATATAAAAGGAACAAAAATCAGAATGAACTTTATTAACCTGATTATTAAAGGATGAAACAAATCCTGGCTGGGTGCCAGTTCAATATTTATGTTTCGAAAGAGTTATAACATTTAAAGAAACGTCAGTATTGCTTCAACTTATTTTTATCATAATTCAGGTCTTACCTCCTGCTTTTTTTCCCTCACAATCTATAGGAAGTTTCCAAAAAATATAACCTTGTTCATAATAATCCCCTCCAACAGATATATAGCGAATAGCTTCACGATTTTTCTTGTCACCAAAATATAAATAATCGTTGGCTTTGGGATTATTTTGATTCGCTTTTTTCTCATCTTTTGGATAATTTTTGATGACTTTTGCATAATCTTTTAACAAGGGCTTAACACTCTCTTTAGCATCACGGGAAGCCATCATTGACACAGAGTACCTTTTGAAAGAATATTTTACAGTTAATTTATACAAATGGTTGGTAAATATAATTGACTTCATTAAATTAAAAAAAAATATTTTTGATAATAAATTAGCCTTGTATGGTCAGTGGTTACACTGATCAACTAGCGTAGTAAAGTTAACTAGACAGTTCAATCATTAAAATATTTCTCTGAAATGAGTTAATATGCTCCAATCATATTAGAATACGAAAAACGTTGAATATGATAACCTTCTTAGCAAAATTATCACCACACAAGTTAAAAATGGATAGAGTTAAGTTTTCTTAATGTACAGGAAAGGTTGCAAATCACGCAATGGAAATACACAATGTGCATATTTTACTTAAATTCTACAGAACGTTGTTCGATTAACAAAAAGCATGTGTCCGCGACGTAAAGATAGTATTCTCTTCGGACTTTTATGTTTCTTTGAGTGAACAGAGATATTGTGCTACAATGTCAGTGTACTACTAGAGTGATATTCTAGATCTTAATACAAGTGGTATACTTAGACTTCTTTTGTAAAAATAATATTTCCTAAAGTTTTTACAAAGTTTGCTTTTCTTTAGAGGACTGCTATAAAGAAACTTGTTTTGAAACTGCTTTGCACCGAAAAAATTATGGTATTCGAGTTAGGGGAGTGCAAAGTTCAGGTAAACACGCGCAAACAAAAATCTTTCTTAGAGCAAACACAACTTAACTTTTTCAATTGATGGCCGGATCCAAACACTTGGGTTTATGGCTAGAGTTGACTTACCCTCGGTCTGGATTAGGGTTAGGGTTGGATAATTTTGCGTATTTGGATCAGGCCATCCAAACATGGAAATCTTTTCGTAGTTGTTAATTTCTATAGAATTTAAAAATTACATATTGCAGTGTTTCCTAAAGCCTTGGTCAATCGAGCTTAACATTCCTAGCAACATTTTCCGACTTTTTTGGCCGATGTTGCGACTTTTTATCAGGAACTGGTTAAACGGGGCCAACTTTTACTATTTTGATTGGCTCGATCGACGGGTCATAGTAGGTTTTTATTGAAACAATATGTCGGTTGACAGCTAAGACATAAAAATTCGGCGTTGTTTCGCATCTTTGTACATATTAGAGCTTGTTGATAACAGAAGAAGCTTGACAAGAATAAAATGAGAAAATGGATCAAAGAATGGCGCAAAAGGAGTTTTATTCAATCATTTACGAGAAATTTTAATTCAACACACAACTACGTATGCCTAAAGACAACAAATGTTGTCAAACGTAGTCAAACGACTACAACATAAAAAATTAGCATAAAATGTTGGTTGAAAATTTGACTTTAGTCTAATTTCAGGCAACATTGTCCAACATCATTCAATATTAGCTGTATTAATGGTCAAACGGTGCCAACATCATATTACAACAAAGTTGTGCGATATTGAAGGAAAATGTTATGCTCGTTTGAGCAAGGCTTAATGCAGCATGATTGCTTACCGTTTTTTCTGTCCTCCTTGCCCAAGTGGGAGCCACCAGATTGCAAGCACCAAACGTTTAGTTTGTTTTGGATCTTCACCTCGCACTTTAAAACATATCACAAATACTGATGTACCCACAATTTTTTTTGACGAAGTTAAAGTAACTTGCATAGATTGACCTTCTTCTACTTTTGATGGAATGAATGTTTCAACACTTATTCCTTCCTGAGCGTACCTAGGACAGTAAGTAACGGTTGAAGAGATTTATATTGGTCATAAATAAGACAAATATTTGCGTTTCTTTTTATATTTTATTTTACTCTATGAGCCTAAGTATAATATCGACATAAATTTGAAACATATACAAGAATAACATAGTTGTTTACATATTTTTTTTGTTTACTGTCAGTAAGAACTGTATTTCTATATTCAAGAAAAGCCTATTTATTTTTTTATTTCTGTATGGAGTCTTGGCCTATATTAGTAATGTTTTCAGAATCTTACTTATCTTAAAAAACAAGCAGACAAAAATTAACTTGCAAACAAAACTCTTTGTTAAACCCAAACAAAACTTTTTTATCATATGTATTTTTTATGACTTTCAAGATTAAATGCTTTATTCTATTCTTTGTTTTACTAGTCACACTGAATTCTGTACTGCACAATACGCAAATTGAATCAGTCATCCGATTTCTAACCAATATGTTGGCCATAAATATTTGGTAAATCTTTTTAACTATCATGCATGCGTGGCAATCAAAATTGAAAATTGATTTTTAAATAAAGGGCTACTGCTAACGTAAAAAGAGTCTACCACACCATAATGTTTCAACTTTAGGTGGAAAGGAAAGAAAAACGGCCAGTGATAATCAGTGGGTTAAAATTTGATCTCTCTGCTGTCGCTATTTTATTGACATCCCATTTAATGACGTCATTTTCTCACTGAGGATCACAATATCAGCTTCGGTAACATGCATTTTTGTGTTCAGCGGATAAAAGTAGTTCACAACTGCGCGCTACTAACTTTTCCTATGAAACATGTCAGCATTTTTTTCACCTACTATATTAGAAGTTTTGACTAGTCAACTTTTATTCCTTTGGAATGCGTCAGTAAAAATTAATAGTCTGAATTGTGTTTTCTGGATAGTAGAACTTATTTTCCTTGTGCATTATCTTCAACAAGGATTAATAAATATTTTTGTCGATACATTTTACCAACATTTGACTATTCCTTCAGAAAATTTGTTTAATTTTTTTTGTAAAACTTTAATAACTCGAAGGTGCAGAACAGGAAATTAATTAACGAGAAAATGTCCTAAGCCAGTTAGAACAAATTTTTTACCAGAAGGGCTGCTTGTTATATATAATTAACAAATTTATTCGCCACTTCGTTCATATCGAAATATTGAAATCATTTCTTAGAGATGCAAATCTATTGGCCGCATGTAAGGCGCTATAAAGTATAGTTGATTGTGCATTCCATTGTTTTCCCTCCATCTGTGCATTTTCTTAGAGCATAATAGCCCATACCAATTCATGAATTGTAGGCACTGTGAGATATAGAACACGAAAATACTGGATGCTGATTACCCGAGTGGCTATGGCCATGTTTTAAAATCACATTACTTTAAGGCCCTGTCTACACGTATCCGGATGAATTTGAAAACGCAAAAATATTTTTACGGTTTTAAAAACTTCTGCGTTCACACGCGATCTTTTCAGATCTTTTTGCCCGTCCACACGTGTCCGGATATATTTGCTAAAGCTGATAAAATTACATCTAACCATACGCAGATGCAAGATGAGCCTGCAAATAACATGTACGTACACGACTACATGTGCTTTTATCACACTTGAAGTGGAACTCTCCTTTGCGTTGCTTGTAAATACACTTCGAAAATATGTCAAACGCCTTAGAAAAGTCGTCAAAATCCAAGAACGGAAAACTTTGTATGGACAGACGATGAGGTGGAACTCCTTTTAAACGTTACTCTCGAGTATAAAGCGATAAGAACTGCGGAGAATGTTGACAGGGAGACATGCCAATCCAAATATTCTGATATTTTAGATACATTTCTTACTCAGTCCGAACAAGACGCAGCTCAAATTGAAAAATTCACCGCGCGGAGAACTGGTTCATAGTTAATACGTCATCGTTTTTATATTTTTACGGTTTCACCCATCCACACGACAATAATTTTTTTCCGTTTTCAAAAATTTCCACTCTGGACGGCGTTTTCAAAAGTTTACGGTTTGTTTGGGCGTTTTTAAATTTATCCGGATACGTGTAGACAGGGCATAGATTGATCCACGATGACAATTCACATTTGACACCTCCACGCGCACAAATTTCCTGTTCACAAAATACGATGACGTAAGAACCACATAACAAATATGGCCAGCCTGATCTCAGTATTGTGAATATTATATACAGTAGAGCCACTCTATTGAATTTTTTCCTGCCACGCATATCTTATTACACATGCAATTACCATAGTAGCAGCCAGTCAATTGCTTTTTTTTTGACCAATAGGAATGATAAAATAGCTAACGGCAGCCTGGCAGCCAGTAATCTAATTAAATATACAGCAGCATATTGCACGCGAAGTGGACCTACTGAATATTCCTATACTGTGGCCTGACGTTTATTCCTCATTTGACTCTGAAGATGACTACCGCTAATATTGTCGAAACGTAAGTCGACAACAACAACAACAGTCCTTCTCAGGACTTTACTAAACTGGACGATCTACAACCAAAAACATGTAACGATACTCCCGGGCTCAAACCATTAACTTTAAAGTATAGTTGAGTTTATTATGGGTTTTATAAGTAGTATGCACACTCTTTGCTTTTAATTTTGTAAACTTACCATTCTGGATCGTATAAAACAAAGGGATCTGAGTCCTTAGATAAATTTTCTATAGCAAGAACAGTGCCATAAACACTTTTACAATATCTATAAGCAGCTTGTGCCAAGGTTCCTGCTATGCCAGTGACAGCTCCCAAAGCAATTGATCCAAGTAGCGTTAGCTCGCGTTTGGCAAGAGCACTCTGATACGTTTTGATGACGTTTAAGCTGTCCACTCTTACATAAATGAGTGCGTTTTTACCGGTCGTCATCTGCGTGTATATTTTTATTTTCAGTTCCTTATCGTTTTCTTGCATGCTTTGTCCTTCTTCTCTTGCAGACTTCATTGGCAAAAAATCTAATTGACTTCGTATATTAGTTTCAAAATCTGCAGTAAAGACATAGAACTCGTTGTCTTTATCCGCAACATCAAAACCAACACAGAATTTTTTTCCTTCTATAGTTGTTCTACTTGTATTGACTTGGTAGCATAAATATCCTTTAATCTGATCGTCATCTCCAGCTATTTTTACAATTTCTGTGTGTTTAAAAATTTCTGCATCGCCTTGCTTATTTTCTATAGGATTGATAAATAACATCGGAGGGCTTACTGTCTTTCCATACAGTAGGTATATCGTAGGTTTGACAAATGATCGTACTTTCATATTGTTTAAGACCTTGATTGTTAAGGAGTAACACTTACGGTTCATATATTCTTCAAGCAAAAAACTGATGACTGTTTGAGTAAAGCCAACTGAAAATGTACCAACAGTTCCAAGGTTTACGTAGCTGTCAACAGCGGCGAGTGCCCTTCTTGTTGTAACGTTATCGCATTCGCACTGTACCAATAAATTGCTAACCACAAAAAGTAGCAATGCACAATTTATTCCATTCATTTTGAAGCGATGTGATTGGTATGTTAACTTGATCTTTTTTTAGAAGAATTACTTGTATGCTAATCACTTGTTTTCCTTTTGAGATGCAAGCGCTTAAAAAAACTTGAAAAAATGGTACCTGCTTTACGGTTCAAGCCTAAATGGATTCTTTTGTTTTAAAAAAACTACATACAAGTGTTAGGGTATCTACCTGCAGCAATAATCGTAGTCAGAATTTTAATTAGGGTTAACACATTCAGATAAGCGGATGGTTTTCAGTTACTTAGCCTGGATTATTTCAGTTATGATTTACCAGTAAAGAATTCTTTCGATTTTCGGAAATCATAATATTTAAGTTTGTTGACCGAAAGTGAAAGATCGATACACTGATCTTAAAATAAGACTGGATCACCGATCACGCGTCTATCACAAAAGTTGAAGACAAAAATGAAGGCATCAACTCTTGAAATACATAGCAAATATATAGTGGATTTATACGAAAACAAGACGCCTGCTTAGGCGTATATACTCGTGCTCGGGTAATAAAATAATTTCCGTTTTGATGATTCAATCAAAAAATGAAAGAGTGGGGGGAAAAATATGCCGAGGGCGAGTGATTTTTAGGGTTTCTTAATTCGAGCACTATTCCCATGTGTTTAGATTGGGCCAACGGCCATTTAATTGATCATAAGTAGTTTTATGAAAGATTGTTATATGCAGTGCGGTGTTTGAAATTGAATGAAGATATGATCTTTGCACTTTGATGGACAATAGTCTTTTTCAAGGTTATCGCAGCCATATTGCAGGGGGTGCAAAAACATTGGGCCGAACGCGCGGTCACACATGGCGTCCATATAAATTACTAATAAATGCGCAAAAATTACCCTTATACATATTGGCCATTTCATTCAAAAATATTTCTCAAACTCGTCCATTTTAATAGTCGAATTATTATTTGCGATTTTTTATACACATGAGTCCAATTTTGTCGTAATCAAAAAGCGGAAAGTTAAAGAAAACATTTGTTTTCTTTGAACAGCTTGACCGTCGTTTGAGCGATGTTCTTGAGTTCGCAAATGTGCGGAACTCATAAGCCAAGTCAAACGAACTAAACCCTAAACTAGCCGAGTAGCCGTGAGCAGTCATAGCCGAAATGGTAAAAAATGCGCGTTGTGCAGTTGGATATTGCGATAATGATAAACGCCATCCTGATTATCAAGATAACAGGTCTCACGTAGAAAAGTTAGTTTTTCATAACATAAGTGGCCCAAAGATCAAGCACTTGCTGAATTTAGCGAAAACAAATTGCAAACAGCAGAGCCGATGACTTTAACCCAAAGCCTGGTGCACAAGATACTTTCGTTTGCTCAAATTAGTTTTCCTTGGGAAGAAGAACCCCAAATAACTGTGGAACGGATTATCCTTCGGTTTTTATTACGCTATCAGAGTACGAGCAATCGAGGACTCCGCTTAAACGTAAAGGAGGAGAAACATGGACGACATCAAAGAGTCCTCATCAATCCTATGGCACCGAGGATTCTGATTCAAGTTTTGATAGAAATCCAGCAAAATCTGAGGCATCTTTACTCCCTGTCCCTTTGGAATTTTAACAGTTGACGAGAGAGTATGATGTAAGGTTTCACACCGGCCTGCCATCGACTAACAGTTTTAAGTGTGTATTTGAATACTTGGCTGTTTCTTCTTCTGGCAGTTTAGTCGCCATACATAATAATAAAAATAGCAATGTCACTTTACAAATAATTGGAAATACTAATAAGATTATGCCATAGAATAGTTCCTCGTGATACTTGCTGACTTTGCTGTAGACATGTGCGTGTGTTGCGAACTCAAAAACATCGCTCAAACGACGGTCAAGTCGTTCAAAGAAAACAAATGTTTTGTTTAACTTTCCGCTTTTTGATTACCACATGTATAAAAAGTCGCAAATAATAATTCGACTATTAAAGTGGACGAGTTTGAGAAATACATTTGAAAGAAATGGCCAATATGTATAAGGGTAATATTTGCGCATTTATTAGTAATTTGTAGGGACGCCATGCGTCTGCCTATTAGATGGGTAAAATCTAATAGATTCTGCCTATTAGATGGGTAAAAATACCTGCTATGATATGAAAATAGAATTAATGAGTTTCACAATGTGGTGAAAAATTTAGGTGCATGTTTAAACTCCAGAAATAGAAAAGAATTAATATATTTAAAAATATATTTTTACAGAAGAGTGACTACAATGCTGAAAACTACTTCTATTTAGTACAATATGAAACACACTCCTAATAAAAAGTTTATGTTTAACTAAATATTTGAGAAAGACAATTTTTTATTTTAACAGTTGTATTTCGAATTTATTACAAATCCATCCATCATCAGACTATATTTACAAGGTAACTGAAGCTCTTCTTAAAGCCTGGTTTCCATATGATCGTTTCTGTCTGTTGAAAAAGTCCCCTGCGGTGATCAAACGACAGAAGCGATTATTGCGATGAACTGGTTTCCATTAATCGTATGCATCGTATCTAATTTGAACTAGTCACCAAACACTTGCTGTATGATGTATTCAAAATGGCGGCAGTCAATCGAAGAGGAAGACTTGTAGCGTGTTATTTTCTTTTGCGTGTGCTGAGAAGAAGGCGAGAGCGAAAGCAAAAAAGAAAACATCGTTTTTGGGTTCGTCCCATGTTTCAAAGAAGAGAACGTCTTGGAATTTTTCATACTCTTGTTCAAGAAGTACGTGGAATTACGGATGTATCATGGGATATATCAAGTCGCTTATGGCGTAACGATCGTTTTGCACCGGTTTCCATTAAAAAAATGCAAGCGCGTAAAAGGTGTTTCCGGTCGTTTCTGTCGCAAGGATAGAACTCTAGTCTATCTCAAACGATCGATACGCAAGGATCGTTTCTAACGTAAGGATCGGTTTTGTCGTTTGAGTTGAGCGTTTCCATATGATCGTCTCTGTCGCTTCTACAAATTGCAAGTGACAAAGACGATCCTTACGACAGGAACGATCATATGGAAACCGGGCTTAAGTGTTACATCATTTCAACGGAAGTGCTGAAGTGTGAATTGCGGATTGATTGTGTGGCTGTGAAATCAAATAGTGACAGTTTTATGTTGGTTTTAAGCCCATTATTTAAGTTCTGGTTGGTATGATTTAATAAAGAGTGCTTCAATTAGTAAAAGTCGGCTTCTAATTAAGTTTGTGTTCGAGTAAAGCATTTTTAGTTGTTAAGTGTGAGATAGATAATGTAACTAATGTTTGAATGACGACTTTTACTATTGAAAGCACTCTTTATTAAATTTATTAAATCATACCAAGCAGAACATACTAATAGGCTTAAAGCCAGCAAGAACTGCCACTATTTGATTTCACAGTCACCCAATCAACCTCAGTAATCAGTTTGCCCGTAAATAGAGTGTGATGATGAATTTGTAATGAATTCGAAATATAACTATTAAAATTGAATATATAAAACAAACTTATTTATTGCAGACATATTTTGGCAAACATATGCCCTCATCAGTGCGAATGAATGTGTTACAACATGTGATACCTAAATATATAAATAGAGATAAACGACTTACAGTTAACTGAGATGACGACAGTTACATGTTTACAAATGTAGATCATCCAGGTTGGATCGTCCAGGTTGGTCGTCCAACGAAAACAGTCCTGAGAAGGATTCTCACGGGTTCAAACCATTTACTTCATGAGGACAGTTGCTGCCGAGCATCAGCGAGGCAGCACACTATTAAAAGAATGTTATATGCAGTGCGATGTTGAAATTAAATGAAGATATAATCTTCGCACTTTGCTGGACAATTTAAGCAATTGTCTCATGAACCTGAAAAATTCAGGTGACTCAACAAAATCTCTTTTGTGCTCAGCAAAACATATCTTAAGAGCTACAAGAGCTATGTGCTCAGCAAAATGTCATTCGTGCCAAGTGGCGTGAACAGGTTGCTCTCGTGCGCGCGTGCTGTTTCTGAAGAATTTTGCCATTCCAGGCAGGACTGGCGAATATCTAACATGTTTGATATTTTTGCCACGCGTGGCGAAATGCTTTGTCGATTTGTCCTTGTGCGGCGTCTTGAAGCAAATTGCTTTTGCGTTTCCAATACGGAGCATGCTCAATAAATTTCATATCCAACCAAAATAGCGGCCCCCACTGAACAACATGATTCAGTCGAAGAAGCAATTTCAGATGATAAACTTTAGATGATAAACTAATTGATATCTGGCCTTCGATCAGCAGATTTAAACGGAGACAAAAGAGAGTCTGCTTTTGAGGAAATAAAAAATCGTACATGTTTTACAACAAGAACCTCGTAAATGTCTGTGTCTACGGAGAATTAGCCACAGGCATACAACTGCTTCTTCGCCTTGTTCTTCAGAACCATAAATTGACACAGAACGTAACTCATTCAGTCGAACAAGCTGCTATTTTTGGTTTGATATGAAATTTATTGAGCATGTGCTGCATTGGAAACACAAAAGCAATTAGCTTCAAGACGCCGCACACGGACAAAATCGACAAAGCATTTCGCCATGCGTGGTAAAAAATATCAAATATGTTAGGTATTTGCCAATCCTGCCTCGAATGGCAAAAGTCGTCTGAAAGAGCACGCGCATACGAGAGCAACTTGCTTACGCCACTTGGCACGAATAACATTTCGCTAAGCCCATAGCTCTCGTGTGCGCCGGGCTTTAGATTTCCAATATGTTTCTCACAATTCAAGCTCACCATCCAAAGCAATAGGATTTGGAAGATCATCAGTAAACATGGTAGCAAAAAAGTGAACTTATCCTACCAGCATGCGGATCCAGACTTGGAATGAGAGAGAAAAGAAATTAATTTGGATGGAATTAGATATAAACCATAGTAAGCATTAGTAGAAGATTCTTCAAATCTTCTGGCTAACTCCAAATTTAAATGATCGACTACAGAAATCGTGATAGATCTCTTATAGTAATCTGAAGTGCAGTCAGCAGGGATGTTGCTTCGATTTATCTGACCATGACAAGTACGAGGTTTACCTTCTTCAACAATGACCTTCGGTGCAAAGTCTAAAGCAATTTTAT